TTAAAATGTAAAAAAGAAAGTAGAATATTTTAAATTGTAAAATAGAAAATTTTTATTTAGAAAAATAATGTATGTTAAATGAAATTTTTTAAATTATAAAATTTTTGAACACTTAATATATTTTTTCTTTCGTTTAAAAAAAAGTAATTCCCTAAACCCCCTTTCCCCCTAAAATCTTTTAAAGGGCTTGCCCTCTTTGATCTGGACAAACCCTTTTTTATTTTTTGGATGTTTGTTTATGTTAACGACTGGGTTTGGTATTTCTTGCCCAGGGGTTAAAATTTTTAGGCAATTATCAAAGTACAAACATTTTAACCAATGTAATAACTGAACAGAGAACATAATAGACGCACATCACACAGACCACACCTGGTGACCTCGCTATAAATGAATGACATTTGCCTGTCCGTATTACAGGCTGCCCCTTTTCGTTTATTGCTTATCTTGATGGTGGTAAGCAACAAGTTCAGACCAAGATCAATGGGCATGATAGTGCTGGCTGATTATCATCTGCACTGTTCTCTATACAGTCAGAATTTATTTAATCCCAAGAAGCAGCATATCAGCTGGTAAAGGTTAAATCCCCAGGACCAGTATATAGCTGGTAAATGTAAAAACCCCTAGGACAAGCATATCAAGCTGGTAAGGTTTAATCCCAGGACGAGCATATCAGCTGGTAAAGGTTAAATCCCTAGGACAAGCATATCAGCTGGTAAAGGTTTAATCCCCAGGACCAGTATATGAGCTGGTAAAGGTTAAAACCCTAGGACAAGCATATCAGCTGGTAAAGGTTTAATCCCCAGGACCAGTATATGAGCTGGTAAAGGTTAAAACCCCTAGGACAAGCATATCAGCTGGTAAAAAGGTTAAATCCACAGGACGAGCATATCAGCTGGTAAAGTTTAAATCCACAGGACGAGCACACAGCTGGGTAAAGGTTTAATCCCACGAGCATATCCCCGATTCTGTTGCCTTTCGTCACTCCTGTCTCCCCTTATCATTACTTTTTGTTTGAATCAATGTCGGGTTGAGAGGTTAAGGTTAAAGCCCCAGGACCAGTATATCAGTTGGTAAAGGTTAAAGCCCTAACGACAAGCATAACAGTACCAATAATGCAAACAAGAGGGCCATGACGCCCTGGGGTCGCTCACCTGTACATAGGCCCCCGGGGCGGGGCGCATTTTTTTTTGTTTTAAACAAAGGGCTTTTTTATTTGAAACAAACTTGGAAGACCACCCATTAGAAGATGTTCATGATGTTAAGTTTTTACTTATACACATATAATGAAAAACAATGACGCTTTTTGCCCACTCCCCCCCCCTGGCAGGGCAATTTTAACCCAAGGGTTTTATTTGAACAAACTTGGTAGACACCCATTAGAACATGTTTCCATGCTAAATATCTTAGCTCTAACTCTTTGGGTTTCTTTAAAAGAAGATTTTTAAGTTTAATTACTAATATATGCAATATAGGGGAAAATCAATGACCCTGGGGCGGGGCCAATTTTGAACCCAAGGGGCTTTTATTTGAACCAAACTTGGTAAGACATCCATTAGAAACATGTTTCATGCTAAATATCTTAGCTCTAGCTCTTTGGGTTCTTTAAAAGAAGATTTTTAAGTTTTTACTCTATGTAATAATAGGGAAATCAATTGACCCTGGAGCGGGGCCAATTTTGACCCCAGGGTTTATTTGAAACAAACTTGGTAGACACCCATTAGAAGATGTTTCATGCTAAATATCTTAGCTCTACTCTTTGGGTTATTTAAAAAGATTTTTTAAGTTTTTACTATATGCAATATCGGGAAATCAATGACCCCCTGGGGCGGGGGCCAATTTTAAACCCCAGGGCTTTCATTTGAAACAAACTTGATAGACATCCATTAGAACATGTTTCATGTGCTAAATACTTAGCTCTAGCTCTTTAGGTTCTTTAAAAGAAGATTTTTAAGTTTTTAACTACATGTATATAGTGAAAATCCAATGACCCTGGGGGGGGCCAATTTTGACCCCAGGTTTTATTTGAACAAACTCGGTAGACACCATTAGAAGATGTTTCATGCTAAATATCTTAGGCTCTAGCTCTTTGGGTTCTTTAAAAGAAGATTTTTTAAGTTTTTACTATATGTATATAGGGAAAATCAAAGACCCCCTGGGGCGGGGCCAATTTTGACCCCAGGGCTTTTATTTGAACAAACTTGAACAAATTTGAACAAACTCACTAGAAGATGTTTCATGCCAAATATCTAAGCTCTAGCTCTTTTGGATTTTAAGAAGAAGATATTTAAAGATTTTTCTTTTGGTTGCCATGGCAACCAGAGTTCTGCATGGAATGGAATTCTTTGAACAACTTTGTTAAGGCTTCACACAAGGAACATCCCTGTGAAGTTACATTATGATCTGCCTTATGGTTTCAGAGGAGATGTCGTTTTAAAAGTGTGAACGGACAATGGACGACGGACGAAGAGTGATCCTAATAGCTCACCCTGAGCATATGCTCAGGTGAGCTAATAAATGGTCACTTTGGCCAATTAACAAAGCTAAACACATCATCTTACTATAAAGAAAAGTGCAAATATCTATTTTTGGCATTAACAAAACTGACATGAAATCCTATCCCAGGGGGAAGAGCTCTATAAAAAGGTGCTTTATTTGTGATATAAGAATCATTATGTGTGATGTGTCCTAAAAAAAAATATATCATAAAATGCAATAAAAAAAAAATGGAAATGTACTAGTATTGCATAATTTTACATTATTGTTATAATGAAATGTAAAATGTTTATACATATGCATATTAAATACAGTATATGTAATATATTTATATTATATATATAATATTGTAAAAAAACATAAATAAAGGAAACTGGCATAAAGCATCAAGCTATCACAATAACAAATACATGTAAATTTTACATGTATATCTATAAACAAAGTTAACTCCTTAACCTGCTGGTACAGAAAGTGACTTGCTTTGCCACCAGTATAGAGCCAGACCAGCCTTAAATTCTTGCAGTCTGACCAGGCTCTATACTGTAAGGAGCTTTAATGTTTATATTTAGATAATAAATCCTTAAACTTTGAATGGACTGTTCCAAATTCAGATCCAGAAGAACTACCACTTCACAGATCAGCATGTTAAGGTTCAACTGCCATATATACTAATAAATACTTGTCCATTTACAGTTCATGGACATTTAGGTAAAACATGTTTTACATTTTGCCCCTTTACAGAATGCTCAAAATTAGACTTGTGGTAAGAATATTTTATAATTAACTTATTTATAATCTTGAATTTTTGCGACTCCGTAAAAAATGTATGCGGACTGCATATATTTTTGATAGAGTTTTTGCGTTAAATAACATAGGGTTAAAATGCCGCTAAATGTTAGTGTTATATATAGACATGTCAATGAAAAATGATTCTTTTTCACTTAAACGGTTTTACTTTTGGAATATAATAAATAGAATATTAGTTCATTACTGATTTATTTTGAACTCACATGAAAAATAACATTATGCTTGCCAGAGGCCTCGCAAATATAATTTTATTAAACTTCATTCAATAATTCAGTATTAAATTACACTATAAAATTTAAAAAAAGTGTCAATTTTTGATGACTATTTAGTGACATACTATTCCTTTATTTTCGGGTTTGGGGAAATTAGCCATTATGATTTTTAAAAAGGTGTTTTTAACCAATAATGATAATTACAAAAGTTTATGATAAAATATTAAACTCTAAAAATTAAAAAAAGCGTTCTTGCCCCACTTGAAAGGGTTTTATGTAGAAATTTTCATGTGCCAATGGGTTTTGAATTTATTATAAGTATATGTAATTAAAACAAAAATGGAAAAAAGTAAAATTTATTCAAAAATTTTTCTTTATGTTAAATGATTAAAAAAAAATTTTTTTTTTTTAATTGATTATATCATTGTTGAAAAGAATAAAAAATAAGTTTAAAGTAAGGTATTGATTGGGGCAAAACAAAATCCTAGCGTTTCATAATTATAATCAGAACCCCATTTTTTAAAGGGTCTGAGAAATTGAAACCCCTTTTTGAGCTGTTAAAGGGGGCCCGTGTATTAATTTTAGGGTTTTTTTGAGTTCCCACATTTGGAAATCTTTTTTTTATTTTAGAAGTACCGCCAAAACGGGGAAATTAATGATCCCCCCTCCCCTTAAATTTATAAATTTACATAGCAATTAAGTATTGAAAATTATCTATATATCAGTCAGAAGAAAATATGTCATAATCGGACAAAATCCATCAGTCCAAAGCCATAGGGGCTTAAAATCACCGAAGGTTCTAATATTTTACCCCTAATACTACTACATGCATATAAAACTTCACCTTTTGACAACATTGTGTTAATTCTTCTTAAGCAATTTTTTTTCAAACTAATTTTTTTTCTGAAAGTATATAAACTTTCTTTACTCAATATTTCCTATCAGTATATCAATTACAAAAGTTCTTCGAAAGAAATACTGTTCTGACCAAAATTAACTGAAAAACTTTCTAAGAATTTTATTGGGATAAAAAAAAAAAATCTGTCCATATGTTGAAAAAATGAAATAAGACTAGATAATTTCTGAGGTAAAAACAGAATTGCTACATGAAAATATTTATCTCATCTAAAGCACTCACCTGTATATAGGCCCACAGAGCGAGGCCAGTTTAAACCCCAGGGCTTTTATTTGAACAAAATTGGTAGACACCCATTAGAAGATGTTTCATGCTAAACATCTAAGGTCTAGCTCGTTGAGTTTTTAAAAAAAGTTTTTTAAGTTTTTACTATACACATATACTTAAAGCAATGAACATCCTAGGGCGGGCCAGTTTTTGACCCAGGGCTTTTATTTGAACAAACTTTAAAGACACTCACTAGAAGGTGTTTCATGCTTAATATCTAAACTCTAGCTATTTGTTTTTATTCAAAGAAGATTTTTAAGTTTTTTGCTATACATACATGTATATAAGGAAATTAATGTCCCCGGGGCAGGGCCAATTTTTGACCCTAGGGCTTTTATTTGACAAAACTTTGAAGACACTAACTGGAAGATGTTTCATGCTTAATATCTAAACTCTAGCTATTTGGGTTTTTTCAAAGAAGATTTTTTTAAAAAGCTTTTGCAATACACATATAAGGAAAATCAATGACCCCCGGGACAGGGCCAATTTTAACCCAGGGCTCTTATTTGAACAAATTTGGTAGACACCCATTAGAACATCTTTCATGCTAAGTATCTTAGCTCTAGCTCTTGGTTCTCTCTAAAAGAAGTTTTTTTAAGTTTTTACTATATGCATATAGGGAAAATCAAAGACCCCCTGGGGCGGGGCCAATTTTGACCCCAGGGCTTTTATTTGAACAAACTTAGTAGACACCCATTAGAAGATGTTTCATGCTAAATATGTTAGCTCTAGCTCTTTGGGTTCTTTAAAAGAAGATTTTTTAAGTTTTTACTATATGCATATAGGGAAAATCAATGACCCCCGGGGCGGGGCCAATTTTGACCCCAGGGCTTTTATTTGAACAAACTTGATAGACACTCACTAGAAGATATTTCATGCCAAATATCTAAGCTCTACCTCTTTTAAAAGAAGATATTTTAAGTTTTTTCTATCGGTTGCCATGGCAACCAGAGTTCTGCATGGAATTAAATTCTTTGAACAATTTTTAAAGGTAACCACCAAAGGAACATTCCTGTGAAGATTGGATGAAATTGGCTCAGCGGTTTATGAGGAAATGTCATTTAAAGTAAAAGTTTACGGACGCCGGACGAAAAGCGATCACAAAAGCTCACCCTGTCACTTTGTGACAGGTGAGCTAAAAAGAAATTATATGCAAAGACTAGAAAGTTAGTTTGAAATAGCATTGAAAATGAAATCGAAATCTTGATTAGTTGATACAATGCCCAATTACTTAAGCATTTTTATCAAATAAAATAATAAAAAGGTAAAGTTGTGAAACAATATCAATGAATAATTGATATAAATATCTATTGTTCAATACAGATTTGATGAAAAAAAATATTGACAAATAAAATGTCTAGAATTGAATGTAAAAAAAACCCCTAAAAACATCACAGCTTTTTCCATATCTTTGTATTTAACACTAACAATTTTGCTTACGCAAAAAAATGAAACACTTGGTGATTAAATACAAATATGTTAATTAGCAAGTATGTTCTTTTTTTAAAATTTTCTTTTATGAACATGTAAAAGAACCAGCACTTTCCCTTGGCCTTTTTTGTATGAAATTGAAAAATCAACACTATGACCAGGTCTGTTTTTGTTGACTAGAATATTCTTTCTGCAAATCTTTAAGATTTTGTTCCAGCATATTCACCTCGTCCCATTTCTTTGCTTGTTTAGCCTGCTGAATATAAACTCGTATAATTTCCATTTGCTGCAACATAGGATCCTCATCTGTCCCTTTCACATTATGTTCGGTAGGTTTCCAACCGTCACTTTTATTTCTAGAGTGTTTCTGCGCGCTAGGTCGCTCGTCGTCCCGACTGGAAGTTCCGTGCTTTTCCTTTTCGGCCATTTTTTTCTCTTCGGCTTGAGCCTGTTGGACAGCTTGCCTTTCTATGGCAATTTGTCTCTGAACTTCAGCTGTGTGTTTCTGCTGTAATTTTTTATATTGTTCCTCTGATGGCAAGTTTTGCAAGCCCATCATGTTCTCCTGCATAAAATTGGAAGCATACACGCGGATCGACTTCTGCAACAAAGCCTCTTTCGGTGAAAGCCCCTCCTCTTTGTCAGAATCTAGTAAGGCAATTCTTTTACTGAAAGAATACACATGATATTCAATGACCAACAAAAGATTCTTTTTTTACAATGTACATGTGCAAACATGTAAAATCTTCAAATATTTTGTTTCATATTTCATTTCAGAACATTGTATATGTGCATAAAATGGAGAAGATTTCTAAGAAAAACAAGTTTATTTCTTATAAAATACGATGGGATAGTGGTGCCTGGCCAAATGGTTAACATACAGCATACTTGTAGTAAAGTTACTGGCCTGCATTGGGTTCAAACCCGTAGGGCAAGCCATTGTTTCTTTGTTGCAAATAAACAACAGCACTTACTGCTTAGTACTGGTTGGTACCAGGAATAGAAAAAACAGAATATTACTTTAAGTTTGTAGCCTACTACACAATTAAACTTTGAACTTTAATACGTTTTGTTTACACTTGTGTTCTGCAGTGTTTTCCACAAAATTGGGAACATCACCTTCTTCAGTTACAAGTATGAAAACAATGTCCGTATCATTATCTGTAGACATAAACTGCTCATACATTTTAAAACAATAACCACCTTTAGTGCAACTGTCAATATCGCCTATAAAAACCCTGTACTTTTAATTGTAATTTTCAAAATCTTAATTAAACTTCATATTAATTAAAGTGTTTGTCATAAGCACTCTTGAAGGAGTCAACCACAGTTCATGTTTACCATAAATGCATATAATTTAGACTTTGGCATATGTTAACCAAAGTGGGTCGGAGTTCAACAATAAAAAGTTGGCTACACAAAAAGTAACTGGTTGATCAAGTGAATGATCGAACATCCGAGTATCAATAAACCTGATTGTATCTAACTCGATTGTCATTTTGGTGATTTCTGGTGACCCCAAAACATTGAAGATGATCCCCTGACTTGCTATAAATATGAAAAGTCCTAAAAGAAAGCCTTGAACAGAGAGAAAAACTAGTTTACCTTATTTGATCGATGATTTCATATTTTTTCACTAACTCCTGTCGTCTTCTTTGGGCAGTACTTAAACTGTAAGTTGACTCCCCTAAACTGAAAACATTAAATACTAACATATGATACTCATATGTACATGTAGACTGCATTTAAACGTTCAGAGAACCATTTAGTAAAATATTGTTCCCAATATTCACATAAAAGGGTCTCATTTATGTCATGTACATAATATTAAATTATGTAAATTTACCCTATTTATAATTCAGTGTCAATTTAAACGAAACATTCTATTTTTCATGTTTGAAGCATTTTACTCTGTTTTTTTTCCCCAAAAAAATATTGAAAATTTACACCTATCAATGGAAGACATAATCATTATCCACTAATAAACTTTTTTTATATCTTTCAAACATTAAAAAAAATATCATTCATGTTTTAATACTTTACAATTATGGAATAAAAAGTCACTTTTTCCCCCATTTTTACTACATTTTTATATCTATTTATCCCTCTTCTTTTTTGCTAAGATTTTAAATTACACATGTACACAGATACTGATAAAATCACAAGGTCACTTAAGGTAATTCGCACACATACCTCACTGTATTATTTCAGGTAAATACCGGAGACTGACCAGAACCATTGTCTTCCGTAAGTTAGCATGATGTCTACCTCACAAAAAAATATTCAATTTAGCCATTCCAAAAAGATTCGCATATAAAATTACATATATTTTACTGCATAACAAGTGTAGAAAAACTTACCTTAGAGATTCAACCATTGGCAAGTAATTTTCTAGCATCACTTCACACTCTTGTATACACATTTTCATTTTCTGAATATAAAATAGTTTTATGTAGTACTTTTAACTTTATATTACAACTTAATTAAAAGGCCCAGTCAGGCTAGTTTTTTATTTAAATTATGCCAACAGTTTTAAAATCAAGCTTGCCAGTTTTTTTCTATGCCACAAGAAAAGCATCAGGCCAGCCTATAACTTGCCATTGCCACCAGTATTGAGTCAGGCCAGTCTGTGACTTGTCATACACAAGGAAACATCAGACCAGCCTGTGACTTGCCTATGCCATAAGTTCAGAGCCAGGTTTAGCCTGTGACTTGCCTATACCATAAGTTCAGAGCCAGGTTAGCCTGTGATTTGCCTATACCATAAGTTCAGAGGCCAGGTTAGCCTGTTGACTTGCCTATGCCATAAGTTCAGTCCAAGGCTAATGTGATTGATTTTACTATTCCACCAATGCAGACAGACCACCCAGTCTGTGCCTTTTACTATGCCACCAATACAGAGTCAGGTCAGTGTAAGTCTTGCCTATTTCAACAGTTTTGAGTGAATAAAACCTGTGACTTGCAGTGACGTAAGTTATAACTTTACGCTGTATGGTATATCTGTTTATTTTCCAGATTTCTCATTGTTTCTATCATTTTCATATTGAACAAAACATCACAAGTTAAACCATACTCATACAATAAAACAATGCAGACTTTGAAGATTTCGCTGTTTCCATCTGTTGGTCACGCCTCTCTAGTAATTTTCTACATTCTTCGCAGGCACGTATATGTGGGTCACCCTCGCTACTGAACAGGGAATCAAACTTGAATGCTGCACTGAACGCTTGAGAAATCCTGATCACGACCTCCCTCAAAGTTAAAAGAGGGGTTTTGCAATTTTTCTAAAAACAAAACAAATGGTACATGTTTATATGTATATAATATTTATAAGAGCTGTAACAATTACTTGGATACTCAGATATTCATGGTTCAGACCATGACATCATGGTTTTCGGTGTTCGTTAAGGAACAGTCAGATCTGAAGCGTGAATCGAAGTAGATCGCCACCAAACTGGCAATAAACAGACGCTCATATCTATCCCTATAATTTGATATACACTGTATTTATAATATCTGAATAATCTTAAAAGATATTTTATGAATCATCTCTTATTTGACCTGTTCATGAATAATTATTGATCTGAAAAGTTTCAGCGCAAACTATTATTTAATTAACTTGTGTATGATTTAATATATCACTAGAGGAATACATTGGGGGTAGTATTAGTTACATTACAGTGATAGGAAAGGACATTAGCTATACCAAGATAAGTAAGGAAATATAATTTATACACCAAAGTCATATGGAAAGGTCTAGTCACCTTTGAGAGGTTTATGTTATCAATATTGAGAGGGGGCAAAGGCTACATTGAGAGGTCCAATAAACAAGGAGAGGTCTAGAAGTAAGACAATAGGGGTGAAGGAATTGGGTAGTAAGTGACCGCAATCTTTAAATATAAGAACATTTCGCTAAAAAAAGTTTACTTATCAAATCAAATATGCTTAAAATATAGCAATTAAAATGATGAAAAATTCCACACCATTTTCCAAAATTTTTGCATATTAGAAATTAAAACTGTTTTTGAAAAGATTTAAAGTAAATCGATGAAAAGTCCTATGCCATTTTTCCAAAATTTTTGAATATATGAAATTTAACTGTCTTGAAAATTTTTTCAGTAAATCAATGAAAAAGTCCTACGCCATTTTCCAAAATTTTTGAATATTGAAATTAAAACTGTTTTGAAAAAAAAATCATACCTGCTGCACATCCTAAATCAACAAATCAAACATGACATGCCTATACATGTATACAACACAAGCATTCAGGAAATAGAGGGATATTGAACAAGTGTAGGTTTAAACTGAATTTTATTGAACAAGTTGAATAAAACTATATCATGCGAGCTCTGGCACAACGCTTTCAAACTTTGGGTCATTTTTCACAATAAGAAAAAATATTCTGGAAAAATAGTCAGAGAATAATCTGAAATTTGTGCACAAAAGTCATTGGTATAGACCTATATCTTTTGGCGCGAAAATCTTGGAACACTTTGTTCGAGTCCCGTCATGTCGTAAAAACTCTCTTTATGTGTGTATGTAAAATAATGCTGAACTAAATTCAGTGCTCAATTAATATACTGATGGTTATTTAAGTCTATTTGTGCCACATCTGTCAACATTTCGTATGTAAACATTCCTTTCTAAATAGTGTTCATACATTGCACTCAAACACAGGCTGATGCAAACAAATTCTATAAAATTTTATACATTATTTGAATAACCATTCATAATACACTTGTTCAAAATCAAAGGAAATCAAATTATTGAACGAAAAAAAATCGAAACAAAATCCGTCTTTTTGGATACATGTAATAAATAATGTTAAAACAAGCTAGGCAATCCTGCAGGTACATAAAGAAAACTTACTTGCATAATCGTGTGTAAGGAAATGCGAGCACCTGTCACACATGATCCCCACAAAGTCTGCAATGATGTCGACGTCGAGTCAAGTTAAATGATCGGCCACAATATCTACAACTTTTTGCTCTCACTATCTGGCAACCACATAACAACTGTCTTCTCAAAGGCTGAGAAGGAAAACAACAATTAGTTTTAACAATATTCACAGGGATTTCATTTAAACTCAACTTTAGATGAAAGTTTATTGGGACTTCTCTTGAGTCATTTCCTGGAGCTAACAAATACTGGTGCTTTATAAAGAAAACATGGTTTTACCTCCAAAGGGCTCAACCCAAGATTCCTGGAGATGCAGACACTAGAACCACTCCGTTATATCACACAACAAATTTGCCACAATATATTAGTTTGTTTGTTTTATTTTAAACCTTTTCCCAAACAGTATTTCAGTCATAAAGGTGGGTAGTTTCCTAAACCATTGTTCCTGAGAGTTACACCAGTACTAGACTACCTTCCTCCGCGCTAAACTACCAAAGCATCTCCCGGGGATCGAACCCATGACCAGAGAGAGGTAACTGGATTAGAAGTCATCGACTCTAACCTCTCAAAACACGGAGGCGGTCGCCACAATATATAGACTACATGTATTTATACCAAGCTCTTCTACACTACAGATACATGTAGGCAAAACTTCAAGCTTCATTCATGTTTTAACCAAAACCTGCTCAAATGATTAAATGAACTTGTCAAACTTTGAATTTGGAACAGTCCATTCAAAATTTTAGGGATTTCAATATCCATATACAAAAATTAAGCTGCCAAGAGTAAAGAACCTGGTCAGACTGCATGGATATGCAGACTTGTCTGGCTCTATACCGATGACAAAAACTTATATCACTTTTGGTTTCTAGCAAGCAACAGATAATAAAGCTACGAAATTTAAAATACAAGAAAAGATTCATTTACTTTGTTTTTTTTTTCATAATGGCTCGACTGTTCTTCTGAACTAGACAAGTGAAAAATTAAAGATGATTACCTTTTCTTTTGCCAGAATCAGTTGGGATGTCGGAACTGATTAGTTTGTCTAATCGTATCAATATCTTGTTTGTTTTCTACAACATACTTGTCCACTCGCGCATCTCGTATACCTCGGAAAAAATCAGTCCAACTACGTGTCTTCCCTAAAACATCAGATAAATATTTTTTTAGCAAAATTTTTGATATTCTGTTACATAATATATGGATATATTTCTTTATCCGTTTTTTTTAAGTCTCTCAGTCTCTTTTTTTACACCTGCTACTACTTGTGTTTCTGTTATTGAAGTTGTTCCAAATTTATTGTACTATTGTTTATCATGTGGTGTCAAAAAAAACAAGATGATATTAGCTAATCATCACAATTTATGGAAATTTTAAAGCTTCAAATATAAATTTTTCTCAACAGTTTTTGTCAAGCAAAAAAAAAATCACGGGCTAAATATACAAGTGTATATGAGGTTTACCTGTATCTTGTGGTTGCCAGTAATCTACATCATACAGACTTGTTGACTGTGTAATAGAAACACTACTACTAGCTTTTATGCTATCTGACAAATCATCTTCTTTATCACCCAGAAACTTTTTCTTTGCTCTGTCAAACAAGCCTGGTATAAAGTAAAATAAAACATATAAAAAGATTAAAGTATGTTCAGGGCTTTATTTTTCTTTCGTAAGCAGGAGACATTTCAGGGAGGCTTTCCTGAAGGAATATTGTTGAAAAAATGTAGTTTTTCCATACAATTAGATTAACATCAAGCTGTTTCTTCTGGTAAAATAAACTGTCCATGATATTTAAGAACCCACAAAATGTTCTTTATGACAAAACACGAAATTAAGTGAATTCACAGTATAAGTAGAATGATGTTACCTCTGAGTTGGTTAGAGTTGCTTTGTCCTCTGTGCTATGTGCCTCCTCAAAGTGGGACTGTAACTGACTTACAGTTCCTAGATCTTTCATACACATGGGGCACAAAAACCCCTCTCTTATCTCCCCACCATGGGCTGACATGATTACCCACTTTTCACTTGCTGATCTGAAAATAGATAAAAATAATACAAATAGTACAAATGTGGTTTATTTGGCAAATGATTTGAATCAGTCTATTTTTGTTTACCATAGTCTATATAAACATTATGATCATTAACTTTGTAAAAAAAAAATTAACTTTGAAAATGCAGTTCAGTATAAATCTTAACTTGTGGTATTACACATTGAATTGAATCAAAGGAAAACATTAACATGTTATCTTAACATCAAAACCATAGAAACTTCAAAGTGGCAGATACCAACAATCACTACATTTCTTTCCATTTTAATTGAAAGACTTCCTTAAAGGGACTCCACCTTATTAAGAATTGGGGCAGGTAGAAATTTTGTATGCCAGAACAAAGAGTGGTTCAATCAGCCTACAGGTAGCATTACTTACCTTTTATGTATTCTTGGTAAACTTTATGATTTACACTTAAATAACATCTGGGTGCAAAGGGGTTTGTACATTTACTTATTATAATTACCGCATAAAGTATGATAAGCAAGGATAAGAACTTCATGAATACAAGTAAAGAAATCTAATTTCAACACTGTTTTGCATTTTCAAATTTTTACTGCTGGAAAACCAGTAACGAGTAGGTAATTTTCATGATTTCGAGAGAACAAATGCAAAGTTTTCCATGCAACCCTACAGGTAAGAGCTGTCATTGATTCATAGCAAAGCATATTGACGATACATTGATATTGGATGACATATATCGGCGATACATCGAAATATATCACTATATACTCCTAATTTCTTTTAAATAATTCACTTTCATACCTGTTTAAATGATTTTAGTAAAATATATATGTTCTGTTCATACAAATATTTTGTGTCCTATTTATAAATGTCCTTTGCTGGACTATTTCATAACCATTTTTTGTCATCACTGCTATGAAATGTGTCCATTACGTAACAAAAGTTTAGTGTTAGACATGGCTACCTGTTTCTGTATTTTTTTTAGTTAAATCCCATAATTCATAGACATTACAATAATAAATCAAAATTTTCGATATTTTCAAATGTGTATCAATAATTGTTCGACAGAAAAATATCAAAGATACATCAATATCGTATCTATGGATGACAGCTCTACTGCAGGTAAACTGGCAAAACTATCTTGCCCATTTAAAATTGAGTCTATTATTTCAAGATTAGGCCTACTTCTTTCAAATAATTTTTTTCTTCTAACAAAAATCAACAATCTGTTTTGCTTCCACTGACAAAAATATTTTGATACTTCTTTTAATGCCTATCTGTAAAAACTGGTTTAATGGCATAGCTTAAAATAGCTTTCTCAGGAAATCTGATTCATAAGGAATGTGAAACATATACAGTGGTAATCAGATCTATCATGTAGGAAATAAACTTGTATAGATAGCTACTATGTATGATCATTTGGTAAAAATGGGTGTGGCCAACACAAAATCCCTACAAATCTTCGGTGTTTATAAAAGAAAATTTCTGATATGATTTCTTCTTTGAGCTGTTGTTAAGAAAATAACCACTAACACGATCTCAGTAATATAAATTCATTTATACTTGGCGAGTTTCGTACCACAAAGTACGAATAGTTTCGATGACGAATACATTTATGATATTGCAGCTTTTATACATAAACGCAAACACGCATTTTTTTTACTTATAAAACAACAAGTTATTTAGTTCTTAACATACTCACATATATCCTTTTTACGTCGTCAAAGCCGTAAATACAGATTTTTTTCCTGGTCATTTGGGGAGTCTCAGAAAAATTATCGCTTACAGCAAAGATAAAAAAATACACAGGGTAATATTCAAAACAATTTAAAACGAAATTAAGAAATGCCTGTGTATGTTGTTTCCATATGATTTTACTTCAGCAAGACACAAAGACGTACTTATTTAAAGGTTGGATGTAAAAGTTTGATCTAATAAACTTTTAAAAGGCACTTTTGTAATAGATTAAAAAATGAAGCTTTTGAGAAACCCCCAGTCATTTTGGTTCTGTAAGAGTGCTTTCCCCTTTGTTTATGTCTGCATTTTCCATGTGTTTTCATTTGATAAGATTTGTATTTGAAAAAGAACCATGTAAGTGAAAAGTTTGCCGGTTTGCTTCATCAGAAATGGTTCACCAAGTATTCTTGCAGTACAACACAGTGAGGGCATGCTGTCTATTAAGTAGAAATTGGCTGACATTGTCACAGTTGTGTGGGGTTGATAAAAAGCAATTTTGTTCAAACACCAGTGACAGCCACAGTGGACAAAATAATGAAAATCTGCTCCCTTTCAAAGAAAAGATGATTAGAAAACATCATTATCCACAAGAGGAGCATGGTATTTATTTTTCGTATTGCCTTGGAAGTAGTAAAGTGTAATATTGTAAGCAATCCAGGCTTATTACAAAGGAACTTGATATTTAATGACAAAATATACATGTTATTTCCCCTGTGTTATAATCAGTTATAATCAGTCGGAATCTCTCTTCAAATTGCAATAGTTGCAGTTGCACATGGAATTCACCACATGTGACATTGGGAGACCATTTCATTTACATCATAGATAAGGCATTTAAGTTATTATAAGATACATGTATATATTGCACAAATTCCCAACACAGGTTAGCAAAAGTCTTGTGGCAACTGTCTCAATATAACTGCAGAAAAATGCTTAATGGTTCCTTTTTCCCCTTTACTCAAGGATTACTACATGAATAAATTCTGTATTTAGATAAACAAAATTGAATCAATCGTTTTCGTATAAAATTTACAAGGTAGCACTTGGTAAAGTAAGTTTGTTTGCTTTTATATTAACATTTAAACATTCATTTTTTGTTGCCGTTTGTTGTTAATTTGCCATGTATTTAATTTTTCAGCCAGGCTATTACAACAAAAGTTTCCAGAACCAAAGAAAGTTGTTGATGATCTGTTTGCACCATTCGAAAATGTTGACGAAAGTCTATTACCAAACATTGAGAAGACCCACAAGTTGGGAAATAGGATATGTGTAACAAAACTAAATTTGAAGTGGCCAAAATCAGTAAATATTGTTGGAAAACATGAAGATGAGAATACGTCCACGGAATATGCTTACTTGAACACCTGCGATTTTTTAACGGTATATATTTCATTTGTTGTCAATAAACTCAGTGTGTAAGTGGATATTACTGTGTGTCAAAAAGTTAGGGAATTTAAAGTTTCAGACATTTTGCATCAGGAAATATTAGTAGATCGTGCAAGAATAGACTTTAATGACAGGTTAAAGGTAGATATTTACGCAAGAGCATATTTGTCAATTTGCCAAATTCGCCTTTATTTTCGCATTGCTAACTTAACCACTTATACAGTATACTGTCTGATATTTCAAAACAGATGTAAATTGAAGTATGTAAACAAATGTTTTTCTTTTACTATACAAACAAACATTTTGATTAATTATCTCCCTTTGTTTATATTTTTACATTTTCCTAATTTTTCTCAAAATTCAAAACAGACAATCATTTCAAACTTGAAATAATCATCAAGGGTTGGTCATTCTGCCAAGCAGAATTACGCCCCCTCAATCAATTGCTTTTATTATAGTAAAACTAAGTATCCAGAACTAAGAAAAGTGGATGGCACTTACTCCTCAAACAGCTCTTGTTAAAAATTCTTTACATTTTCATGATATAGCCATGAACATAATTATAACCAGTTTTCAAAAGTCAGCAGTCTCAATAGTCTTTTTAAAATCAGAAATCAGTTTTTCAATAAAAAGTTGTATATATTTTGTAGAAAATTGGCTTGGTGAAGATTCCAATGGCTAATGAAGAACTTACAACCAAGCCATATGATGCAGATAATGTAATTAAAGTTTTGGAAGAACTAGCTAGTATGCAGACGGCTATTGCTGGCTTTGAAACAAGCAATTTCCGTGTTCTTAATCTACTGCAAAACGATAAAGAGGATGATGACATATTCTGGAGCTCCAGTATAAGGGTGATTTTGTTTACTTAATTATCTTGTGGATTTTATTTTTATGCATGTCTATTTCATATACCATTTACACCTACCGTAGTTAAGTTTTGCATATTTAGCTTTATTTTAGAATCATTTGTTGTCAATTGAAGAAATTTATCAAAATGAAAGTATTAAGCAGTCAGCAGCATAGAATCTTGTCTGACTGATCTGTGGTGATGGTTGGCTTGGCTTTACAATACTGATGCCAAAGCAAGGCCTGTCATTATCTCAGCCTGTCCTTGCTGTATATTGATGCAAGAGGTCTGTCATATCTCAGCCTGGCCTAACTGTATATTGATGCCAGAGTTCTTTCATTATCTCAGCCAGGCCATGGCTGTATATTGATGCCAGAGGTCAGTTATTATCTCAGCCTGGCCTTGCTGTATATTGATGGTAGAGGTCTGTCATTATCTCAGTCTGGCCTGGCTGTATATTAATGCGGGAGGTCTTTCATTATCTCAGCCTGGCCTGGCTGTATATTGATGCCAGTTATTATCTCAGCCTGGCCTTGCTGTATATTGATACCAGAGGTCTTTCATTATCTCAGCCTAGCCTGGCTGTATATTGATGCCAAAGGTCTGTCATTATCTCAGCCTGGCCTGGCTGTATATCGATGCCAGAGGTCTTTCATAATCTTAGTCTGGCATGGGTGTATATTGATGCCAGAGGTCTGTCATATCTAAGCCTGGCCTAGCTGTTCTCTGCCTGGCCTGTACAGTATATTGATGCAGAGGTCTTACATTATCTCAGTCTGGCATTGCTGTATATTAATGCCAGAGGTCTGTCATTATCTCTGCCTGGCCTGACAGTATATTGATGCCAGAGGTCTTTCATTATCTCAGTCTGACCTGGCTGTATATTGATGCCAGAGGTCTGTCATATCTCAGCCTGGCCTGGTTGTATATTGATGCCAGATGTCAGTTATTATCTCAGCCTATTGATGCCAGAGGTCAGTTATTATCTCAGCCTGGCCTTGCTGTATATTGATGCCAAAGGTCTTTCACTGTATATTGATGCCAGAGGTCTGTCATTATCTCAGCCTGGCCTGGCTGTATATTGATGCCAGAGGTCTGTCATTATCTCAGCCTGGCCTTGCTGTATATTGATGCCAGAGGTCTGTCATTATCTCAGCCTGGCCTGGCTGTATATTGATGCCAGAGGTCAGTTATTATCTCAGCCTGGCCTTGCTGTATATTGATGCCAAAGGTCTTTCACTGTATATTGATGCCAGAGGTCTGTCATTATCTCAGCCTGGCCTGGCTGTATATTGATGCCAGAGGTCTGTCATTATCTCAGCCTGGCCTGGCTGTATATCGATGCAAGAGGTCAGTTATAATCTCGGCCTGGCCTTGCTGTATATTGATGCCAAAGGCTCTCACTGTATATTGATGCCAGAGGTCTGTCATTATCTCTGTCTGGCCTGGCTGTATATCGATGTCAGAGGTCAGTTATTATCTCAGCCTTGCCTTGCTGTATATTGATGCCAAAAGTCTTTCACTGTATATTGATGCCAGAGGTCTTTCATTATCTCAGTCCTACCTTGCTGTATATTTATGCCAGAGGTCTGTCATTATATCAGTTGATGCCAGAGTTCTTTCATGATTTCAGCCTGGCCTTGCTGTATAATGATGCAAGAGGTCTGTCATTATCTCAGCCTGGCCTGGCTGTATATTGATGCCAGAGGTCAGTTATTATCTCAGCCTGGCCTTGCTGTATATTGATGCCAGAGGTCTGTCATTATCTCAGCCTGGCCTGGCTGTATATTGATACCAGAGGTCACTTATTATCTCAGCCTGGCCTTGCTGTATATTGATGCCAGAGGTCTGTCATTTTCTCAGCCTGGCCTGGCTGTATATTGATGCCAGAGGCCTGTCATTATCTCAGTCTGGCCTGGCTGTATATTGATACCAGAGGTCTGTCATTATCTCAGCCTGGCCTGGCTGTATATTGATGCCAGAGGTCTGTCATTATCTCAGCCTGGCCTGGCTGTATATCGATGCCAGAGGTCTTTCATTATCTTAGTCTGGCATGGGTGTATATTGATGCCAGAGGTCTGTCATATCTCAGCCTGGCCTAGCTGTATATTGATGCTAGAGGTCTTTCATTATCTCAGTCTGACCTGGCTGTATATTGATGCCAGAGGTCTGTCATAATCTCGACCTGGCCTGGCAGTATATTCAGGCCAGAGGTCTGTCATTATCTCAGCCTGGCCTGCCAGTATATTGAGGCCAGAGGTCTGTCATTATGTCAGTCTGGCCTGGCAGTATATTGATGCCAAAGGTCTGTCATTATCTCAGCCTGTCCTGGCTGTATATTGATGCCAGAGGTCTGTCATTCTCTCTGTCTGGCCTGGCTGTATATTGATGCCAGAGGTCTGTCATTACCTTAGTCTGACCTTGCTGTATATTGATGCCAGAGGTCTGTCATTATCTCAGTCTGACCTTGATGTATATTGATGCCAGAGGTCTGTCATTGGCTCAGGCTGGCCTGGCAGTATATTGGTGCCAGAGGTCTGTATTATCTCAGGCTGGCCTTGCAGTATATTGATGCCAAAGGTCTGTCATCTCAGTCTTGCCTGGCAGTATATTGATGCCAAAGGTCTATCATTATCTCAGCCTAGCCTGGCTGTATATTGATGCCAGAGGTATGTCATTATCTCAGCCTGGCATTGCTGTTTATTGATGCGAAAGGCCTATCATTATCTCAGTATATTTGTTCCAGAGACCTGTTATTATATCAGGTTGACCTGACTTTATACTGATGTCATAGGCCTGTCATTTACCCTCAGCCTTCTGGCTACAACAGCTTCTACCAGTGCAACCAGTGCTGACCAAGATCGGCCAGCACATCCATGCCGTCCCTTAATGGTTTGCACTGTTTGCTTATCTGTCAGTACTATTTCAAAATGATGAATAGTTATAAATGTCCAAATGGAAAGATGGACAAGTCAAGTTAAGATATTTAGCATGATAAGGGTAATAAGAATCGTAGAATTGCTGATGATACCTTATAAAACCCAGTATTATTTTATATTTTCAGGTTGCTTGGCCAGTATCTTTTACAGTCAATTCCAGATCAGCTTGTTTAAGTTTGGCTTACTACCAGTCTTGTCTAAAAGCTATTATGAAACTTAAGGTAAAATAACTCTTTAGAAAGTTGTTATTATCTTTCTATATGCATTTCTTTCTATTAACATTTAACCTTCTAGAACTGAAAGTGATTATTTTTTGCCACCAGTGCAGTCTGACCAGGCTCTATATTGTGGGAAACTGAATTTTTGTATTTTGGTTTCCAAAATCCCTTCAACTTTGAATAGACTGTTCCAATTTGCACATAGGTTATTGGTCAAATTTTAGTGAGCTACATCAAATGGTACACAAATCTCTGAAAAATATTTCTAGGCATGTCATGCCAAAAAAACCTCTGTGGAGTACCTTTAAAAAGCTATTTTATGACCTGATTTTAGAAATATTAGTAGCTTTTTTCTTGAACTAAAGAAACTGATAAAACATAACTGTTTTTGTTTTATTTTGTTAGGGTTTGGGATACCTGGATCAAAAAAACCATCTTAAACGAGGAATTTTACTATCATTAGAGAGGTATGGTACTTACCCATGGAGTTCTTCACAAAATAGAGACCTGACAAATCCGGATTTTGAGCTATTTGTTGATGCATCAAAACATGGAATTGGTGCCTATTTGATCTCAAAAGACGATGACAGAATAAGGTGGATGGCTGACCGCTGGGTGGAGAACAAAATCAAATTTGACCCGATGATTTGTTCAACAATGTCAGAGTTTTATGCTTTTTTAACAGCGTTTTACACTTGGAAACATAAGTTTGTGAATAAAAAGATAATCGTTTATGGTGATAACGAACTTGTAATTAATATTATAAATCAAGGGCTTTTCATGTTACAGCGTCCAAAACTTAAACATTCATTATATAAGTTGTACTTATTGCTTATAAAGATATGCCACGAAAACAATATAACAGTGGTGGGTATGCATGTGCCGAGATTCAAGAATGTAGCTGCAGATCAACTATCACGGATTCACGTGAATACTTTCAAGCAAATGGTGCCGGCAGCTTATGAGAACCCTAAGAAGTCGAAGAAACTCTGGTTTTATGACTTTACTTCAACGCAAAATATTGAGAAACTAAAAAAAGATGGTGAAAACTTGGAAGAGAAAGGTGAAAATTTAGAAGAGAAATGTGAAAATTTAGATGAGAAATGTGAAAATTTAGAAGGCAAATGTGAAAATTTAGATGAGAAATGTGAATATTTAGATGAGAAGGGTGAAAATTTAGATGAGAAAGATCCGGAACCGTCCAGATGATGTTTTTTTTTCTTTCTGAAAATATACTTCAACTGATACTGACCTGTTGTTTTTATACAAATTTTACTATTTTTTATTACCGTACATTCATTACAGAAGCATATTGTCTAGGTTGATGTAATTTTTATATAATCATGCTTTAACTTTTGTTTAATAAAAAAATAAAGTGCTCTCTCAGTCCATTGTCCTTTTTTATCATTAAAAATCCATATGTGTGATAAAATAGTAAATATTGATATTTTACAAAATGTACTTAATGAATGGAAAATGTCACATGGACCATATATTTTCTAATTAACACCCTTCCCCCATAAAACAATATCAGTTTAATATAGACCTAAGGAAAGAAGCATAGATTTTAAAGCTGCATACCTCCAGATAAGCCAAAATATTTCAAGAAAAGTTGAGAAAAATGTATAAGATTTAAAGAAAGTAAAAAGATGCAATTATTCAAGGAATAATTTACATGTCCTGCACGATTAATGACAAATATTGCAGTTTTAAATATTTTTATCACCATATTAATTGTCTACTGCGTGACTAATGCAGTAAGGACTGTTTTTGCATATGTTGACCTCTTTTTGGTATATTAAGTGGATTGTAAGTGCTGTTTACTTTCTTCGTTCACTTCACAATATTTTACTTTTAAATTATTTTTAAATACATTTTCAAACTTTTTTTTATGAAACTTAACATGAATCGGGAGACATGCTGCTTTAACACAGTATATAGATGAACCAATGGAAGAAAGCTAAAAGACAGTGAAATTCTTCACATTTTAACGTTTTCTTAGACACCTTTATTCCCGTCTGTTTAGGAAATGTAATGCCCTGGGCAGTAATCAGAGAATAAATGATTTCTATTTATCTTTTATATTGGAGACTTTTTAGTCTGTACCACTGGCATCTTATATTCGATGATAATCCAATGAACAACCAAAGTCTTCTGCTTATAATGATATCCACTGTAGCTTTTATGCCTCTCAAAGCCTGTGCCTGGAATTATCAAGCTAGCCTTGAAAGAGCCAGTGGTTTGAAATCAGTGCTCGTCCTCGAAGGGAACCTGGAATATTTCTTCACCAGTTAAGGAAATTGTAATTTGACCTTTCATAGTGTCCATATAACTGAAAACAAACCATGAATATCTTAACAGATCCACTCGGAGAATGTCCTTGTTGAAATTTGTAGAGGTAATGTTTTGTATCTTCTATTTTTTTTAAGCTGGATTTTACGTCGCCCAACAATGTAATCATACATGTGAACTCTCCCACTTTAGGCGGGAGACTCCCATTTTTTTTCAGCCATATTTTCAAAGATTTTTCTAAAAATTAGGGGTATTTTCACAAATTAAAGAAATCTCCCCATTTTTGATGTCAGAATTTACTTCTTTGTTTATTGCATATTCTAAAAACTCCCTCTTTTTGAAGAAAAATCTCCCACTTGTTCATTGAAAAAAGTTCACATGTATGTGTAATGATCCAGCAATTTGTACAAATAGCTTTGCCAATAGGTTTCACTAGTTTTGAATATAAATAAACTAACACATTTTATTTCATTTTTTTTTTATTTTTGTTCAAAAATGTATGTCACATTAATAATCAAATAAAGCAAGGAGTAATATATAAATAAAATATAAATTGCGTATTAACATGGTCCTAAAATAACACAAAATTACAGCCTGGAAAGCCACTAAGGGTTTGCTTCGGATTTTTTTTTTTTTACAATAATTATGTCAATACTTCAAAACCATCTTAAATTCATTTAAAATTATCTAGTTTTCTTTTTTTTTTAAATAAAAAAAAGGGTTTACTACAAAATTACACACGGTAAAACAAATGCAAGCCACAGCAAGATTTTACAGTGAAGGTGTTCAGTGGATAGAAATAGTTAATTATAGTTATGTTATGCAAAAATATTTAAGCAGGAAAAAAGCCTTGAAATAAGTAATTTTCAAATGTGCAGAGATGAAAACGAGTGAATAGACTAGACTCGATAATATCATATTACAGTAGACAGATATAACAATATAAATTGGACAGTATTATGTATACCCTTATAAGTGAATAGATTACTGTATATTGTTTATTTCATGTATGAACCAATCATGTTAGGTAAAATGATAAGTTACATGTATTTTCACTTTAAAACACAAGCAAGTAAAAGAGAAACTATTTACTACATTTTTGGAAATCTTTTTCACATTTGATTACATACTGTTTTAATTTCACCTTAAATTCCAACACACAAATAGAAAAAAACAACAGACTTTCATTTTTTTTGTATAAGTATTACCTCTTGAACATGAGTTTATGTTCATTTTATGTTTTTCAGTAACTATGGTAACAATTTTATTTAGTTGGCATAAGTAATAAGTGAATGTGTGTTATGAAATTGTATAGACAAATGCTCTACACACAATATTTAAAACTTCAAATATTAGGTACATGTGTGCAAAGTAAAATCTTGTGATCCTTCATGTAAAACAAATGATAGGCTGCATATTATCAACCCAACACAAGAGAAGTTACAACTATTTTGATATGTTTTATCATAAAAAGGGCACCTGTATTTGTAAATTCATTTTGAAGTGGTCTCTAAGTGCTTTAGACACTTAAGTGTTTTAGTAAAACATGTTCAAGGAAAATATCTTAAAAAAATTCCTTAAATGAAATATTTTTTTGTTCAAGTCTTTATGTTGTTTCTTTTTGTTGTAACAGTGTTTTTTTTTAAACAAGGAAAAATACCACTGATGTTATTTGTACATGTTAAGATATGTTATTTTGTACTGGGCTAAATAATTAGCAATGTTCTATAAACAAGAACAAAACCATCGCAATTCAAACAGGAACAAAAACATCTCAATAACACTAATGTTGTATGTTCACAGACAAAAATAACACAAATATTGTTTGTTCGAATCCAAATATAACACAAAAGTTTTTTTGTAATGTTAGGAAAAAATCAAACTTTTGAATGATTTACCATAAAGACTAAAATTAATGCTCACATACTAAAACAAGGTACTAGATACCTGTATATACATGTAGTTAAAAAGTAGATAATTATAATAATTTAAACTTAAAGTTAGATACCAAAACCTTCACCTGTATACATATGATTTAATTATAAATAAGGAATAACCATTACAACACTATAACCAGTATATTGTTAATATATCCATAAAAGTTATATAAACAAGAGCCGGTTGAACCGGGTGATGCTCCCCGAATAGGTTTTGGACACAGGAAGGTATACCTCTTGTTGTGTCAGAGTTATGTCACAGATAAAGTTCAAAGTGTAAAAACAACCCAAATATTGTGCACGACACATTGTCTCAATATGGTGATAATTTTTGTGAAATAGTTGTAAAATCTGATTTCAAATAACAAAGTTATGCGCCTGACATTATTTTGCTGCAAGGTCATGCTGTGACCTTGACCGTCAAGGTAGTGACCCAAATGTTGCATGCGACACATTGATTCAATATGGTGATCATCTCTGTGAAATAGTTGTTAAATCCGACTTCCAGTAACAAAGTTATGGGCCAGACACGATTTTGCTGCAAGGTCATACCGTAACCTTGACCTTCAAGGTAGCGACCCAAATGTTGCGCGCGACACAATGTCTCATTGTGGTGATCATTTCTGTGAAATAGTTGTAAAATCCGACTTCAAATAATGAAGTTATGTGCCGGACACAATTTTGCTGCAAGGTCATGCTGTGACCTTGACCTTCAAGGTAGCGAGCCAAATGTTGCGCATGACACGCCATTTTAATATGGTGATCATTTCTGTGAAATAGTTTAAAAATCTGACTTCAAATAAGGAAGTTATGGGCCGGACATGATTTTGCTGCAAGGTCATGCTGTGACCTTGACCTTCAAGGAAGCAACCCACATGTTGCGCGCGACACATCGTCTCAATATGGTGATCATTTCTGTGGAATATTTTTTAAATCCGACTTCAAATAACAAAGTTATGGACCAGACACGATTTTGCTGCAAGGTCATGCTGTGACCTTGACCTTCAAGGTAGCGACCCAAATGTTGCGCGCGACACGTCGTCTCAATATGGTGATCATTTCTGTGAAATAATTTTAAAATCTGACTTCAAATAACAAAGTTATGGGCCGGACACGAATTCGGGAGGTACGTACGGACGGACTGACAGACAACCCGACGACTATATGCTCCCCCGAAATTTTTCAGGGAGTATAATAAAAATGTAACAGGATGTCTGTAACTGGCAGAATATTTGTATTCAGATAAAAATTATACCAAAGTATCAAAATTGGAAGAAATATTTTTTGTAAATTTCTGATAAAGCAAGTGGTGCAATTTTGAAAAGATCATTGCTTCATCACTAAAATCAGTAGTAGAGTACTCTGGTAGGAATGTCCGTTTTCTTATTTACATGCTTTTCTTGCATGATAAATAACCAAGACCTCTCTCCAGATATGACCAAAAGAATATTAATTAAAAGCTGGTGAACGAACAATGTTTGTTGATGTTGTTTTTTGATCTTTAAACTATATTTCATAGGGCTGTCATTGAATATTGTCATATCATTATTTCTTTACCTAAGTGCAGTAACGGGTTAACTCCTAATATAATTTAATAGGAGTTAACCAGTTATTGCGTGAATATTCAACATTTGATTCAATATTGATTCACCATTTAGAGTATCAATACAATTTAAAACCGGCTTAATCTCCCTGTCATGGGTTAAACTCAATTGTCTCCCCTTTCCTTGTCTTGCCTGAACCCTGAATTTAATTTTGATAGGTCAGTATTAAGAACCAATAACAAGAAATAACCTTTTTTTGGCATGTTGTATTTGTGATAGCTAAAACAAGCGTGCTTTTGCATAACACCATAATAACAGATTCCATCACATGTTCAAATGGATTCCAATGTGCTAGCTATTTAATTTGATATTTTGTCGATATATTCAACTTTCGATATACACAAACAAAATTTTGCATCAATGACAGCCCTAGTATTTCATAAGTTATAGCTTTATACCATTTACATACTTAACTATAAGAATTCTTTTCTATACAATGAAAATTATAGAAAATGTTTCACATAAAAGAAATAATTTCTTTTCTATAAAAACAGTGTGTATAAAACTTTGTTTTAATTTGTTTAATTGCACAATCCTTTCATATTATGCTTCATTTAACAATGCACATAATAATATAAATTTTTCGAGATTCCAAAAAAAATTTTTTTTCTTTACCAATAATAACGATAGCAAAATGTATGGTGGCAAATATGGACCATTTAATATATATGACAATACATATCGACTATTCAAATTATAGCATTCATTTAATGAAAAAATAAAGACCATATTAGTATGTATAATTAAACACTATATAAAAACTTGAATGTGACGTACAGCGAGTGCCACATTTATATTTATTGACAATTTATAATTATCGGCAGTCTATAGATATAGGCAGTCTACAGTTATCGGCAGTCTATATTATCGGCAGTCTATATTATCGGCAGTCTCTTAATGTTAAATGATTAAATTTATTTATTTATTTGTCATATTTACTAGGAATCCTATTTTGAGGTTTGATTGGCTAATTAACAACAGTATGTGCCAAGGAAACATACAATTGCTTTAAGGAAACATATTAATACGTCCAAAGGAAACATGTAACATAATTGTCCCAAGGAAATATAATTGCTTAAAGGAAATATATAATCATAATAATGTTCAAAGGAAATAAATAACAGTATGTCTAAAGGAAACATACATATATCTCAGGTTTTGAGTAAAAACCATGTGGTATTTATTAATATTGCACATAACACTAAAAAAGGGACTTAAGTCACAAATGGCAATTAACACTAAATCTGCTAAATTTCTTAAATGGACTTGTCAAGCTTCCATTTTTGGAACTGTCCATTGACAATTTTGGGACAATAAGTTGATTATTTAGTCAATTATCAGTATAGAGCCTGGTCAGACTATAGGAATATGCAGGCTTGTCTGGCTGTATACACATAACAAAGGCTTATCACTTTTGGTTCAAGCAGAGTAAGGGTTAAAAAGGGACATAATTCACAATATGGCAAACAAAATACAGCTTTACATGAACAAATGTAAAAGGAATGAAAAATAAGGAATCAAACAAGTCACTTGTAAAAAGCAATGGCTGTTATCATAGCATCACATATCTTTTTACAGAAACATTAAAACTGACATAACAAGCTCTACCATTGACTGAATTTTATATTTACTAAAAAGCTATATGTAACTTTTTGATTCTTAAGATTTCACAAAAAAAATTTATCTGTAAGAAATAAAAAAAAAACCTGTGTGTAAAACACAAGCCTCCAACTTTAAAAACCTGACCTTGTAAGTCACAGAGTCAAGGAAATCGTGGCCAAGATCATATTGCAAAATGTGAAGGTCAAAAAGTATGCTATCGAAGGCTATAGCATATAGAATGTTATGTTATGTCCAAGGATAAAGTTTACCACAGACGGACGGACAAGCTAAATAAACTGAAAATGCCCATGATCTATCAATATATACATGTATGTACATTTAAAGGATTAATTTTGTTAGCCTTTTCATGTGAATTATACTTGTTGCATACTTAAATTATGTATATGTATATACTATAGTATTCATTAAGTGACATAGTATTAGAACTTCTTGAATAATCTCATATAATACACAACACAGATCAAAGTCAAAGCACACATAACTTACAAAACTTTTCTACAAACATCACAGTTTGACCCAATTATGTCTGGAGTATATTAACAATATCCTATTTTCTTTGTTAATTACATCTACTAATGGATCTCACATCTTAACAAACCTAGGAACACCACAATAAAGTCACACTTAAAATTCACAAGTAAATACGTTTTAAAAAATACAACATCCACTAAACAGACATTTCATACCAATATGTACAACATTTCATCTACTGTAATATCATTATTATTTAAGGGGTGCAAATTTTTGTGGTTTTCGTGGATAGGTCAGTCCACAAATTTAAGATTCAACAAAATTTCATGAAAATGTTCTTTGCGACAAAACAATAGTGATAAATGCATTGTGCTTATTTTCAAAGTTAAAATTTAAAAATTTGTTTGTACACCACACCCAACCCTGACTAGCTGGGAAAACTGAAAATATTCTTAATTACAGAGTAAGCCTATTCAAATTATAGCAACAAGGAGAATAACTCCAAAATGGCAACTTTACCATCTTAGCCATGTTAGGTTATATCATCTTAGCTTTTAAACCAAAACCTGTATAGGTACCTCCTCATCCACTTAAATCTAATTGAGTAAATGTATCTTGCATGTTTCGAAACAAAATTCGGACATATTGGAATGAAAAGTTAAATGCTATTTTTTAAAAAATCACAACATTTAATACTATGGTATACACAAAACTGACTTACACAATCATTATGATGCTATTTGTTTAATATTACTTAACAAACAGTTGAGAAAAATTGACATTTTTTGTTATAAAACAATTGACATTTCATTATCACAGGTTCATGTGTTACACATGAAATATTTCAGTTGCATAACTTTGGATATGGTACAATGTATTTGTTCGTCTAAAGTATGAAACTTGGTGTTTTTTCCACACATAAAAAGACATACAGGTCAAATATACGCCAAACGATAGGCAATAGAACTCACAGTTGGTAAACATGTACATGTGAGTAAAAGGAGAAAATCAATGCTAAATATTTCTTCATGTTAATAAATTGTGCACACATTTTTGTCCCTCACTCCATTTGTTAAATATATGTAACAGCAACATAGAATAAAATTCCACGATCTAATAATCGTTGATATTCATTTTAATGGCAAGATATTTTAGAAGGGTATTTCAAATTTTTATAATTGATAGTGTTAATGTCACAAAGTGAGAAAAATGTGCAGCCTGACCAAGACTTGAACCCGGAACTCTCGGATGACAGTTCTGCAGCTCTACCAACTGAGCTATCTGGCCGTTTACACATCTTCTCCCCTAAATAGTGAACAGTTCTGAACCTTGACATTAATAACACAAGAAACATGTTATCAGCATTGAGTCAGGGCAACCAGCACATTTAACAACTCAACTTTGGCATTTAGATATCAAAATCCCTACATTGTTCATGGACAATTCCATTTTTAATACAGGACAAGTCTATTTCACAAATTCAGGAGGTTCAGAATAGTCAGAGCAACACTATTATGCTGAATCTTCTGCATATATTTTGAGTTTCACCTTAACTTATGTAATGAACTTGTCCAGCATTGAATTAGGAACTGTCCATTTCCAGTTTGAGGGACTTTATTAAGATCAAAGGTTAAATATATCACTATAACAATGATGATTTTAAATGCAAATAAAAAAGCAATACTCTTATAAGCAAGGTGATAAAAAAGTTCAAATATAGTTAGAAAATACAAAAATCCTGCGAATTAAAAGGACATGCCTTAAATATCAGATTTTTAACAAAATTCAAGTTCCCAAAATAGATGTCTAGTAATAATTGCATAAAAGAAATATTCTCAGTAACTGCTAAACACTGTATATTGTACATTTTGAATTTGTAAAAAAAAAAATTGAATGAAAAAAAAGAAAGAAATTAGTATCTATTTAAGGAAACACATTTTACAATGCGACAGTCCTCTTCCAATATCAGTCCATATGTTTAACATAATATATATGCTTAATTATGTATTTTTTTACCATCAGTTCAGTTTAGTTTTTAAGGATGATTTCTAATTTTGGCATATCCCTTTAATGCAAAACAGCTGTTTCATAAATTTTAATAAAACATAGGCTACAAGTTAAAGTGTTACGAAAATTTATAACATTGGTTCCCAGCTACCCTAGTCAAGAGACTCAAGACCCTCTGGAATAAATGTATAAAAATTCATGACACTGGTTCCTGGTCTTGACCAAGTCCCTCCAGTATTATCCCCATTGGTGTCCTCTTCAGACCTACAGTTTCCAACCGGTTTGTAACCTTGTTCTTTATGCTCCTCATCCGGAATGATGCATGCATCAGTATTACTGTAAAACAAATAGCATGCAGATTTTCAGAAATGAGGAGTGCCAATAAGTAAACATTTCCAAGTTTAATCGTCACAATATGCCACTTTGTCATGTAACGAACTTCATGCTTAAGCGGTGGACGAAGCCTTTCAAATTATAGTAAGAATCTATTATAATTGTGATAATTAACAATCCATAACTTGATATGTTACTTCTGTACTTTTATAATCTTACACATATTGGTACAGTATACATTATTTCTATATTAAGAAATATTTTTTCATTTTAACATAGACACCTGTCAAGTAGATAAGTAATGAATGAAAATGTAAAAAAAAATATATACATATATATTTTAGCTATGTGAATCGGGAAAAATTTTTATAGCCTAAAATCATCCAGAAATAAATCTGCACTATTAAGATACTTACATAGCAATGGGAAGGCAATTCCAAACATGAAGACTATTACAGCTCCAACCATATACACCAGCAAATAACCAGACAGAAGTATAACAATTACACTTATGATCGGGTGGTCTCGTTTAAAACGCCTCGCCTTCCATCTAGAACTAGTGCAGTAAACAAACCCTCCAAAAGCTACGGATATAGCTATAAAGCCACATACCATCTGTACAGGATGAACTATACTGTAAGAAAAAAAAATAGTGCAAACATTTATAAATTCATTTAAGCTTTATGCTTTATTGCAAAATAAGTATTTACAACTTTTATGAATCCATACCACAAAAAATATCTTTAATGCCAGGCCTTGACATTAACTTTTTTATTTGGTTGTCCTGTCGGGCAAGTACTTTTATAAATTACTTGCCCTGACCCAAAGCTTGCTTGCCCTGACCTAAACCTGTAAAGTGTTGAAAACAACCCTACATTTATTAGAAAGTTTTGAGAAAAAAGTGTTGGCAATCTTTGAAAATGGGGTTTATTTATTCCCTAATCATGCATGGGTTTCATTATAAGCTGTACAGGCTATTTTAAGAAATTAAGACATTTTGTGACAAAATCATACTCATATTTATTTTAAGAAATTAAGACATTTTGTGACAAAATCATACTCATATTTTCACTAAAATTGGTTGGAAATAGAAGGAAGGTTAAAAGGGGCTAAATAAGATTTTAAAATGTTTTCAGTAATTAATTATATGTATTTTTGAAGAAAAAAAAGTAAAAAAAAAAAACATGGTTATTCTGACAAAAAATCCAAGTTTTGTGCATTTGATATATAAAAATCACTTAAATATAGTACTTTCTTCATAAAAAGAATTTTTATAATGTTGTGGATTTTTTTTTTGTGTTTACCACATCTTAAGTCGCGAAAATATGTGACAATTTCATTTACCGATTTTGTTTCTAAATTAACATCTTTTTTCCTTGTGGATATGTCTCTGTATCACATTTGCAGATGAATTGTTATTATTTTCACAATTATCTACAGGAGAAACGTTTTTTCTTTAAGGATATACGATAAATTTTAGATTTTAACGGCAAAAATAAACAGCCAGAAATCGGCAAATGTTTAGACGGCTAAATTAAACTAAGTTTGAACTTTAACAGGGTTTGAACACCTTTAATAAGAAGAGGTGATGACATAATTAATAATGTTAATCAAGTTTTGACATATTCATCAGACAACCGGATAGTCTGTGTACATGTACAATTGCCCCTGCTGTGAGGTTCGTTGTTCATCGTCTCCACAAATGTGATCCGTTCTAATTAAGTCTAATTAAGATTGAATTGTAATTTGCAAGGATTATTGGTCATTATATTGGAATTTTATATGTTTACTTATGATTTTTTTCACTTGCCCTGTCGGACAAGTTCTTTTGAAATTCACTTGCCCTGACCAAACTTTTGGTTGTCCCGAATCCGGGTCAGCTCGGCCCTAAAACGTACTCGGCCCCCGAGTCAGCTCGGCCCTATTCCAACTCGGCACGGGTCAACTCGGCCCACTTTTCAATTATTAATATTTAGGTTTGTGTTATCATTATTTATTGTAATTATTGTAATTATTTGTAATACACCTATTGATAGTTTATGAATTAGCAGCAGACAGGCTTTTCTTATCAGTAAAATTGCGAGTAAAGATAACCGATTGCGTATATCTCACTGTATTTCTGACTTTAATACCTTTAGTGTCAAACAATGTGTTGAAATTTATATTGTTATGGGCTATTATTATCAATCAGTGAGTATGTTAAGGATACCGATTAATTAGGTGATAATTATGATTGACTCATTCATTCATTTGAATAGTGACCACCTGCAATTAATTAGAAGCTTATGATATGAAGTAAACACGTTTTTGTTTAATATTTTTTTGAATATTACTTAACAAACAAAATGCCTCTAAGGAAACACATTTTTATTAGATCGATCTATATTAATTTTATCTGCAAACAAATAAATTAAAAATATCTAAATGTACTTATTTCGGCAGAAGTATAATTATATAACAATAAGATATTTCTCATTATTAATTTACCTTAACAACATGCAAAGCAAAGTTAATACGTTATTTATATTTTTGTAAAGTGGGCCGAGTTGACCCGTGCCGAGTTGACCCGTGCCGAGTTGGTATAGGGCCGAGTTGACTCTTTTCCGTTGTCCCGGGCAGTCGGACAACCGTTAATGTCGAGCCCTGAATGCATTTATCCATCTTTCAATCTGGATGAGATTACTATTTTTTTTTTTTTAAATTCCAAAAATATATTGACTGAAAAGCAAACAGTGTAGATTATGATTAGATGGCATAGATGTGCTGACCTGACCTTAGTCTGTATTTGGTGCATGTGTATGTTTTATAGCCACCAATAGGGTAAGGGTTAATCAGTTTTAAACTTTTTAGTATGCTTCCTGGTGCTGCTGTCAGACTAGGAAAGATAGTGTCAGATCAACCAAATTATGGCTTAAACCTGCACTCTCTTGGTTGGCAGATATCTTTAAAACTGTCCTTTGCTCCCCCTTAAATACAGATCATTATTTGATTTTTTTATATTATCTCATTCATGAAATATAAAAAGATTACTTTTTCAATAACAAGAACTGTCGGAGGACAGTATTGGCTCAACTATTCGAAAAAGTTGTCACAAGGGTGTTTTATTGAGTATAATAATGCTAATTACCTATGAATACATAAAATTGACCGAAAAGGTACAAAGGCTTGTTATTAAGATGTTTTATCAAGTAAATCACTGCTTTATTATTATGAATGCATAAAATTGTCCCAAAAAGGCACAAACCCTTTAGTAGTTATGGAGATAACAGCTTACAAGTAAAACTTTACCATGAATTTCTAAGTTGAAAAAGGGGAGAAAAATCAGCCTAAATGCAAGATAGAATTATGGATCTTTGTCAGTGACCTACAATTATGACCCTAAATGCATATGTGAAGTTTTAAATAAATATTTTTAATAGTTATTGAGATATGTAAAACTTGCATATAAACATTAACCAAGAGACTAAGTAGAAAAGGGAAGATGAATCAGCCTAAATGCAAGATAGAGTTATGGAACTTGCTCAGTGACATACAATAATGACCCTCTAATAATGACCCTTAGTACATGTGTAAAGTTTCAAGTAAATATCTTTGAAGACCTTTAACCTTTAACCAAAATTTCTAAGTTTCAAAGGGGCAAATACTTTTGCAAATATTGCAGGCAGAGTTATGCAATTTTGCAAACTGATGTACATTGTTACTATAAAAAAGTATTGTAAGTTTCATTTGAATACCTCAAGCAATAATTGAGATATTTGACTTTACAAAAACTTTAACCAAAAAAGTTAAAAAGGGGCATAATTCTGTCAATATTATAGGCAGAGTTATCCAACTTGTCAATCTGATGTACCTTGTAAGTATAAATAAGTATTGTATTGTAAGTTTCAATTGAATATCTCAAGCAATAATTGAGATATTTGACTTTACAAAAAATTTTTACCAACGCAGACGCAGATGCGGACGCCTGGGCAACTACAATGGCTCTCATATTCTTTGAATAGTCGAGTTAAAAACAACTTCAAACTTGTCTGATTATTAAGAAATTTTTATGCTCATTCTTTAAAGTACAATGTTGTACTATAAAATCAAAGAATTTTTTTTATGTTTGTTGATTTATTTGAAAAATTATGCCTCAAAGATTAAAAAAAAACTTCATGGTTTTTCAAATGACATTTATGTCCCAAACCACCTAAGAAATACTTGAAAAACGTCAACTTGTATGAATGCAATTTTTAACGAACTACAATCAGAGCCAAAAAAACCTTTGTAGAGGCCGAATATGTAGGCTGCTTCCCCAACCAAACTAGCCTCTTTTTTCCCCCCAGTTTGGTCCTCAAAATTCCCATCTTTTGAAATTTCCCATAGAATTTAGAGCAAAATTAAATGTTTTGTTAAATTTTGCGTTAAATTTGAGACCCATTTTCCCAAAGTATGCAAATCAAACATTTTCCCCATGAAAAAGGCTGAGGCCACTTCCCCAAAAATGGTGTTTTTTCGCCCTGACAATGATTTCCAAGATAATTATCTGCATTTAGTCAATGAAACTTTGATGTGCACGCGAATAACGTTTTATAAAACACACAAGATGCCTTGGAACAGTTCCTCCTGTCAATCTTTATAACTAAGAACTACAGCACAACTGATTGACCTTTATATGGACAGGTATGGATAGAACTCCTTTCGTTTTGAGGCTGCCCGGGTGTGGAACAGCCTCCCCAGTGACATCAGAAGAGTAGAAAACTTCAAAGAATTTGGGAGGCTGGTTGGCACCTGGACAGGCCCAAAATGTAAGTGTTCAATGTGCCGCTTGTAGCCTTTTGTTAAACACATGTGTGTCTAACATGTGTTTGTATGTGATTAACATGTTTTTATATGTGCTTTTATGTATAGTCTTTAGATGTTGCAAATATTATACCAATAAATGTTTAATGTTACTTTTTATTTGCATTATGTGATAGTCCTTGTAATTTCGTTGTTTTGTTTTATGTTTTTTTTACTTATGTATGTCTTTTTTTTTATATATATCTATTATATTTCTTTTACAGGTATGTACATAGGTGTATATGTATATCTTTTTTTGTACTCTTTTTCTTGTAACTTTTGTAGTTTTTAACTTATCTTAAATTTTTATTTTCTTAATTTCATATTCTTAGATGTGCTTATGCTTATTTTTATACATGTCTGTCTTTAACTAATATATAACTCTTTTACAGGAATGTACATTATTTATATTATCAGTTATTTGTTTTATCTTGCTTGTAATTATTGTAACTTTTAAGCATGCATGGTGCTATAATAACTTAAATCCATGTATTTAGATGTGCTTATGCTTATAATTTTTAGTTGCTTTAATATCTTACTTCCATGTACTTAATTGTGCTTATGCTTATATTTTCTTTTTAGCTGCTTTACTTTTGTTTAGTTCATATACTATTGTTTGTCGGAAAATAGCTCATGAGCTAATGTTTTCTGTTTATATGTATCGGACGTAAAATAAATTTTCTTGTATCTATATAATGAATAAATGGCAGGTAATCTCCTTGATTAGACCCCTATGTATTTTTCAGGTCTAAAACTTGTATATAATACACTAAAGAAAACGGGATGAACCTTATATATACTCCTGGTTTAGATCCCGGGGTCTAATCCAGGATATAGCCAAATGGCATACATTTATAATTGAAATATAGACAAAAATTAGCATTGTCACGTTATTTGCGTGCACATCAAATTTCATCAAACTACTGGCATACTGTACAGCCTTTTAGTCTGTTTCAGGATTTTTGCTTGCTGATGTCGTTTGTATCTAATTTTTAATATTTCTATAAAAGATTCTTTGACTCTATAAAAGGAACAGTGAAAACAGACTTAGTATTTCTTAGACCGGTCTTATTTGATAAATTATCTGTCCAAAATGTTAAACATCCGAAAATTACCCTATAAGGAGGAAAACCAGAAGAGCCGTCAAAAAGTAATTTGTCTGATAGTACAGTAAGTTGTTCAGAACTCTGTTAGCCCATTTCTCTGGATCTTTGACGTTTGGAATTTGAAATCGAGCTGACTCCAAAAGAAAATCGCCAATAGGACGTAACGGTGCTAATTGCACATCGGCCATGTTGACAGTTTTTTCGTACCTTTAATATTCGTAACAAATAACTATATATCATTAAATACATCTGTAATTTCATCTTGCTATTAATTGTGGCAAATAACCAAGCAAACTTTTTATGTTAATCGTCCTAGATCTCTGCTTGTATTCATGTGAAATCAGAAATCTATTTTTATAATTATAAAGGAGGATAATTTAGTAAAAATGATGATTAGCATGACACTTTCAGATAATTGTCATTTTTCGTCTGAACATAGATCTAATACTTTAGGCACAGATATATAAACAAATTTAGCTCCATGCTTTATGCAATCACATTTTCGTTGATACCAAAAAGTAAAAATGAATTAAACTTGCAAAAGACGGTCAATTTCATTTTTGCATAATTAGTAGTCCTGACGATTTCACTGGCTTTGAAAATATTATCTGTAATGATTACATTTTGTTTCTTGCAATCTAATAATTTATACCAATAACTGTTTATTCAGCCAATTTCTTGCGTCAACTTGTAATTTGTAATCTCCAAAATAATATACACACTTTATAGTGCGTTAGCCTGCATCTTTATATTTTATGCACGTTTTTTACGTATTTCTTCGTAACACGGACTTAAATGTCAATTAAAATCCTTGTTAGTAATAACTTAAATACGACCATGTCCCATTCCTTACAAATTATATTAGTACTAACGCATGATTGTTATTTACTCTAAGTTAGAAAGTTATTTGTTAAATCAATTAAATTCTATGGAAGATAAGAGGAAATTTATGTCTTGTTCAACTCTTGAAAGACTCCGAACAGTCCTTGATTTTCGTTAAGTTTACCTGACTTCTTTTTATATATTAGTCATAATATACAGTACTTTTATTCTATAAATTTAGTGCAAATCGGGGATGAAGACACACATAATTATAGCAATACTAATCCCAGATCTAAATGAAATCCGCGATGACAACAATATCAAAGCATATCATTCGGAAATACATTAACGGAGGAAACGAAAAACTGCAGATATATCGATGTCTCAAAAGAATAAAATGGACTGACCTACAGGGTAACAATCATCAATTAAATTTGTCTGTTTAATTTAGAAAAGATTTATAATCAATACATATCGAAACAATATGAATTTCAATGAACTTTTTCTTAAATATTTACTGATCGCGAAAACATATATCAAAACAATGACACCACTGACACTGTCCAGTTTCTTTTTGACATATTTACAGTGCTTTTTTAAAAATGTAACACTTAAACAAGGACATTAAAAGACCTTAAAGATGTTGTGGAAAAGCCGTTCACAATTCTAGAATGCCAATTTCACTATCAGCACAAAAATGTATTTGATCAGTTGGTTGATACATTACAAAGTTCTAGCCGTACGTGAGTCATGTACAGCTTGCTTTGACACACTAAAATGTCTAGCCGTATGGCACTTTTCAATATTATATGAAAGTCAAAAATGCATATATGTTATTATATGTCTTTAAGCGAGGATTTTAACCAAGAAACCACTATTGTGTCCGTTTGTTTACTTTATAGAGAATAGATGAATTGCCATGTTGGCTACAGTAAAGAATGTACGAATATTGATCTTTATCATCTCAAGAAGGCAAGAAAAAAGAGCGTTAAGTTGCAATTGATTAACAATTTAAATCGTTTACATAATTATTATAATAATCTTTTTTTTATTTCAATAAGTTTAATTCTCAACACCTTTAAAATGAAAAGTACCGAAAATATTTATTGTCGGAATCTAATAATTGCATCAATTATACTGACAGTAAAAGTTTGTCCACCACTAAGAAAGTTTTGTATGTTCTGTGAAACACATTTTTAATTTAGGCAAATGATTTTGATTTTATGTTCGATATTTATCTATTTAAAAATAAAATTATACATCATTTAGTGCTCGCCACTTTTTTAAGCCAATTACCCATGAGGATTTTTCAAATTTTCAGGTTTCAAATCTTAATAGAACAGATTTTATATAAACTGGATGTTTTATATTATAAAACGCAAGTTGGCGGAGCTAAGTTTCGAAGAGCACTAAAGTGCAATATACGCATGTGCAGAGATCTTAAAGTTTACTGCTCCTACTAATCAATATTTATGCATCATGTTTTTTCCGTACACGCACATGTATATCGTCACTACGGCATAGAATTAAAAAAAGAGGTTCATTGAAATGAAAACAGGCAAAATAACAGTAAAAATGTTTTATTACTTACGGTAAAAATGTTTTATTACTTACGGAACCAGTATCATTTTATAATTTCCAAATAAAAAGTTCACCTTATTCCAACAATTTTTGTCACTTTAATCCAACACAATGTATTTATGTATCCATAGTTATAAATTTGTTTCGACCATAGTTTATTCATATAAGATCTATTTCTTATTTTTTATGCTCCCCGAAAAATTTCGGGGGAGCATATAGTCGTCGGGTTGTCCGTCCGTCCGTACGTACGAACATACGTACGTACGTAGGTACGTTCATCGTGTCCGGCCCATAACTTTGTTATTTGAAGTCGGATTTTAAAACTATTTCATAGAAATGATCACCATATTGAGGCGACGTGTCGTGCGCAACATTTGGGTCGCTACCTTGAAGGTCAAGGTCACAGCCTGACCTTGCAGCAAAATCGTGTCCGGTCCATAACTTCATTATTTGAAGTTGGATTTTAAAAATATTTCACAGAAATGATCACCATATTAAGACGATGTGTCGCGCGCAACATTTGGGTCGCTACCTTGAAGGTCAAGGTCACAGCATGACCTTGCAGCAAAATCGTGTCCGGCCCATAACTTTGTTATTTGAAGTCGGATTTTAAAAACATTTCACAGAAATGATCACCATATCGACACGATGTGTCGCACGCAACATCTGGGTTGCTTCCTTAAAGGTCAAGGTCACAGCATGACCTTGCAGCAAAATTATGTCCGGTCCATAACTTCATTATTTGAAGTTGGATTTTAAAACTTCTTCACAGAAATAATCACCATATTGAGACGATGTCTCGCGCGCAACATTTGGGTCGCTACCTTGAAGGTCAAGGTCACAGCATGACCGTGCAGCAAAATCGTGTCTGGCCCATTACTTTATTATTTGAAGTCGGATTATAAAACTTTTTCACAGAAATGATCACCATATTGAGACGACGTGGCACGCGCAACATTTGGGTCCCTACCTTGAAGGTCAAGGTCATAGCATGACCTTGCAGCAAAATTGTGTCCAGTCCATAACTTTGTTATTTGATGTCGGATTTTAAAAATATTTCATAGAAATGATGACCATATTGAGATGATGTGTCGCGCGCAACATCTGGGTCGCTTCCTTGAAGGTCAAGGTCACTGCATGATCTTGCAGCAAAATCTTGTACGGCACATAACTTCATTATTTGAAGTCGGATTTTACAACTGTTTGTGTTGTGCACAATATTTGGGTTGTTTTTACACTTTGAACTTTGTCTGTGCACAACAAGAGGTATACCTTCCTGTGTCCAAAACCTATTCGGGGAGCATCACCCGGTTCAACCGGCTCTTGTTCTTTATTTTATAATATTGTACGGTTTTCCTTTTAATAATTGTTGGGTCATATTTCTGAGCACACTGTCTAATAACAATTTAATGCACAGAAGAGTTAAAACTATTCTCTAATTAAGAACGAAATAACGGTCTGAGGCTTAGGTTTCTTGTCTATTACCAACTGCTGGCTAGGAATTTGCATTAGTTGCGTAAATGTCAAAGAATTGTTCTCAAATTCGAAATCTTCATTGAAGAATTGAAGCAGTTCTTGGTTGAGGAGATCGAAATCATTATGTGCCTCCATATTGTCTGATTTACCTAGACAGAATGTGGGAATTAGCTATGCAAAACACTTGACCCGAAAATGTGTACCCCTACCGACTTCCAAATATGGTTATACACATTTAGGCTATTGTGTGACATCTCGCAGTGTGTAGGGCGGAAAAAAAATTGGGCGGAGCACTAAGCCGGTTAGAGTGCATATTGGATATTCTTCGTAAATAAGAAAGCTACAGTCGCCTCGCAAGCTCCGCTCCAGCTTTTCTTATTTACGAAGAACACCCAATATGCACTCTAACCTATACATTATTAAGGCACTACACCAGGGTTTTAGTGAGAATTCATTTATTTTTGAAATTAATGAAAACCAGCTTTTTTTTCAATGTGCTGAATTAACAAATAAATGGTTTAATAATTCATCTTTCATTCAAATAAAACAACAAATCATAAGCATGAAAAACAATGATTTTATAAAATAATTTTGAAAAGTGCCATATGGCTAGACAATATAGTGTGTCCTGGCTAGCCGTACATGACTCGCGTACAACTAGAACTTTTGGCTAGCCGTACAGGCCAGCATGGCTATTCACTTCCTTTACAAAAACAAAAAATTTAGAGACCACAGGCACTATTATAATATTATGTAAACCATTACCACCTTAACTGAGTGTGAACAGTTAAAAACTGCCTGTAATTTATCATATATCAATTGAATTACACAGGGTGTTCGTTAGACTGAAACTTAAGGGTCAATGATCCGCCATGGATCAAACCCAAATATTCAAGGGCCAGCATACTAGTTGAGTATCATTGATCTAAATTTAAACAGTTTATTTAGCAACCACATGTATAAAAAAGAATATATTGTATAAGGAAAAGTATCTAATTGCTATTTTTTTAAAACAAATTAAGTCTTATTCAACACAGTCAGACCTTTAAGGCTGAGCTTTGTGCTGTTTGTTAAGGCTCTTGAATTTTAGAATTGATAAGAATTCTAGCATTATTTTTGCTAAGTCCAAGTAATCTGGATTTTTGTTTTGATGTCTTTCAATTGCACTATTCTAAAAATTGTAAATTTGTGCTACCTCCATTTGCATAATAAGTGTTCTTTTTTGCTGTTACATGTACAAAATAATTTACATTGTCAATCAAAAACATTCAATTCTGGCCATTTAAATTGTTCTTACCAAATTTCCCTGAATGTTCTTTTGGTTGAGAATGTTAAGTGTCAGAATGTCTTGGGTCAAACAGGCTTTTAATTGAGCTGTAACAAATTGCTTGTCAACAGCACATAGACAACCTAGAATGTTAGAACTTGTGAAATAAACTCTATATGGACAACAATTCAAATATGCTGAGAATCTTGATCAATGAAAATTACCTATTCAGTTGCATAATATTTTGAAGAAAAACATTGTTTTCTGTTCTAACCAGCGGAAAGTAAGATTTTACAATATTTAAAGAAAGGCGTCGATAATTAACAAATAAGGTAGGCTAAAATTAGGGACCTGCAAAAAAAAAAATCTCGATCTTGTTAGATGCAAATTTTTCTATGCAGCAAGTAGCAAAATACAAAGTTATTAAATTACTTTGATAATCTTATATTGCAGATACTGTCAGATAATCAATATTGATAAAGGAGCATCTCTCCCAAAATGTCTACTACAGCTGCTATGGTACAGTTTGTGTCGGGACTGAAAAGTCGCAATGAGGAGACCAGGATTAGGACAGCCCATGAGCTGCACCATTTTGTCAGTACAGAACTTCGGGAAATGCCCGTTGATGAGCATACACATTTCATGGATCAGTTCAACCATCACATTTTTGAAATGGTCTCTAGTTCAGACCTAAGTGAAAGGAAAGGGGGAATTCTGGCCATAGGTAATGTACAACAAATAATTTATTAATTATAACAATGATTTTCATTAATACAGATTAAATATATACTTTTTTTAAAAAGAAATCTACCCAAAAGTTAATACCAAGACAAGTGGCAACATAATAAAACACAAGTTTTTGTCATTCGTTCTTTGCAAAAAAAATTGTATTGAGAGTATAAACTTTTTATGCCCCCATTAAGGGGGGGGGGGCATGTACTATAGATTTGCATATGTCCGTCTTCTCACTGTCTATCTCATAATTTGTAGACTAACCAAACAATAGAATATGCTGGCATCTGTGTCATATGGACACATTTTAAGTTTCAGGTTTAACTTGTACATTCCTTTTCTTACAAATATTATTTGACTCAGTATTAACACAAGCCATGCCTCCAATGATGCTGCATTGTACAAGCTTCATCTTGTATGATGGTGACATTGTATTGTTTTACAATTGACATTATTATTTCAGTGAGCTTGATTGGAGTAGACGTTGGAAATACAGCCACCAGGATAAGTCGCTTTGCCAACTATCTACATAACTTACTACCTTCTAATGATGTGGTTGTCATGGAAATGGCGGCTAAAGCAATGGGTATACTGGCATTGTCCTCGGGTACCTATGCTGCGGAATATGTTGAGTTTGAGGTAAAGCGAGCACTAGAATGGCTGACTGGTGACAGAAATGAAGGGAAAAGACTTGCAGCTGTAAGTTGGTTTAAACATTTCTTAATTTGTAATAGAAGATTTTATTTGATTTTAAGCCTTTTAAAAGTGTTTTGAAACTGAAAAGATTGAGTTTGTTTGCAGTAGATAGATTAAGGGGCGTTCTTAGCTGGGTGGTCAAGGTTGTTGGCTTCAAACTACTTGCCTCTCATTGCTGTAGGTTTGAGCTGTGCATGCATCATCAAATTCTACATGTGAGAAAGCTATCCAGCAAGCTTATGGAACATTGGTGGTTCTACTCAAGTGCCCATTTGTGCCTGAAATAACATGTAGTGGGGCACCTATGGTCTTCCTCCACCAGAAAAGCTGGAAAGTCGCCATATGACCTATACTGTGTTGGTGCGATGTAAATCCCAACAAAAACAAAAAGAGATTAATCTTGTTTCATATGACAATACCATTCTTGTAAATAATATTATGTATAAACAGTAACAATAAAATCATTTGTTATCCAGAGGGCACTTGTTGGATTCTGTCTGTGACAATTGATTTTAAACATTGAGTCTAATAAGTATTTGTCTCTTACCACTGATTCAGAAATCCTGTTGGAATAGTTGTTTGTCACTTGTACAGAAATTGTTTTTTACTGGTAAATTATCAAGGAAGGCTGATTAAGTGGACCGACAGTTGAGTTATGACCTTAAATGTGTTGAAATCAGCATTAAAAACCAGATAAATAAACAGACAAGCATAGTATATTATTTAATTTTAGTGAGATTTCAACTTCTCCTCAACTCCTAGTTATGCCCCCACAATGTGGGAGCATAAAGCGTTGCACTTGTCCGTCCGTCAGTCTGTCAGTCCGTCCGTCCGTACGTCCCGAAAGCTTGTGAACGCAACTCCTGTTAAACCGGATGGCAGATTTTGCTTAAACTTACAGGGATGAACAACCTTAATGTGTAGATGGTAGTAAAAGAAGGAATTTTTGCTGCAACCAAATTTAACAGAATTATGGCCCTTTGTTGATTTTTTCACTAGCTACTATGTAGAAATTTTGTGAATGCAACTCCTCTTAAACCGGATGGCAGATTTTGCTTTAACTTACAGGGATGAACAACCTTAATGTGTAGATGGCAGTAAAGGAAGGAATTTTTGCTGCGACCAAATTTAACAGAATTATGGCCCTTTGTTGATTTTTTCACTATATACTATGTAGAAATTTTGTGAACGCAACTCCTCTTAAACCGGATGGCAGATTTTGCTTTAACTTACAGGGATGAACAACCTTAATGTGTAGATGGTAGTAAAGGAAGGAATTTTTGCTGCGACCAAATTTAACAGAATTATGGCCCTTTGTTGATTTTTTCACTATATACTATGTAGAAATTTTGTGAACGCAACTCCTCTTAAACCGGATGGCAGATTTTGCTTTAACTTACAGGGATGAACAACCTTAATGTGTAGATGGTAGTAAAGGAAGGAATTTTTGCTGCGACCAAATTTAACAGAATTATGGCCCTTTGTTGATTTTTTCATTATATACTATGTAGAAATTTTGTGAAGGCAACTCCTTAAACCGGATGGCAGATTTTGCTTAAAACTTCCAGGGATTAACAACCTTAATGTGTAGATGGTAGTAAAGGAAGGAATTTTTTGCTGCGAACAAATTTAACAGAATTATGGCCTTTGTTGATTTTAGTTTTCAACTTGTGGCACATGTAGTCCAAAAAATATTTGACCTAGAGTCATAAGATTGACAGAACAGTGGCGTGTGGGGGCATCAGTGTCCTATGGACACATTTCTAGTTTTTATTGTGATTTCAGGTGTTGTGTGTAAAGGAGTTAGCTGTTAACACGCCTACATTTTTCTTCCAACAAATACAACAGTTCTTAGATTGTATTTTCACAGCAGTCCGAGATCCAAAGGTAAGTTCATAAAGTATATGATTTTTTATGGATTAGTTTTGTAAATATCCACAAATATTTAAGAAATGTAACATGCGAAGCAAAGACGGCTGATTTTAGTGTAAAATTAACATCCTGCCTTATAAGAGGTCTGTCCTGTAATTGAGTAAATATGGTTCTTGTGTACTTCATCAGTGAAGTATGATGCATACCACTCACTGTACATCATTCATTTACTGATAGTGAACAAATATATCTGTTTATGTTCATATAAGTTGAACAATAGTAGTGTAATTGAACAAGTATTGTTTATTATAGCCAATGATTCGGGAAGGTGCAGTGGCTGCTTTGAGAGCGGCGTTAGCAGTAACATCTCAACGTGAAGGGAAGACTAGTCAGACAACGCAGTGGTACAAGGTAAGACGTGACTCGTACTTTAAAAATGAAAATCTCCGTCTGCTTATAGCCAGTTTTACATTGAATAGGTATTTTAAATGCAGTTATAGTTAGTTAAGGAAGATTGGTGGAAAAGAATATGTAAGCAATTCTTTGTTTTATCTGGCATATGAAATATGCATTGAAAACATGTTTTATTCGAGTATTTTAAGTTTTTTACTAGCATTGTAACTGACCGATTACACAACTTGTAAAATCTAGGGGTTACAAAGACCTGTGTTAGTGGTAAACAAACCATTTGTGAGGAAGCTATCTCATTAGCTTATAGAAAGTCACTGGTTCCGCCCATTAATTTGCATATGTCTGGATGAAATCAGAGGTGTCCTTTTGAACCTGAAATAATGCATGGAGGGGCACCTTAAATTTTTCCTCTACCAGTAAAAAGTCCCCAAATGACCTTGACAGTATTGGTACAACTTTAAACCAAACCAAAAAGAAAATGAGAATGAAATCATAGACAACTTCATTTCATAGTCTACCAGGATGAAAATCAGCATGTGCCTAAGTTAATACTGAAAAAAACTTTCCGATAACTAGTAAAGCTTGAAAGTCAAATGACTATAATACTCAAGGTCATAAAACACACATTATTTTATATTTACAGCAATGTTTTGATGAGGTGGACAAATGGTACGATGATGCCAATGGCCGTGAAAAGAAACTAACGAAGGATGATTGGGCCCATGGTTCCCTGTTGATTGTGAATGAACTACTGAGATGTAGTAATGTTGAAGGAGAGGTGTGCATAAATGTTATTATGATAGAAACATGCATGAAAACTTGTTTTCTGCTGAAACTGAAAATTATTAACCTATGACCAGATTCTATACTGTTGGTAGAAGTCCCTTAAATTGCAAATAGACTGTTCCAAATTCATAGCAGGGCAAAGTCATTACACAAATTCAGCAGGTTAAGGGTTAAGTAAACTACTGTAGCAACATGAAGTTGGTGTAATTAAGCAACAAACCTCCAGATGAAAACTTAAAAATTGTTCTTTTCCTTTTTAAATGAACAAACCTCCAGATGAAAACTTAAAAATTGTTCTTTTCCTTTTTAAATCAACAAACCTCCAGATGAAAACTTAAAAATTGTTCTTTTCCTTTTTAAATCAACAAACCTCCAGACGAAAACTTAAAAATTGTTCTTTTCCTTTTTAAATCAACAAACCTCCAGATGAAAACTTAAAAATTGTTCTTTTCCTTTTTAAATCAACAAACCTCCAGATGAAAACTTAGAAATTGTTCTTTTCCTTTTTAAATCAACAAACCTCCAGATGAAAACTTAAAAAAAGTTCTTTTCCTTTTTAAATCAACAAACCTCCAGATGAAAACTTAGAAATTGTTCTTTTCCTTTTTAAAAGCAACAAACCTCCAGAGGAAAATTTGAAAATTGTTCTTTCAATCACCCCTTTATACAAATGTTATATGACGTGGTCGAGGGGTTAGAGTCGATGACTTCTAATCCAGTTACCTCTCTGGCGTGGGTTCGATCCCTGGGAGATGCTTTGGTAGTTTAGCGCGGAGGAAGGTAGTCTAGTACTGGTGTAACTCTCCAGGAACGATGGTTAGGAAACTACCCGCCTATATGACTGAAATACTGTTGGAAAAGGCGTAAAATGAAACAAACGAACAAACAAACTTAATTAGCTATCATCAGACTAGACACGTGATCATTGACCCCTCTTGTTTTTAATATCTATGAATTTATTTTGGTTTCAGAGACTTAGAATGGAGATGGAAGAGATTACAGCACAACAATATTTGCATGAGAGAACACTTAAAGTAAGTCATTTTACTTTTATACATAAAGTCTAGTGCTAAATTAACTTTATGAATTTAGAATTTTGTTTCACACCTAGTTCATGTATAAAAAGATTTTTTATATAAATTCAATGAGAAAATTATTATTTAAGATTTTTAGGACTGTCATTGATGGAGTATTTTGTATTGATATATTGAGAGACAAAAATTGACTATATATCAACTTTGACAATAGATACAATGAAAAACATTTAAATATGTGCTATAAATGGGGATCATCGTGCTATGTAGGCTTGTATTGGACATTACAAGTACTACAAACTAACAGAAAGTTTTTTTTTTTCTGTTATTTTTGTCACTGGTATTTGAAAACTGAGTTTAAAGTTCACCTTTATCAGATAATAAATATCGATGCTATAACAATATTGCGATATTGCAATGACAGCCCTAAAGATTTTAAGATTAATGTTTCAAACAAATTTTCACAGCAACTTAAAGATAGATGTGTTCTTGTATTCAATCTTACAATGTAAAAACTATGTTGTCATATTTCAACTATTTTGGTGAAAATCTTGATAGTGTTTTTGTAACATTGCAGGAATATTCGAGGAATAAAGTGCATGGAAGCTTAATGGCCATGCAACACTTCCAACAAAAGTCATCTCCCCTTAATACCTTTGGTCTAGGTGGGCGGCAGATTATGAGAAAACCCACACTGTTTGAAAGCAGATATTGTAAGGAATTGATGGCTGAAAATTTTGATAAGGTTAGTATGTAGATAAACTAAACACAGATTCTTAAAAACCAGTGTCTCTGGTGACTGACATTAATATTTAGTTTTCCCTTTGCTAAAAATTCTGCTTTTTCATGAAGGAAATTGTAAACAATATTCATCATATACATTCAGATGAAATAATATTACAAATGTTTTTGAAAAAAATTTCACTTTGACTTGTCTAAAAGAGAACTATTGGAAAATGTTTTCAGAGAATACAATTTGTGTTTGACTACACATTCAGCAATTTAACCAGACTATAAGATGTGGGCTGATCAGTTTTATGATATTGAAACCCCTAATGAATAAAAATTGAACAGTCCAAATTTAAAATAAGGCAAGTCTATTATACAATGAAGGTGTGGTAAGGGTTCAGTGACCTGATTCGTATGGTACATTTGTGTATTTTGAGGGTTGACCACAAAACTGTTTTAAGTCCTTCTTTATTTCATGTAAGTTAATGCAGTTTTGCAGTCAACTCTTGATTTGTATTGAAACAATAGTTTTTCAGTTTGCAAATGATGGCTACTTGCATAATTGATATGTAATACTGTTATTTCTACAGGTTTGTGGCCTTGTTTTACGTCACAAGTCCAGTAGAAGTGTGTATGTACAGCAGACACTGCTTATTGTGTTTCCAAGATTGGCAGCGTTCAATCCAGAATTGTTCTGCAGACTGTGAGTCCTGATTTAATATCTATAATTTAACCTGTTCTTACATTTTCCCTTACAAACATATTTCAGCAAAAACTGCACACAACTTACATGTTTGATTTTTTAGATATTAGCTCCCTGGATTTAATGATAATGATTTAGATTATAATGATTTAGATTATACAGAATTCAGTTAAATTTATTTGTGTTTCAAGCTATAAATTACAGAAACACTTTCAGACACATTCCTGGAACTAACCAGTAGTAAGCAATGAATGCCAAGTTTCCCAGTCAAGGAAACAAAAGCTTGTCCCTGACTGGGCTTGAACCCACACAGCCAACAATCCCATATCACCAGTAATTATCCAGGCACACTTTTGGCTTCTTAATTTTAGCATTCTGAAATTTTGACATTTGAAAAATAATTCTTGTTTTAAAATTTTTTTAAATTCTTGTGTGAAGAAGAAAGCCAAATAAAATTCATTAAATAAAGTTGGTGGGGTAAATGTTGATTAAACAAGCATTTGATTTTAGCATAAGAGATAATTATGCATTATTTGAAATTAACAAAGCGCTTACAGCTAAAATCTAGAAAGGTACTCAAGCTAAAATTTTGCTCAAAATTTCTTTCAAGAAAAAAAAGCAAGTAAAAGTAAAGTAATTTTTTTTCATTGGGTAGATATTGGTATAGACAAATTTTGTACAACTAAATGCGAGTGGTTTATACTTTCACATTTATTACAGGTATTTAGAAGAAACCCTATATTTCCTGATTGCTGCACTAAAGTCTCAGAGAGAAAAAACGACAGCGTTCCAAGCAATCGGCCTTCTTGCAATATCCGTAAACCAAAACATTTCCAAGTACCTCTCTCGTATTATGGAAATTGTACGATTAGCTTTACCTTCAAAAGATACACAAACAAAGTAAGTTAACAGATTGTTGAATTAGTCATAATAACATTTGGAATATTTTCTTTTAAATCATGTATGTTGTACCTAAAAATAATTTAGTTTATACAGAATTTATTATAGTTTGATTGGATATGAAGTTTTTAACACACTCTTGAATCCATTTCTGAAACCAATTTGTACAGAGCAATGAGTGTAACATTTCTTGCTCAAATGAGCAATGGCTTGCTTCTTAGTGGGTTTGAACCCACTGGGCTAGCAATTCTTACATTACTAGTCTGACAAGTTAACCACTAAGCCATGGCACCACATAAAAAAAGCAAGATACAACAAATTTGAACTGTGAATTATCAGAGAAATCTGTCTTTCTTAGGTAGGAATTTATGTACATTTTTAAAACTCTTTCTAAGTATTTTTTGTGTTGCACAGATTACATAGTATTAATGGAGTAATTAAGTTTCATTAACCAATTAGCAAATCCATGTTTATTTTATAAGGAAATGATAAAATTTGACTTTAAATTCTTTAGAATTTGTTTTGTTTGAAGATTTCAATGTCAACAATATTTTAATGTGGCAGATTTTCGAATTTTGCCTATCATTGATGATTCAATTCCAGACAGCAACTGGGATAGAATCATCCATAAAATCTGCAAGAATTATCTTAAATATTATGAAGGAAATGAATGTAATACTTAGTTGAATCTCTGTTTCAGAAAACACAAGAACTTTGTTGTTGACCCATCTGTATTTACATGCATAAGCATGTTAGCAAAAGCCATAGGACCTGGCATGCGCAAGGATGTCCATGACCTTCTAGAGTCAATGTTGGCCACAGGTTTAAGCCCAGCTCTGACAGCGGCACTGAGGGACCTGGCCGCACAGATACCCCAATTGAAGAAAGAGATTCAGGATGGGTTGTTGAAAAATCTGTCTCTTGTATTAATGGGTAGACCATTGAAGCACCCTGGAGCTACTAGAAGTCCAGCTACACCATCCCCTGCTTCAGGTAGTGTATGATTTTTAATAGTTAAAGTTGGCTGAGTGGTTGTGGTCGCCTTTTTCAAACCACTTACCCGTCACCACTGTTGGTTCGAATCCTGCCAGAAACTTTGATTGTTTCATGTAAGAAAACTATTCAGCTAGCTTGATGAACGTCAAAGGCTCTACTCGGGGTACTTTCTAGTGCCGGATATAATATATTGAGGGAAACCTGATGTCTCCCTCCACCATTATAGATGGAAAGTTGCCATATGTCTTGTGACTTTAAAAACCCAATAACAAACTCATGATTTTTGAAGGTTACCTCATTAATTTGTCTCTTCTTGTACAGCCAGTTGAAATACATGTAAACTATCCAGTGTTTCTTTCATGTGTGGAGACACAATTGTGACCTGCCAAAAACTATCCAGTGTTTTTTTAATATGTGGAAAAATGATTCTGACCACAGAAGGGGTCAGATACATGTTCCTTTGATTGAGGGTTAAACATTTAAACTACTGGGCTATCTCTTCCTGTCTGAATGTATAGATTGTTACAATAATTACAACTTTTCTATGTTTTACAGGATCATCTGGTACTGTTGTAGAAGTTCAAGATGTCACCAGTATTACTCTGGCATTGAAAACACTCGGCAGCTTTGATTTTGAGGGTATGTTAGTATAGAAATCTTCCATGAGATATAACCTGACAAACAACTAATATTATAATACTGCAAGTTTGTAAAGTCGTTTTCCATTGGATAATTGTGACGTTAATATAGTTAGTATACACAGCTCCTGTCAATTTTTAAAGGAATCTCTCTTTTTTCTCTAAAAAAGGAAGTGTGCTGTATTATAAATTTGTTATAAAGATTCTTGACAGGTTATATGGCCAAATGTAAACAGAAAGATTCTTGACAGGTTATATGGACATATATAAAGGGTTGTTTTCAAATATTACCTACACCTAGTTTACAAACAACTGTTGATAAAGGGCCAAAAGTCTTTCAAACTAATAATGTACTGTGAAATGACAGTGTACAATTTCATTATGATTGTAAAGTTAACAAAACAGTTTCTCTTGTTTGTTACAGGTCATTCTTTAACACAGTTTGTACGACACTGTGCCGAGCATTACCTGGCAAGTGAGCATAAGGAGATAAGGTCAGAGGCTGTGAAGACGTGTGCGAGACTTCTCTCCCCTTTACTCAATGTAAGTATTCATCTGTATAGGACAATGTATCTGCAAAGTCTTAAATGTCTCTTTAACTTTCAACCCATAAATATAGGGTTTGAATGTTTAAAGGCTGAAATGTTCCCCTGCCTTTCTGGTGTAATTACCATGCTTCCTCACTCCTAGGTACCAAGATGGCGAAATGGTTTGCTCGCCTCATAGCTTTTCCAGGTATTTTGAATAATTTCAAGCTATTCAGCTTGACGATGAAAAGTCTTAAGGTTCTACTTAGATGATTGCTTATGACTGAAATAAAGGATGTAGGGGTACATGTTTACCTCCACCAGTACAGCAGGAAAGTCCCCATATGATGTCAATGTGACTTTTAAAATATAAAAGTTAAATAAAGTTAAAAAATATTGTGAAAAATTTCACTATTTTATACCCAGACTTCAAGCGTAGTTTTATATTTTCAGTTGTTGGCCAGTAATCAAGGTCAGATAAGCATGGCAGCCATGAATACTGTAGCAGAGGTACTGAATAAACTTCTAGTTGTTGGTATAACTGATGTTGGTAAGTTATCATACGTATTCATTGATTTAATGAAAGGTTTGCCAACGAATAAGGGTTGTTGACTTAATTACAGTAAAATGTCACAATTTTTTTAATTGTGGACCATTTTCACTCTATATTTTGATACTTTGGTTCTAAAATTTGCATGACTTTGAAAATTATTCAAAGAGGTCTGAAGCAAAAACTTTCTAATGGTGTAATAATGCTACAATTCTCAGTCAACTGTCATATAAAAGCTGGATTTTAGTTTCATTCATAACCAATAGTGATTATGTAATGAACATAATTCCAGAGAAACCTGGTTAAATTTCTCCATGACAATAAATGATTGGCATTGAGTGTAACAGTCATATGGCACAGAAGTTGGTAATTACTAGTCAGTTATCCAGGAAAGCTGGATAAGTAGGCCAACCACAAAGATATTCCAAAAATATGTTTATGGTGTTAAGACAAAACAAAAAAATCCTGTGAATTGTAAATTAAGTAAAATTTCTCACTTTTATTGAAAATTACTATGTCAAGGTATTTTATTGCCACCAACAGATCATGATATATAGAGGATATTGAATGAGTGTAGTTTAATACTAAATTTATTGAACGAGTTTAATAAAATCATATTATGCGAGCCTCTGGCGAGCATAATATTGTTTTATTCAACGAGTTCAATAAATTTAGTATTAAATCTACACGAATATTATATTCTATTTATCACATATATAAAATAAGAACAGTAAACTGTTATTTAAAATGAGTAATTGTTCAATGACGCGCCTATAGTCTAACGCTTACATCAGCGTGCGTCAACGATATGTTTATATATAGCGCAAGTGACGTCACGTCAAAGTGTTATTACAATAGTGTAATATTGTTTTTATTAAATGGCTTTATTACACTCCTGCGCCGCGGTTTATGTGATAAAAGATTATACGTCTCATGTATTGAAAGTTATTATATGAAGATATTTTATCACAATCTACAGATCCTGATATAAGACTATGTGTGCTTGGTTCCCTGGATGAGAGATTTGATGACCATTTAGCTCAAGCCGAGAACCTGTCTGCACTATTTGTTGCCCTTAACGACGAGGTGTTTGAGATCAGAGAGATTGCCATCTGTATGATTGGACGCTTGAGCAGCAAAAATCCAGCTTACGTGATGCCGTCATTGAGAAAAACACTCATTCAGGTAAAAAAAACAACTTTCTGTCATTTGACACTATTGTCTCACTAACTGCCTCTTGTTTGTTATTTTTAATTTTAGAACATTAATATTGAATTTTTTTTTTTTTTAAATTTAAGTCGTACAAATATTCATGAAGGATTTTTTAATTCAATCAGATAGAAATTTCTTCCTCATTTTTAATCATGATAAATACTAAATAAGTAAAACAGCCTAAAAATTCAGAGATAAAATTTTAATCTTTTTAACACGAGCAGTGTGAGCAGTAAAGAGCTTGGTCTGACTGCACAAACATGGAAGCAAGTCTGGCTCAATACTGGTGGCAAAGGCTAGTTACTTTTGTTTTGTTTGACCCGTATTTGTTGTAAATAAATATATATATTTTTTTGGAAATTTTAGATTTTAACAGAGTTGGAGCACAGTGGTGTTGGCAGGAATAAAGAGCAAGCAGCTCGGATGTTAGGCCATCTTGTAGCTAATGCTGCAAGGCTTGTCAGACCTTATATGGATCCTATCCTAAAGGTAAAATTCTAAGTTGGAAAAAGTATTGAAAATTACAGATATTTGATGCGGTGAAGTTGCAGTTGGTGCGGTGAATAGTTGCCTCTTGTGTTTCTATCTCATGTATTAAAATATAAAGTGTAGTATTTTTCAGGGGGAGAGGGTGGGGATGGCATATAGATTTGCCCTTGTCCTACTGTCTGGCTGTCATGCTATCCATGCTAAGACTTACTGAGCAATGGGGCATCCATATCCTATAGATTCATTTCTACTTTATCTAATATTCTTTTTAGCTTATATATTTAATGCAAATGAAAACATATTATTAGAGTTTTCAAAAACTTTTAATATTTAAGTATATTTTCAAATGGTCTTTCCTACAGGTGTTGATTCCAAAGCTTAAGGATCCAGATCCAAATCCTGCAGTGACTGTCAGTGTATTGGCTGCCATTGGTGAGCAAGCCCAGGTAAGTTAACTCTTAACATGCTGAATATTTTAAATGGACATGTCCCATTTCCATTTTTGGGACTGTCCATCATCAATTTTAGGGATATCAATTTGAATATTTAAAGTTTGTAAGCCAACATTATAGAGCCTGGTCAGACTGCATGGACATGCAGGCTTGCCTGGCTCTATAATGTTGGCAAAGGCTTAACGCTTTCGGTTCCAGCACTTAAAGGCTGAATATAATCTTTGGTCTCTCAGTTATCAATGCCGGTGTAATAGGGCTTCTGTGGCTGAGTGGTTAAGGTAGCTGACTTGCAGTCACATGCCCCTTGTTATATGTTAGAATCTTGTTAATTGGAAATTTTAAGTTCAATGGAATGTGCAAAGGGAACCAGGTCTGTATTGAATTTGGATCTGTTCATTAGGGATATCAAGTTCAAAATATTAAATCGAAGCATCTAAAAGTTAACAGTCTTTTCAGAATATGCAAACTGACCCTATAATTGTAGTCTTAGTCTTCTAATATTCGTGTTTGCCTCTTGGCAATGAACCCTAACCTGCTCAATTTGTAATGAATTGGCCCTACTTTGAATTTTTAAAACAATGATTTAAACAGGTGAGATACATGCATACAACACCAGATCTATGCTTTGAATTTATCAATGCTTTGTATTTTGAATAACAAATTTAAAGTTTAAGGGATTTCAACATCAAGCTGTCACCAGTATAGAGCCTGGTCTGACTCTATATCTGAGCAGTCTGGCCTAGCTCTATACTGAAGGCAAATTCACTTTTGGTTTTGGCCGTATAAGGGCTAAAGAATATGTCAGATACTATAATCAATTTTCCGTCACTGTTTGTCAGTATATGTATACCTTATACATTGTATATTTCTTCAGGTTAGTGGAATTGAGATGAGAAAATCCATGGATGAACTGTTACCTATAATACTGGATATGCTACAAGACTCCTCAGCTCTACAGAAACGTGAGGTGAGTTCAGGACAATATACTTTACACTAATATTGATAATTAACAAGTGTATTTATTTAAACTGTGGCAGTTTTTGTGGTAAGGAAGTCCTGTCTGTATAGTGCCAAGTATTGATCGTAGGGCAGAGATTGGTTCTAGTGTACACATCTGAAGTTCGACATGGCTGAAAATTGATCAATTCAGAGATATCCTGTAGACCTAATAAAGGTCAGTGTTCCACCTAGGTATTGGCTTATGCCTGACAACATATACTGAGAGACACCTGAAAGCACCCTCCATATATAAAGCTGGATAGTTACAGTATGACCTTAGCAGAGTCCTGGTCAAAGCACACCTGAAATGTTTATGATAATATTAAAATATCAGGAATAGGTGCAAAAAAGGAAACTATATTGAGATATGTAAATAAAATTTTCATAATTATTTTATATGATTTGTAGGTTGCACTGTGGACAGTGGCACAGCTTATTGAGAGTACAGGATATGTTGTTGAACCGTACAAGAAATATCCCAAACTTCTAGAGGTACTTCTAGATTTCCTGAAGACAGAACAGTCCACAGGCATCAGGAGAGAGGTTTGTACCTTTACCTTACCTTTACCATAAATTTGTATTGTGTAGCATTTAGTAATGAAGTATTTCAAATACAATGTAGCTTTTTTATATGAAACAAAAAATTAATTTCCTAGCATAGGAGTTCGAAACTTTAATGGCACTACCAAAATAGACTCTGATAAAAGAATGGGAATATGTTTTGGTATTTCTTTATCACGTAGGATTAAAGTTCTTTATGTTATATCTAATATGGCTTGATACAAATACTAACACAAACTGACAAAAGATTACTGCAGAATAAAAAATGTGGTGCTAAAACTTGACATTTGTTTATAAAGATAGAAACATAAATTCTTTTGGGCAAGTTACCAAACACTTCTACCAAAAATGTATTGCTAGTAAACATTCTCTGTCATTCTTTATTAAAAGGTTGATTAATTGTCCAAAACTTGAGTTAAAAAAAAATATTTCTGAATATTTCCAATCTTCTCCATTCAAATACAAGAACTATATAAATAGTTACACATTTTCAGCAGGAAATGTTCAGCTTGGCAATCTTAGAAATGTCTCATAGATGTTAGCCATTACAAATACAAACGTATTAGACTAAATAAGTTATGGAAAGAATACACAAGTTTATATTGTATGAATTGATTGATATATTTACAGGTATTACGAGTTCTGGGTGTCCTAGGTGCACTAGATCCGCACAAACACAAGATGAACCTAGGTTTGATACAGAAAGGCGAGTCTGGAACAGTACTCAGCATGTCAGATCCCAAAACTGGTCAGGACTCTGCTCAAGAAGGTAAGCTGGCAGTTTGTTTTTTTAGAAATCGAGTCATTTTGAATGGATAGAATACCTACACTTAGGTCAATTTTTTGGTATATCACTGTATCTATTGATCAAGTCGTTACATGTAAACTGGTGCATAGCCAATTCACTATTCATAGTGAAAAATAATTATGTTTTGTTCACATTTTCTTTACTCAATATCAAGAAGTTATATGATAAAAGGTAAAATACATGAATGATTGCAAAAAGTTTTGGTTCCTAAGGGCTTGTGTGAATGTAACTTTACATACATGTAGTCAACTTGTTGTCCATAAAATGAATACCAAATGTAAATTATCATACAAATATTTTGAATTGATATAAAAAGATTTAAAATCACTTTTTACCTTCTATACAAGTTATTTTATGTAATGCTTTGTATAATAAATGTTCTTTATTGTGGCAGTAAAAACGTCATCATTTTTAAGGCTTTCACCCTTAATTTTAACAAAATGATCAGTTATCCACTGTACTTTTCTCTTCAGAAAACACGAGTGAAATGCTGGCAAACATGAGTGCCTCAGCCACGTTGGAGGAGTTCTACCCAGCCATTGCCATAGCAACGTTAATGAGGATTATACGTGACCCCACCCTGTCCAAGCACAACTCTATGGTTGTCCAAGCTATAACGTTTATATTTAAAAGTTTAGGTATTAAGTGCGTACCATATATACAGCAAGTGATTCCAGCCTATTTGACTGTGATACGAACAGCTGATCCCTCATTTAGAGATGTAAGTTAAAGTCTTGGGTGTTTTAGTCTATTGTTTGCAGCTTTATAATTTTAAATGACTGTAGGCCTTCAGGTCTGTATCGAAGCTGACGTCAGATCTATGACTCATAGCAGTCATGTAACGATTACTGTTGCACTTACTTTATTGTTTCAAGTCATAAGAGAGAAGGTGGGCTGTTCTATTGATTAAGTCAACTCCGTGGTTGAGGGGTTAGAGTCAGTGACTTCTAATCCAGTTACCTCTCTGGCATGGGTTCAATGCTTTGGTAGTTTAGCGCGCAGGAAGGTAGTCTAGTACTGGTGTAACTCTCCAGGAACGATGGTTAGAAAACTACCCGCCTATATGACTGAAATACTGTTGAGAAAAGGCGTAAAATGAAACAAACAAATTTATTGATTCAAGGCATAAGTGGGAGGACAATGCTACTTGAAGACCATAAGTTAGAGAATGGGACTTCTATATTTGTTCAAGTCATTAGTCAAGGCTTCTAAACTGGTTAGAGGCAGGGCTTTAAGGCAGCCTTCAGCTTTGATTTTCTGTTGGAAAAAACAGTTATGTGTTGTTTCATACTAAATATTTCAGTAATTTTATCACTGTGCATTATATCACTTTTAAGCATTCTTCAAAACAGTGTCCCGAGAGCTATTTATAACATACCACCTTAATTCTTTTGATTTGATAATTTTTTTATGAAACGATTTATCTAAAACATAACATATTTAACCAACTGCAGTATTCATACAAATGATGCAAGTAAAGTTTTTAAAGGAAGTCTTATATTTGATACTGTACCATATCTATTATTTTTCAGTCACTATTTCAACAGCTTGGATTAATTATCGCCATTGTGAATCAGCATATCAAAAACTACCTGGATGATATATTCAGTCTAATCAAGGTAACATATAGATATATACTGATGATTACATTTATAGCAAAACCAATGGTGGTTTTAGTGTGTATTCTAGGCTTAATGAGGGTCCATCCACCCTTTCAGGCACCCAGAGTATGGACCTTGAGGTGATTTTAGTATATAATATTCACTTAAAATTTAAAGTCATTTAAATTTAAGTCATTTAAGCTCGCGTTAGCTCAATAAGGAGGGTATTGGACTTGTAATTTAGGGGTCTCTGGTTTGATCCTCAAGTGAGGCACGTTGAGTCTAATGGTCATTTGTCACTGCTGATCTAGAAATCATGGGATTAGTAGTTGGTCACTTGCGGAAATGGTAATTCCAGGTTAATTATTCAGGAAAGCCAGTAAAGTGAACCAAGATGAAACCAAACAAATGAACATGTCACTTTTAAAATTCTTTAATTGACAAGCTTAAACTTAGGTCTCTTTCATTTTGAGGATAATTTGACTTTTAGTTAGAAATATTGTGAAAATAGTTTCATAAGCTTATGCTGAATGATTGAACTAAAATGCTATTTTTTTTATGCATACAGGAATTTTGGACACCAAACAGCCCAATGCAGAATACTATTATATTGTTGATAGAGCATATTGTTACTGCACTTGGTACAGATTTTAAGGTTTACTTGCCACAGATTATTCCCCAAATACTCAAAGTGTTCATGCACGATTCTAGTGCTCAGAGGGTCGTAACAGCTAAGGTAAGTTTACACTTAGAAGTTTCCATTTACTTGGAGTTAATTTAAAAAGATGTATTTAAACTAAAATGATATCAACAGTCATCGAATTTAGCAGTGGCCTGGTGGCCCATGGCCAGTTTAATTAGTTCAGGCCAGTGTAAATTTTAAGAAAATTTAGTTAAATATATTGTAGAATAAAATCAAAACTGGAATTTGGGCCAGTAAATTCAAAATCTTAAATTCATTGACTGTATAAATATTTCTCAAGTTTTCATCTATAACTTTCAATAGTCTTGTTGATATTAAATAAGCAAAAGTGGTAATGACCATTCAGGATTCATCCCCCAACCATCCCAGGGTTGAAAGGTCATTTCTTTACCAATTAAGCTACTACAATCTGCAGCTGAATATAAGTTACATGTAGTTAGTTATGAAACTGTATGCCAATTTGATAAAATTAAAGTGCAATTTTTTACCACAACTTAATTCCAATATTTGGATTGTTTTTGAAAAGAATACTTGGGCATGAAATCACCTGTAATTGTGCTTCTATTGGTGATATGTAAATGTTTTTCACCAGTGCTCTTTTCATTCGTGTCAAAACTTTTCAGCTTACTCTGGCCTGTTAAACAACTGAAGTTTTAGTATGGAGGACTTGTTTTATTTCAGTTATTAAATGCCCTACAGCTGTTTGGTGCTAACTTGGATGATTATTTACATTTGCTACTTCCTCCTGTTGTAAAATTGTTTGACTCAACAGATGTACCAATACCTGTCCGAAGGTATGTTTAATTTCTTATTTTATTAAATATATCTTCATAAAGTTTAGGAGTTTCACCAAGGTGTCAGCACATGCTGATGGACACATTAGCTGTATCCCAAGCTTGAATTTAATCATGTTATTTGTAATTCTATTGAATATGAAACCGGTTTGCATGATAGACCTTGTATAAATAGACTTACTCCAGAATTATTAATATTTGGGGTTTTCCCAGCAAATCCGTAGGTACAACAAACTTTTACAGTTACAGATTCGAAAATAAGCGCAGCAGGTTGACTAATCTGTTGTGACCGGTAGGGCACCATGAAGCTATAACAATAACAGGTTTGTTTAAAGTTGGGAATTTACTTGGAAAACCCACATTTGCCGAGTTCTTGATAGCATCTATTGAGTCCAAGAAATTAACATACATTGTATTTACTTTCGAAAGAGAGTGCTGAATTTTTAAGATTGTCTTACATATTTTCACTGACTTTCATTATTGATTATTACATTTCTGTATGTTTAAATATTACAGGGTTGCCCTGGAAACCATAGACAGACTGACGGACAATTTGGATTTGACTGATTTTGCGTCTCGTATTATACACCCCCTGGCTCGAACCCTAGACATGACTCCCGAGTTACAGTCAACAGCAATGGACACCCTGTGTGCCCTGATCATGCAACTAGGACAGAAGTTTCTCATCTTTATACCAATGTTGACGAAGATAACAACAAAACATAAGATACAGCATCAGAGATATAACATCCTTATGTGTATGATACTGAAGGTTTGTTGATTTTAAATTTTAAAGTTGATTCTTGAAAACCTAGTAGCATAGAATGTCATTGTTATTTAACACATATGGATTTTGTATGTTAAGTGAGCAGAATGTTTGTGAACAAAATATAATGTTGATATTTTTAGTAGTGTTTTGATATTGAAACCCATGAAACTGTTAATAGATTGTTCAAAATTTAAAGCTAGGCTTATCCATCACACAAATCAAACATGTTAAGGGTTAAAGGGACTCAACTGAGGTTTTTTGACATTACCAGACTACAAATAATATTTCGAGAGTTATGTTCCATTTGTAGTGTCTAGACCAATAACTAATTTCAAACCAAAACTTCAGATCAGTCTTTCTCTCCATTTTTCCAGAATGATTATTTTAATTGTGAAAAATGACCTGAAATTGAAAAGAGTTGGAATGTTTTTCACTCAAATTTGACTAAGAATACTACAAAAATAGGAATTTCAATTTATTTCTGAGTATATTTTCTTATTATCTTTTGCATATCATACATGTATTGTTTGAAGTACAGCTGTTGATCTATGCCAGAGATTAAAATTTAATGTTTCTGGGCTTTTGAACCCCTCAGTGGAGTTCCTTTAATATAATAATGATTTATTCTGACAGGGTACTACAATAGCCGAGGAAGAGGATGATCCTATATTAATGAAGTACAAGAGAAACAGGAGTAAAGTTGTCGAGTCAGAGAAGAAACAGTCAGAGCAGACGGTCATCAAAAAACTTCATGTTAGCTTTATGAATCTACAAATGGTATGTATTTTAATATTATACATGTACAAAGAGTGGTTAGAGCGAAACTGGTTTATCTGCTTCTTTTTCTATATAAAGATGGACAAGTTTCGCTCTAAGCCCTTGACATGTATCGGCTCTGCTCTGAAACCTTATGAATAGTGTACTTGATGAATTTTATAGGAGATAATTAGATGAATATGTATTGTAGGCTCTGGGTGCAGGAAGACGTGTCTCAAAGGAAGACTGGATGGAATGGTTGAGACGATTAAGTATAGAGTTATTGAAGGAGTCACCATCCCCTGCCCTCCGTTCATGCTGGGCCCTTGCTCAGTCCTACAACCCTCTTGCCAGGTTAGTTCTTACTTATGATAAACTTCTACGTTAGACTACACAAGCTGGATAGACAGCTATAGGTGTTTGTTTTTGTTAAAATGCTATTTTAGAAGGGATGATTTGGATAAAAACCTATAAGCCAAAAGTTCCACGACTGGTGTTTATAACCACAAGTTTTGTAGGTTTAATTATACCCCCGCACAACAAAGTTGTAAGGGGCGTATACTGGAATCAGCTTGTCCGTCCGGCTGTCTGGCCGTCCGGCCGTCCGTCGGTTTTTTCTTGTCCGCCCAATAACTTAAGATTCCTTTGACCCTTAGTCTTCATATTTGGCATGGAGGTTAGTCATGATTAGTAGATGACCCCTATTGATTTTGAGGACACCAGGTCAAAGTCAAGGTCACAGGGGGCCTTGACTTCAAAAACCTTGTCCGCCCAATAACTTAAGATTCCTTTGACCCACAGTCTTCATATTTGGCATGGAGGTTAGTCATGATTAGTAAAAAGACCCTAATTGATTTTGGAGTACCAGGTCAAAGGTCAAGGTCACACGGGGCTTGACCTTTCAAAAGCTTGTCCGCCCTATAAACTTAAGATTCCTTTGACCCACGTCTTCATATTTGGCAGGAGGCTAGTCATGATAAGTGATGACCCTATTGACTTTGAGGTCACCAGGTCAAAGGTAAGGTCACAGGGGCCTTGACTTCATAAAGGTTGTCCGCTCAATAACTTAAGATTCCTTTGACCCACAGTTCTTCATATTTGGCATGGAGGTTAGTCATGATTAGTAGATGATAACCTATTGACTTTGAGGTCACAGGTCAAAGGTCAAGGTCACAGGGCCTTGACTTCAAAAAAGCTTGTCCCCAATAACTTAAAATTCCTTTGACCCACCTCTTCATATTTTTGGAATGGAGGTTAGTCATGATTAGTAAGATGACCCCTAATTGACTTTGAGGTCACCAGGTCAAAGGTCAAGGTCACAGGGACTTTGACTTCAAAAAGCTTGTCTGCCCAATTTAACTTAAAGATTCCTTTGACCCACAGTCTTCATATTTTGGCATGGATTGTTGATCATGAATTAGTAGATGAAACCCCTTTTGATTTTGGAGGTCACTGGATCAAAGTTCAAGGTCAAGGGACTTTTAACTTCAAAAAGTTGTCCACCATTAACTTACGATTCCTTTGACCTACTGTCTGCATATTTGGCATGGAATGTTGGATCATGACTATAAGGTGACCCCCTATTTATTTTGAGGTCACTGGGTCAAAGGTCAAGGTCACAGGGATCTTGAACAATATAAAAGCTTTTCTTTCTCAATTGCTAAAGAATGTCCTGTCCGCAATGATTTGATTGGACAAATTTTTCACATTTGAAGCATGTAGAATAGCACATAAATTAGCAATGCAACTGGCTTAGTAACCTAGTTGGAGGGAAGTTGTTCTTTGAGCTCTAAATGGCCACTGTTGATTCTGACAAAGTGGTATGCGGGGGTATTCACGCCATGATAGTGGCAGTTCTAGTTTGTGTAGGAACACTTAAATATTGTCGGAATTGGAGAAAAATGCATTGGTCCTTAGGAATTTTCTAACTGCCAAATCTGCACATTAATGAGATGATACTGCGATGCAGGGTCTGAGGAAATATTTGACTAGATGCCAGATCCAGTTTCTTAACAGCGAGGCATAAAAGTATCTTTAAGAAACTTAACTACTTGTAGTGTGGTCCAAAGTAAAAATCACCTTCCTGTCTTGCCACAAATAATCCTCCATCTTGAAAATTGTACACTGTAACCGAAAAACACAACACTGTAAAACATTCCCTTTAGTGCTGATACAAAGAAAAATTAAAACTTAATAGTGCTATGTGGTTAAATTTAGCTGAAAAATCAAAGTTTCTTTATAACAAATTTATTACAGATTTCTAAAGATTTGAGCCGCGTCATGACAAACCAACTTAATGGGTTTGCGACTAGCATGGATCCAGACCAGCCTGCGCATCTGCGCAGTCTGATCAGGATCCATGCTGTTCGCTTACAAACCCTATTACAAGTAGAGAAACTGATAGCCAACAGCATGGATCCTGATCAGACTGCGCGGATGGGCAGGCTGGTCTGGATCTATGCTGGTCGCAAACACATAACATTGGTTTTGTCATGACACAGCTCATTTAATAACGTATATCATAATCGGATACAATTGAATAGATATATTAATCTTTATTTTCTTTTGTGATGATGTTTCTGATTTAATCAAAAACAAATGCTTGTACATGGCAAAAAATCTTTTGGTGAAAAATTAATGGCATGCCGTATAATATTATTTTGGTGATATATGAATAAACATTCCAGGGATCTGTTTAACGCAGCATTTGTGTCATGTTGGACGGAGTTGACTGAGACGCAACAAGATGAATTGATCAACAACTTAGAACAGGCATTAACGTCACAGGAAATACCAGAAATCACACAGACCTTGCTAAACCTTGCTGAGTTCATGGAACATTGTGATAAGGTAGTCAATAATTTCCTCCCTGAGTTTGAAAGATCAGAATTACTGGTCCATAATTTGTCCAAGAGAAATGAAAATTACTGGTCTTTTGTCCATTGTTGATGAATTGAAATTACTGGTTAATTGGCCATCTTCATTAAAGGTTTAAACCATGTTAAAGAAGTTATTTTTATATGAGGATGTCATATAGGAAGTATGTGATAGATATCTTATAGGAAGTATGTGGTAGATATATCATAGGAAGATATGCTAGATATCTCATAGGAAGTATGTGGTAGGTAACTCACAAGAAGTATGTGGTAGATATATCATAGGAAGTATGTGGTAGATATCTCATATGAAGTATGTGCTAGTTATCTCATAGGAAGTATGTGGTAGATATCTCATAGGAAGTATGCGTATATATATCTCATTGAAAATATGTGGTAGATATCTAATAGGAAGTATGAAATAGATATCTCATAGGAAGTATGTGGTAGATATCTCAGAGGAAGTATGTGGTAGATAATCTCATAGGCAGTATGTGGTAGATAATTTCATACGAAGTATGTGGTAGATATCTCAGAGGAAGTATGTGGTAGTAATTGATTGCCTGAGTGCACCTGTTTTTTTCCCTTCCATTAGTAACTCGTACTGTAAATGTTGGTGATGTTTATGCAAAAGCAAATTAAATATAGATTTTAAGCTAGCCCTTGACCTTGATAATGTTTCATGTAATATTTATATTTGATCACTCCCAATAGTTGTACAGAATTTTAAAGATTTGGGCTCTTTAGGTTCAATGATTTTACAACAGTTGATTTTTATATGTAAGGGAAAAAAAAAGGTTATTTGATACGTATTGAATAATACATGTATTGTTACAGGGTCCATTACCACTGGAAGCCTCATTATTAGGTCAGCAAGCTATGAAGTGTAGGGCATATGCTAAAGCTCTTCACTACAAGGAGGAGGAGTTCCACAGAGGCCCAACAACAGACACACTGGAGGCTTTAATAAGGTATTATGATTGAAAGAAGTCAAGATTTGATTTTGTTTTTCACTGTTATGAAAAACTGTTTAAGATATGTAAGCTTTGATAATAAAATTGAAAATTTCACCTTTAAGTTTTTAGGTCTTCAATCTTTAAAGTTGGGAAATTGCTATATGACCTTTAAACACAACAAAATTAATGAAACCAAACATTTTATAATTAAAATAGTAATAATTATATGCTGCTTATTTCCAGAAATTGTGAGTATTTACTAACAAAGTGCAAGTGAAAAGTGTTCGCTAGCTATTTCTACCAGTTTTCTGTAAACCTAATAGTTATATGTGTATAAATGGACATGTACATTTCTAAATATTTTAATTTTAGTATCAACAACAAGTTACAGCAGCCAGAATCAGCGGCTGGGGTACTAGAGTATGCCATGAAACATCACAGAGCTGATCTGGTATGTATATATTGTATACAGATTATCCCTATTTCCAAATAAATTGCATTGCAAATGGTCTGTCTCAGGTCCTCAGCATCACCATAAAGCTTCTGTTGGAGGGCTGTATCCTGAGGCCATGTTGCAGCTTGCTCCTGGTCATGTCGCTTACATCTTTGGAGGACATGCTCTGCAGTTTGGTCTTCTTCTCCATACGGACACATTGAAGATGGTTTTCTTTGATATTGGTGAATTTGTTAAATGATTGAAACCACAGGTGCCAGCCTTTTTATTACTTTTTAAAGCTACACATTCAAAGATAAACAAATGATGCAAACAAAATCATTACAAATTTTAGCGTTGCTGTTTACAATGATTCAATGTGGGGTTGGTATGTGGCCATCAGGTCCTTAGACTTAAAAGTTTTGAATTCAAAGCTTTGTCAGATTTTCTTACGATTGGTTATAGGCCTTTTGTCTTCTCCAGTGATGCATGTGAAATCCTCTGTGGCTGGATGATTATGGTCATTGTATTTATATCACATGCCTTTGGCGAATGTTGGTTCGAATCTTTTTATGGACTTCAAAGTTTGTATTATGATGATACCTTTAAACTAACTCACAGAAGGTATGTTGTTAAGGTCCCTGTTGTGACTGAACTTATGCATAGAGGACACACAAGTACTTCTTCCCTCAGGAAAGCTGTACTGTCAAGTGATATTTATTTCCCTCTTCTTTCCATCACTTACACAGTGATGCTTATTAATAATGCCAGCAAATTCGTGTCTTTCCATGCATTTAAACTAGTTAGTTATCAGTTTTTGTTTTAAATCTTCTGTAGAAAATCCAGGAAGGCTGGTTTGAGAAATTGCATGACTGGAACCGAGCATTGGAAGCTTATCAGGAGAAACAGTTACATAACCCTGAGAACGTGAACCTGATGCTAGGGAGAATGAGGTGTCTCGAGGCCCTTGCAGAGTGGAATCAGTTACATCAGTTAGCCTGTGAGAATTGGTCCACGGTCAGTGATGATGTGAGGAGTAAAATGGCCACCATGGCATCGGCTTCAGCTTGGGGTTTAGGTATGTTATCATTTTCACCATGTCATTTGCTTAGGATTTAATATTATTAAAATTGTCACCATGGCTTTGGCTTCAGTTTGGGGCTGCCATATGGTAAAATGTTTTTTTGTTATTTCTCTTTAGCTCTAGAAGAATTCAGAAACGTTTAGAGGGAAGAAGTTATCCAATTTGTGTAAAGTTGGTTTATCTATCTTCCTTAATGACTGAAGAAAAGATGCTTTGCAACATGTAAAAAGCTACAAAGTTGAGAAAAATAAGAAATCCTGAAATTTATGTTGCTACTGAAAATATCATTGACTTTCAATGAATATTATGTAGGATATAGAAATTTATTTCATACAGACTTGAGCTCTTTTTGGGGGTCAAGGCCACGATTTCTTATTTGACAACTGCACTGATTAGTTCCAAAAGTGTTCTTGAAAGTAGAATAAATTGTTTCACCATCAAGCTGACATAAATGCATGTACATGTATATTTTTACTTAAAGCTAGTGTTATTATTGAGAACTGTTTGAAATAGTTATTTATTCACCTCAGGTCAATGGGACACTATGGAAGAGTACATGTTATTTATTCCACGGACAACTTATGATGGAGCGTTTTATCGTGCCGTGTTTGCCGTGCATTCTGAGAACTTCCTCCTAGCACAGCAGTGTATCGACAAATCACGAGATATCCTAGATACAGAGCTGACGGCCATGGCTGGCGAGAGTTATAGCAGAGCTTATGGGGTAGGTACTTGAATATTTAAAAAAAAATTCACTTGAAAAATACTAGAATTTCTTTTTAATATTTATAGAAATTTGAAAGTTCATATTTCACTGTTAACTTTTCGTTCGTAAATTTGGGTATCTAGGAATACACAATTAGTATGATTGTGCTTTTGTCTTTTGTTAATTTTCATTGATTCAGACAGGGGAATCTGAAGTCTAGTGGTTAATGTCACTGTCCTCAAATCTCTTTCCCCTATTAAACTGCTTTGGGTTTGAATCCCATCAGGGACAATTGATTCTTCATATGAGGTGGGTTATTCTACTCATGTGTCCTCTTGGACTTGAAATAATGCAATTAGGGGCACCTGAGTTCTTCTTTTACCAGTAAAGCTGGAAAGTCGCCACTTGACCTATACAGTGTCATTGTGACTTAAAGTCTTACAATACAAAAAAAACATTCACTCAGATATGATCACATATATGTAATATATTTTGACAGGCAATGGTGAATGTTCAGATGTTATCAGAGCTGGAGGAGGTTATACAATATAAACTGGTTCCTGAAAGACGAGATGCCATCAAACAGATGTGGTGGGACAGACTACAGGTTAAATTTATAAATAACTTAAATGTTTGGTCATTGAAAGTTGATGACTTCGAATTATTAACTCCTGTGCCTTTATATGATAGAAAAGGCCAATGTTTGGATTTTTATGTTCAAACATTAATTCAAACATCATTCTTTTTTAGTCCAGTTTATAACAAGTAATTAGACATCTTTTATTTCATGCTTTTCGGTGGTTTATAGAAATATATCAGTGAAATATAAACTGATAATTTCACTGTTTGAAACAGTGAAAATATCAATTTGATAATTTTCACTGTGTTGAATTTAAGCCTGTTAAGTTGTTTCAGTGAAATGCCAGCATGTACAGTACTAGGAACCAACATACTGATGTGACATTTTAAATGACGTCAAGTTGTATTATTATTTAGTGCTAGGTAGTACTAGGTTAAAATGTCTTTTTAACGACAAATACTATTTATTTTGATAATGTAGGCCTATAGAAAAGTTTTTTTTATAAATTTTAAAAATTATTTTAAAAAACTACAGCAAAACTAAGTATGGAAAACAAAACATCAATTCAAACAAATTATATTTATTAAAGTGTCTTTTCTTTCATGTCTTACATTGATATTGAAAAAAATATTTTATGTTCATTTGTATAGGGTTGCCAGCGTGTAGCCGAAGATTGGCAGAGGATTATCCAGGTTCGATCCCTGGTTGTCTCCCCTCAGGAGGACATTAAAACATGGCTTAAATATTCTAGTCTTTGTAGAAAAAGTGGAAGACTGGTAAGTTTGTTTATTTGTATAAATATCCATTTCTTTACCCTTTTATGGCCCCCAAGTATTTGGGAGATAGAGATTTGCCCATGTCAGTCAGTCTGATTAGCAGTGGAATTGACTTGGAAAAAAAATCAAATTTGTTATTCCTGTAAAATGACATGATATTTCCTTTTGGTATGTGCAAAGAGAGGGTTGCTGTAAAGTTGCATATATATTTTTGGCATAAGGAAGGTTTAATGTCTTTAATAATAATGCCAAGTTGGGTTGATGATTTGATTTTCAGTTTTCAGTCTGAAAAATAAAAAGTTTGTGCAGTCCATGTATTTTCCTAATTTAAGTGTTGAAATACTTTCCTAATTAAGTTTTGAAATACTGAAAATTTCTTATCAATATCTTATATTCTTTTTTCAATATATTGATATTTTATATTTAAATGAGTGGGTCAATTTGCATATGATGTACAATTTGTATATATTTTCAGGCCCTGTCACACAAGACACTGGTCATGTTACTAGGAATGGATCCTAGTAAGCAACCTGACCAGCAAATACCTACAGTCAATCCAAAAATTACGTTTGCTTATCTTAAACATATGTGGAAAAATAACCAAAGGGTAAGTACAGTACATTACTAGCCTACATGTATTTGTATTCCCTTTAATTTCTAGTGAAAAATTACATTTTAAAATTATGTTTCAAGGCAGTTTCAAAAATGAATCAAGTTTCATGTTAGTGAGAAAGCACAACACCTCTCAGATTCATTCAAATTCTTTTGTTAATAAGTAAAGTGTTGATAATAATTGAAGCATTGTTAAAGGTTTATATCAAGAAATTTAAGGTAGCCTTTTATTTTCAAAAAAAAACAAAACAAAAAAATGCCTTTACTAATTTGCATGTAGTAATGGGTTGGAATTTTTTTAGGGTTGATCGCAACACTGCAGTAATTTATATGAAATAAAGAAGGACTAGCAACTGTTTTGCAGTTAACCCTCAATATGGTGCTTTAAATAGAAAAAAAAAATCAGTCGTATTTTGAATAAAATTGCAAAAACTTCAAATGGATTGTGAATATTAATCCTAAACGTGCTAAATATCTTATTCTAACACGACTCACATTTTTCCCTATTGAACATAGAAGAACCGAAAGTGTGTGTTATTATACCCCCAAAAACGAAGTTTGGGGGGGTATATAGGAGTCACCCGGTGGTCGGTCGGTCGGTCGGTTGGTCGGTCGGTCGGTCGGTCCAGACGTCCGTTGCATTTTCCTTGTCCGGAGCATAACTTGAAAACTAATGGTTGGAATTCAATATAACTACATACAATGGTCTAGCACATTGAGAGGAAGTGCAGTGCATAAGAACCATAACTCTATCTTGACTAATTGCAGAGTTATTGCCCTTTGTTACTTTTCCTTGTCCGGGGCATAACTTGAAAACTACTGGTTGGAATTCAAAACAACTTCATACAATTGTCAAACACAGTAAGGGGAAGTGCAGTGCACAAGAACCATAACTCTATCTAAAGTAATTACAGAGTTATTGCCCTTTGTTGCTTTTCCATTTGCTTTTTTTTTTGTCCGTTGCATTTTCCTTGTCCGGAGCATAACTTGAAGACTAATGGTTGGAATTCAATATAACTACATACAATGGTCAAGCACAATTGAGAGGAAGTGCAGTGCGTAAGAAACATAACTCTATCTTGACTAATTACAGAGTTATTGCCTTTGTTACTTTTTCCTTGTCCGTGGCATAACTTGAAAACTACTGGTTGGAATTCAAAACAACTTCATACAATTGTCAAACACAATAAGGAGAAGTGCAGTGCACAAGAACCATAACTCTATCTAAAGTAATTACAGAGTTATTGCCCTTTGTTGCTTTTCCATTGCCTTCTTTTTTTTGTCCGGACCATAACTTGAAGACTAATGGTTGGAATTCAATATAACTACATACAATGGTCAAGCACATTGAGAGGAAGTGCAGTGCATAAGAACCATAACTCTATCTAAAGTAATTACAGAGTTATTGCCCTTTATTACTTTTCCATTGCTTTCTTTTGTCCGGACCATAACTTAAAGACTAATTGTTGCAATTCATTATAACTTCATACAATGGTCCAGCACATTGAGAGGAAGTGCAGTGCACAAGAACCATAACTCCATTTTGACTTATTACAGAGTTACTGCCCTTTGTTTCTTTTCCTTGTCAAGAGCATGACTTTAAAACTACTGGTTGGAATTCAAAACAACTTCATACAATGGCCAAGCACAATAAGGGGAAGTGCAGTGCACAAGAACCATAACTCCATCTTGACTAATTACAGAGTTATTGCCCTTTGTTACTTTTCCATTGCTTTCTTTTGTCCGGACCATAACTTGAAGACTTATTGTTGGAATTCATTATAACTTCATACAATGGTCAAGCACATTAAGAGGAAGTGCAGTGCATAAGAACCATAACTCCATCTTGACTAATTACAGAGTTACTGCCCTTTGATACTTTTCCTTGTCCTGAGCATAACTTAAAACGTACTAGTTGGAATTTAAAACAACTTCATACAATGGTCAAGCACAATAAGAGAAAGTGCAGTGCACAAGAACTATAACTCTATCTTCAGTATTTATAGAGTTATTGCCCTTTGTTCTTTTTCTTTGTCTTTCTGGACTTATTACAGAGTAATTCAATTAAACTTCATCAATGGCCAACCACATTGAAAGGAAATGCAACATACATGAACCACAATTATCTTTAATTGCCCACAACCATAACTCTATGTTTCAATTCTATTACAAGGTATTCTGTTACTAGTTACATCCTCATTTCCGAAGCAGACTTGTGGGGGTATTAATCACATTTAGTGATAGTTCTAGTTATGCTATAAAATCACTGTTTGACGTTCTATATTTAGACCTGTGACGTAATCATTATACACGTGACGTAACCACTAAAAATGTGACGCGCTGACAATAAGTACGGAAACAAAAAAGGCGCAATTTACCTAAATATCAGGTACGGCAGCATTTATTTGTTGATGTCGTGTTAGAATCGAAATAATATATCCAAATCGGTGATTTTATTGCTTGATAACATCACTGTTTGTCGTTCGGATGCGCATCATTATATCACTCGGGCTACGCCCTCGTGATATAATTCCTCGCATCCGAACTCCAAACAGTGATGTTATTGAGCAATAAAATCACAGTTTGGGATATATTATTTCTTAAATAGACTATATAGATTTTTCAGTGTTCAAATGGCTTTGATGTGCTGGCTGACTGATCTGGTCTGCATTGGTTGCATGGGTAAATCAGTTGCAGACAGCAGGCTTTAATACATTTCTTAACAACTTTTCTTCAGTGTCATTTAAGAAAATAATACATCTGTAGGTGTGCAGCTTTAAAGTAAAGATTTTATTTATGTATTAATTGTGACTTTTCAGACTGATGCATATGAGAAGCTACAGATGTTTGTTAAACATTCTTTACAAACAAGAACATTACAACTTCTCTCACCAGAGGATGTTACACAGAGAACTGAGCTTAATAAACTCATGGCCAGGTAGGTCCCCCTACCATTGTACTTGTTTTTTTAAGTTTATATAAGGACATAATATATTTTGAAGTCTTTGCTTGCAATTCCAAGTGTATGTTGGTCCTGGACCAAATTTCTTACATTTTTACCAGGTCTTTGTATATTAGATGGGTGAATGTCAGTAGGTGGTTAGGCAGTTGAGTGTATTCCAGCTCAGCTTTCACAGAACAATAATCATTAGATGCACTGATGCATAATGTGGGGTTTTGAGATTTGATAATTTTACATTCCCACTTAACTTAATTTGTTAGATGCTAACTAGGAATCACTTTGTCCTGTTCTTCGAGTCTAGATTGTTTTTCTTAGCCCTTTGTGGGAAAAAAAAGCATATTTTTGTTTCAGCTACCAAAAGACTTATTTACAAAATGTGCAAAGTAAAAGGAGTTTCATATGTTAACATGTAAACAGATTCTGTTGAATTTTTTTTAAATGATCATTTCATAATAATTTTCATCTTATAGCTATGAATTTGAATACAGAGAAGGGATTTTTTTCATGGTATGAAAGTGTCATATTTGAAAAAAAGTGAAATATTTTTTCGTTTTGTTTCAGATGTTACCTGAAACTAGGTGACTGGTCAGAGGCCAATCTAGGCTTGAACGAGCAGACCATACCGCAGGTGCTAGATTACTTTGCCCTAGCCACTGAGCATGACAAGAACTGGTATAAGGCCTGGCATATGTGGGCACTCATGAACTATGAGGCAGTGTTGTTCTATAAACAGAAGGATTCCGGATCACAGAATCAGGAGATCAATTTGCCTATAACACCAAGACCAGATACAGTATGTAATATACATGTTTGAAAAAAATTACATTTCAGTACCAATTTGTCTCCCTTGATAGAAAATGAAGTGCATTTTATAGAGATTATCTCCCTTGACAGAAAGGCGGTGGATTTGATAAGACTTTCTTTTCTAACAATGAAAACATTAAAGATGTATATGCGCTTACCTGGACAAGTAATGCATTGATTATGTCTGGCTTACTTTATTTGACAGAAACCGCATATATTTCAATAATAATAAACATTGTCTGTTTTTTTCTCAGATTGCTTCCAAGATTCATAAGTATTGTGTTCCAGCAGTTCATGGATTCTTCAAGTCAATCAGTCTGTCCTCACAGAACAGTCTTCAAGATACACTAAGGTATATACTATGTGATATATAACATTATATAAATAACACAAAGCTTTATGAGTTACAGTAAAAATATTTGTTATACAGTTTGAGGTGATGGGGGTCGTATTTGTTTTAAATAACTATTTAATCCTCTCAGACTGTATTTAAGCTATGCTTGACCTGGAATGGATGCTTAAATGTCCGCTCTTTCATGCATTCAGGTTGATACTTTTGAAAATATATAAAGTGCTGGTGACACAGGTAATGAAGTAATCCTGAGAAGTTGAAACTACAAGGTAGCAGAAGTTTATTAGATAATTATACCCCCAAAAAACAAAGTTTGGGGGGGTATATAAGAGTCACCCGGTGGTCGGTCGGTTGGTCGGTCGGTCGGTCCAAACGTCCGTTGCATTGTCCAGAGCATAACTTGAAGACTGATGGTTGGAATTCAACATAACTACATACAATGGTCAAGCACATTGAGAGGAAGTGCAGTGCACAAGAACCATAACTCTATCTTGACTAATTACAGAGTTATTGCCCTTTGTTACTTTTCCTTGTCCTGGGCATAACTTGAAAACTACTGGTTGGAATTCAAAACAACTTCATACAATTGTCAAACACATTAAGGGGAAGTGCAGTGCACAAGAACCATAACTCTATCTAAAGTAATAACAGAGTTATTGCCCTTTGTTACTTTTCAATTGCTTTTTTTCTTGTCCGGACCATAACTTGAAGACTAATAGTTTGAATTCAATATAACTACATACAGTGGTCAAGCACATTGAGAGGAAGTGCAGTGCACAAGAACCATAACTCTATCTTGACTAATTACAGAGTTATTGCCCTTTGTTACTTTTCCTTGTCCGGGGCATAACTTGAAAACTACTGGTTGGAATTCAAAACAACTTCATACAATTGTCAAACACATTAAGGGGAAGTGCAGTGCACAAGAACCATAATTCTATCCAAAGTAATTACAGAGTTATTGCCCTTTGTTACTTTTCCATTGATTTTTTTGTCCAGACCATAACTGGAAGACTAATGGTTGGAATTCAATATAACTACATACAGTGGTCAAGCACATTGAGAGGAAGTGCAGTGCATAAGAACCATAACTCTATCTTGACTAATTACAGAGTTATTGCCCTTTGTTACTTTTCCTTGTCCGGGGCATAACTTGAAAACTACTGGTTGGAATTCAAAACAACTTCATACAATTGTCAAACACAATAAGGGGAAGTGCAGTGCACAAGAACCATAACTCTATCTAAAGTAATTACAGAGTTATTGCCCTTTGTTACTTTTCCTTTGCCTTTTTTGTCCGGACCATAACTTGAAGACTAATGGTTGGAATTCAATATAACTTCATACAATGGTCAAGCACATTGAGAGAAAGTGCAGTGCCAAAGAACCATAACTACATCTTGACTAATAACAGAGTTATTGCCCTTTGTTACTTTTCCTTGTCCAGAGCATAACTTGAAAACTACTGTTTGGAATTCAATACAACTTCATACAGTTGTCAAGGACATTAAAAGGAAGCCAGTGCACAAGAGCCATAACTCCATTTTGACAAAATACAGAGATACTGCCCTTTGATACTTTTCCTTGTCAGGAGCATAACTTAAAACGTACTGGTTGGAATTCAAAACAACTTCATACAATGGCCAAGCACAATAAGAGGAAGTGCAGTGCAAAAGAACGATAACTCTATCTTCAGTATTTATAGAGTTATTGCCCTTTGTTCCTTTTCTTTGTCCTTCTGGACTTATTACAGAGTAATTCAATTAATTTTCATCAGTGGCCGACCACATTGAAAGGAAATGCAACATATAAGAACCACAACTATCTTTAATTGCCCACAACCATAACTCTATATTTTAATTCTTTTACAAGGTATTCTGTTACTAGTAACATCCTCATTTCCTAAGCAGTCTTGTGGGGGTATTAATCACATTTAGTGATAGTTCTAGTTTTACATTGAAGTAGCTTTTTTTACCGTAATGAATCTAAAGCTGAAAAGGGGCGTCTGTGGCCAAGTGACTTCAAACTACTTGCCCATCACTGCTGTGGGTTTGAATTCTGACAGAGACTTTGGATTCTGTCATGTAAGGGAGCTAGCTATCCACCTAGCTTGCGGAACGTTGGTTGTTCTACTCGGGTACCCTTTTGTTCCTGAAATAATGCATGGAAGGGCACCTGAGGTCTTTCTCCACCAGTAATGCTGGAAAGTCGCCCATATGACCTATACTGTGTAAGTGCAACGTAAAACCCAACCAAACAAAGATAAAAAAAAAAAAAAGCTGAAAACTATTTTTCTGTCAACAGATTATTAACTCTATGGTTTGACTATGGACAGTGGCCTGAGGTACATGAAGCTCTGATAGATGGTATAAAGGCTATCAAGATAGATAATTGGCTACAGGTAAGATAATTGGCTAAATTACAGGTATGATAAATGACTAGATAGAAGATAATAAGCTAAATAAGATAAGTGGTCACAGATAGAATAATGAATCTGATGTTATTTTTACTACATTTTAAGGGTTAAAAATATAAAAAATTTATATTCTTTACTGTAATAATTGTTTTCTGTATTGTAGAAAAAGACAATACATGTATTTTGACACTCTTTTTTTTTGGAGAGGTGTAGATGCAGGAGATTTTTCTGTCACTTTGTTCATTCATAGACTGTTGTGGCATTTGTGGAAGCTTTTATGATATTCATATAGTAATAAATCTATTTTATTCTTTAGGTTATTCCCCAGTTAATTGCAAGGATTGACACATCTCGCACTCTGGTTGGAAGATTGATCCACCAGTTACTGATGGATGTAGGCAAGGAACATCCCCAAGCCCTTATCTATCCTCTGACAGTAGCATCCAAGTCTAACGTAACAGCTCGACAGAATGCCGCTAACAAAGTGCTGAAGAATATGAGGGAACACAGTAACACGCTGGTTCAACAAGCTATGTTGGTAGGGCAAACTTTTCATCTTTGGTTTGTTGTTGTAATTCAGACATTACTATGCTAAATATCTTCAATGGACTTGTCCATCCTTCATTCTGGACAAAACCATATATCATTTGAAGTGAAAACTTCAAAAATATGTACTGACTCAATAGCCAACAGCACTGAGTAAGATGTGCCATCTGATCTTGATAGCCCCTCAAGTGATTATGGCCAAATGGTTAAGATTGTTGGATCTCCTATGTACAACCTCAATGATTATGATACCAGATATATATGAAAAAAGATATATAGCTGCCTTATGAAAGGTGAATGTTCTACCAAGTTCCTCACCATGCCTGATACCTTTGGTCATAAGGCTAGTTCATTATATAGAAATAGCAGTGAAAGATGTGGATAAACAATATCTTGATTATGTCCTATTCAGGTGAGCGATGAGTTTATTAGAGTGGCTATTTTATGGCACGAATTATGGCATGAAGGCCTGGAGGAGGCGTCTAGGTTATACTTTGGAGAGAGGAACGTGAAAGGAATGTTCGCCACTTTGGAGCCGCTACATGCTATGATGGAACGAGGACCTCAAACACTGAAAGAGACTTCATTTAACCAGGTAAATTTTATCTATCTGTTCTTTTATTTGGCAGTAGATGAAATACTTTGATGAGTGGATGAGAAGGTTGCTAACCACTTGGAAACAATTCATAAAAGAGCAGCTGAGGTCTTCCGTCACCAGTATTAATGCTTTAAAAGTTGCTTTTTGATCTTTACCATGTCATTATGACTTAAACTGATCAAATAAAAAATCAGATAAATATTTTGAAAGGTAGAGCTCTATTAGAAGGAAAATTTGCTAGCAAAATTTAGTAAAAACTGTACAGTTTTTGTTAGTGACATACCAGCAAAGACATTGAATTTCTAATTTAGCAAGAAAGAATATACTCATAACATTTGTATTGATTATTATTCAGATTCTGTTATGCAAAGATTGAAGATTAAGTTTTGAACTTCTTAGGAACAATTTTTAGTCTGTGAGAGGAAAATGTAAATGCATTAGAAATAATGTCGCCAAGGCTGGGATTCAAACTTCTAACTTCCAGACTAGAAGTAAAAGTAAAAAGCTCTAAACCACTAACCCAAAGAATCAATTTCCTCATGCAGGTTGTACTGGTAGTTATGAAGGTAGATCATATGAGCCGATGACAAAACCGACATAATGCGTTTGCCACCAACATGGATCCAGACCAGCCTGCGCATCCGTGCAGTCTGATCAGGATCCTTGCTGTTAGCTATCAGTTTCTCTACTTGTTATAGGGTTTGTAAGCGAACAGCATGGATCCTGATCAGACTGCACATACTCAACCTTAACAAATGGTAGAAAGGTTATATATAATGATTTGACATGTAATGACTATTTCATATTGCAGGCATACGGGAGAGATTTGATGGAGGCGCAGGAATGGTGTAAGAAGTATCAGAGGTCTGGGAATGTTAAGGACCTTACACAGGCATGGGATTTATACTACCATGTGTTTAGAAGGATTTCAAAACAACTTCCGCAGGTACTTACCATGTTATGATAAATTGCACATTTATTAACCCTTTGCCTACTGTAATCAAAATGAATCCATTTTAAATGTTCTTTATTTCTAGAGACAAAATGAATTAAAAAGTTTCAATAGTTTTAGAAATTAAATACTATTTAATTTAAAGACAGCTGAATGGTTAAGCTTGAAAATGTCAAATCATTTGAGCCGTGTCATGACAAAACCAGCATAATGGGTTTGTGACCAGCATGGATCCAGACCAGCCTGCGCATGCGCGCAGTCTGATCAGGATCCATGCTGTTCGCTTACCAACTCTATTACAAGTAGAGAAACTGATAGCGAACAGCATGGATCCTGATCAGACTGCATGTATGCGCAGGCTGGTCTGGATCCATGCTGGTCGCAAACCCATTATGTTGGTTTTGTCATGACACGGCTCATTTGCTTCTCACCGCTGACTTTGAACTGTAACATGTGAGAAGGCTTTACAACTTAGTAAAGGTTGGTGGTCCTACTCCAGGCGTATTTGAACCAGAAACTATACATAATGAGCCACTTGAAATCATCCTTTACCAAGTTCAAGAATTATGTATAAAATATAACTCTGTTTATCACATAGCATTATTCCTCCAAGCGTTTCTTATAGACCAAAAAAAACAACAATAAATATCTTACTGAACAAATGCAGTATAGGACACCTTGATTATAATGAAAAGGCAAAGCCAAAAAATATTCAAACACCTAAAACTATTTTTATATACTGAACCAAAAAAGAAACTTTCGCAAAGTATGTGCCAGTTGTTCAAGGGTACCACTTAGATGTACACACTTGTATACATGTAGTAGCTTGTAAAACTCGTTTTGTTTGCAAAATCGGTCAGCTAATCCCCGTATAAAAGCCCAATATGTTTATTCAAGTAAAAATCGAGTTTCAAAAGGATTGAAAAACTGTACTAACATATCTACATTCAAACTTGGAGAAAGTTTCTTTTTTGTTTTAGTATATTTTCAATATTTTTCTACAAAATATTCTAGTTAACATCACTGGAGCTACAGTACGTTTCACCAAAGTTATTACGATGTCAAGAGTTAGAGTTAGCTGTTCCTGGCACATATGATCCCAAGCAGCCTATAGTAAAGATTCGCCGTGTACAGAGTAACTTGGCTGTTATCACATCGAAACAGAGACCTAGAAAAATCAGTGTGTTTGGTAAGTGATTTAGAACTTTTTTTTATTCTTTTTGGATCATATAGTTTCTTGTTGGTATGTACATATTGTATCTCATAACCCTTTTATTGGTTTCTATGTAAGATACAAGCCATGGTGGTACGCCAACTCAATAGAGAGAGCATCCGGATTGTAATCCGAGGGTCCGTATTTGATCCGAGGGCAGAGCAAAATTGTTCCATTACAAGCGATCGTAGACGATTGAGTCTTATGGTCAGTAGTCTCACCTCTGATTTAGATATTATGAGGGATTATTAGTCAGTTACTTGCAGAGAAATGGGAATTGCTGGTAAATTATCAGGAAAGCTGGTTAGATTGATCGCCCTCCAAGATATGACCAGAATTGTGTTAAATTGGCATAAAAACAACAACAGACAGACAGTTTGAATAAGCATAGCTGAATAATGAAACATGTTTATGCAACTGAAAATATTCACTTTCAAGTTTGCTTCTTGGTCTTATGAGTACTTATGCCGATACATGGTGTGATGAATGTATGGCTTGAACACATAGTCCTAGGATTGAGATGCGCACACTTTAACCCATTGACCTTTGCACCTCTTTGATAATCAGTTTATAATACCCCACAAATATAAATATGAGCCGCGTCATGACAAAACCAACATTATCGGTTTGCGACCAGCATGGATTCAGACCAGCCTGCGCATCCGCGCAGTCTGATCAGGATCCATGCTGTTCGCTTACAAACCCTATAACAAGTAGAGAAACTGAAAGCGAACAGCATGGCTCCTTATCAGACTGTGCGGATGCGCAGGCTGGTCTGGATCCATGCTGGTCGCAAACCCATTATGTTGGTTTTGTCGTAACGCGGCTCATATATGGATAGATCGGCCCTTCTCTACTTCACTGTCCATAGATGGACAAAACATTGGAACATGGGGGCACAATTGTCCTTTATACAAATTTCTAGTTATTGATATACATGTAGTTTACGATGCAAATTCTACACATTGTTAATGTTGTTACAGGGAGTGATGGACAAGAGTACCAGTTCTTGCTGAAAGGTCATGAAGATTTGAGACAAGATGAACGCGTGATGCAGTTGTTTGGATTGGTCAATTCTTTGTTACTAAGCGTCCCAGAGACATTCCGTAGAAATCTAACGTAAGTTGCAACTGCATACTTTCTCTTACTTTTGTCTTTCAGTGTTACAAACACTGGTATTTTTAAATTGTAATACTCCAATTACATAACTGACAAAAAGTGAAATATGGGAGCATCTGTGTCCTTAGGTTCCTGTGTTAAGCTGTCATATGAATATTGTGTAACAAAAAACAAAAAAAGTTTTAAGATTTTGTTTGTGAAATCCCTGAAATTTTACAATGGACTGTTCCAAATTCATAGTTGGACTAGTCCATTACACAAAATCAGTAGAGTAAGGGTTATTTTTACATTTCAGGATTCAGAGATTCTCTGTTATACCGTTGTCAACAAACTCCGGACTAATAGGCTGGGTACCACACACTGATACCCTACATTCTTTGATTCGAGACTACCGTGAAAAGAAGAAGATTCTCCTTAATATTGAACATAGACTCATGCTAAGGGTATATCACTTTATATTTACTTTTTTTCTCAGGAGTGAATATGGTATTTATTTGAAGCAAAATTATTTTTCTGGATGTAAAGGGGTCTTGATGTTTCAGTAAAATTCGAATTTACTTCTTGTATTACCTTGAACAGTGTTGATGATCCTGTTTTTATTTAAAAAATTGAAAAATGAATGGACAAATTAAAGTTATTATAAAGTTTCATAAAAATTATACACAGCTAACACAGGACATCATAGATAGGGCTGATTTTAAGGGAATGGCAAGTTAAAATAATTGATGTAAACATAATGGTTTATAGAATAAAAAGTTCATGTTTACTGATATGCTTTTTAGATTTCAGTATCCATTAAGATTTAAGTAATATTACTTTGATACAGGAAATCACAACTTGTGTAAAATTGAAGCAAAAATGAAAGGCTGATTCAGGGGAATGGCAAGTTTGTCAAAATATGTCATTTGGAATTAAATCTTCATAACTTGTATAACGTTTTTTAGCTCGACTTTTCTATGAAAAGGGGAGCTATCCTACTCGCCCCGGCGTCGGCGTTAGCGTTAGCGTTGGCGTCACACCTTGGTTAAGTTTTTCGTACCACCCCACTTTATTTCAGAAGTATTACAAGTATGGCTTTGAAACTTACCATACTTGTTCACCATCATAACCTCCATCTACAGACAAGAGTACATAACTCTGTCAAGGTTTTTGACAGAATTATGGCCCTTTTTTGACTTAGAAAGTGTATTGAGCTTGGTTAAGTTTTTTGTACCACCTCACTTTATTTCAAAACCATTGGAGGTATTGCTTTGAAACTGACCATACTTGTTTACCATCACGACCTTCATCAACAGACAAGAGGACATAACTCTGTCAAGGTTTTTGACAGAATTATGCCCCTTTTTGACTTAGAAAATACATTGAATATGGGTAAATCCACTTATTGCCTTAACCCTTTGAGATATTGCTTTGAAACTTTTAATGCTATTTCACATCATTACCCCCATCTGTACGCAAGAGAAGGTAACTCTGTCAAGGATTTGTTTTAAAAATTAAGGCCTTTTATCGACTTAGAATCTTGGTTAAGTTTTTAGTACCAGTCCACTTTTTGACTGAACTGTTTGAGATATTAATTTGAAAGTTGGAATACTTGTTTACCATCATGGTCCCAAAACATGGGCAGGAGAAGGTAATTCTGTTAAGGATTTTATTTGAATTATGGCCCTTTTTGACTTAGAAACTCAGTTAAGATTTTCATTCTTGTCCACTTGTTGACTTAACCATTTGAGATATTACTTTGGAAGTTGGAGTTCTTATGTGCCATCATGAGACCTATCTGTAAGCAAGAGAAGATAACTCTGTGAAAATGTTTCTTGATTTGTACTTAGAAATTCCTAGTTAAAGTCTTGTGTGCCCTTAACTGTCAAAGTTTTGTTTTATAGGCAAGCACTAAAAAAGTCGAGCGCGCTGTCCTTCTGACAGCTCTTGTTAAGATTTCAATATCTATTAAGATTTCAGTAATCTAACTTTAACACAGCAAACAGCAAATTGTTTGAAAATTAGCAAAATAAAGATATTTAAATATTGATTCTTCTTGTAAAACAGATGGCCCCAGATTATGATCACCTGACATTGATGCAGAAAGTGGAAGTGTTTGAGCATGCCCTAGAACACACACAGGGAGATGACCTGGCAAAGATACTCTGGTACAAGAGTCCAAACTCTGAGGTAATACCACAACATAATACATTGTTTCATAATGGTTTGATATTTAATAATATCCGGCTATTCCAACTGTACTGAGTTAGAGACTTTTATGCACTCTGTCCATGATTTACAGATGGCAACTAAGTTTTTAGAATTTAATTTTTTTTTTTTTAAATTGGAACCTTTAACCTTCTGAAACCGAATGTGATTAGTCTTTGTTTTTAGTATAGAGCCATGCCAGCCTGATTGCCCATGTTGTTTGACCAGACTCTACATTGTTGCATGACAAACTTTAAATTTTTGTCTGGATAACTTAAAAATTGACACTGGACAGTCAAAAATATATTAGCTGGGCATTTCTCTTTAAAGAAATTCAGCATGTTATAAGTAAAAAGCAAAAAAAAAAAGGATCTAAGAAGTTTAACCAGAAGCTTGATTTTTCTAAGAAGTTTAACCAGAAGCTTGATTTTTCTAAGAAGTATGTTTAACCAAAAGCTTGATTTTTTTTTCTCTCTCAAAATTTAAGATATGGTTTGATAGAAGGACCAACTACACACGGTCTCTGGCTGTGATGTCAATGGTGGGCTATGTTCTTGGACTAGGTGACAGGTAAGTGATCTTTTGAGTCATCATTTTCAATGTTCTTCATATTTATTAGTAATCATGATAAATTCATAGATTTTTTTTTTCTTTCATTTTTATCTAGGAAAAATTTTTATGTGAAACAAAATTTCAAATTTATTGAGAAACATTTTATGGGAAACTAATAATTAATTTTTATGCATGTTAATTTTGTTAAGCAATATTTAATTAATTTAGCAAAGTTGCTATTTTTGCAAATCTCATAAGACCTGAATTTGCATTCATTGAAAATTAAAGGAAAAGGCAACTTTTAGATGAAATAGATAATCACATTGATGTATTTTGTTTGCAGACATCCTTCCAATTTGATGTTAGATCGAATGAGCGGAAAGATAATACACATTGATTTTGGCGACTGTTTTGAGGTTGCCATGGTGAGGGAGAAATTCCCGGAGAAGATACCTTTTAGATTAACACGTATGCTAATTAATGCCATGGAGGTACGTACTTATATAGTGTAAATTTTTAGATCCTGTCTGTAAAGAAAGACCCTGAAAATTAACTGATAACTTTTAAGTATTTTTAGCTGGTAAATTGATCAAACTAGTTTGTTCTTTTGAGTATCGCTGGATTTAGAGTTATGAAGCATCTCTCATTAAATTATCTTCCCCACACAATTGTGAATTTGGTTCTGTCATGGGTTTTGAATTCTTTGTGCAACAGTTAAGAAGCAATGAGAGTAACTCACAGGTTGTAGGGTCAAGGTAATTGCCAGGTCTTTGCCTTAAAAACTGCTTGGAAGATTATTTTGAGCTTTTCTTCATCAGTAAAGCTTAAGGAAATTGCCAAAGTTATAAAAATTTTGTGCGACCTGTTTGAAACTTAATGAAATTGTATATTCCCGTTCTTTAAATTATATACTACATTTACTTTATGCTTAAAACAGGTTAACTTGAAACTTTACTATTAACTCATTTATTGTATTAAAGGTGACAGGTATCGGTGGCAACTACAAGATGACATGTGAAAGTGTCATGTCAGTATTGAGAGAACATAAAGACAGTCTCATGGCAGTGTTGGAAGCCTTTGTATATGATCCATTACTTAACTGGAGACTTATGGATAGTAAGTTATTCTAACCCTTTATTATGCTGGAACCAGGAATGATTCGCCTTTGCCACCAGTCTAGAATGATAGTAATTATTTTCTTACCATATCTGTTATCATTTTTGTGTGAAAATGCTATGGAAAAAAGTGAATGAAAGATGGTTTCAGCAGTAATGACTGCTTTAAGCAAATAACCATCCCAGTTTACATTTAACTGTTACGTTTTCTGGTTGTTGGCCACTAAATTTAAATTGTGAAATATATGTTGCTTCAATTATATAAGATTGGAACAGATACAGACTGTTTATGGTCATTGTCCTGAAACCACTTGCCCGTTGTGGTAGGCTATGTATCAAAGATTAAAATTGTGAGTAAAGACTTCACTGCTGTGGGTTCGAATCCCACCTTTTTTTTTTTCATGGATTCTTGTAAGGAAGCTTTTCAGCTAGCTTTCAGTAGTGCATTGGTTCTACTAAGTAGCCTTTTTGTGCCTGAAATAATACACGTAGTTGTGCCTAACATCTACTATCAATAGTAAAGCTGTAAAGTCGGCATACAACCTTTATAGTGTTGAAGCGATGTATAACACAACCAAAAAAGAAGGAATATGTTTATTGAGAGCTGTAACAGGTGATATAAAATATATATTTTGGATATTTTTTATTTATGTTATTTTCCTTTTCTTTTCAGCGACCACAAAAACTAAGACGAAATCAACGCGCTCGGATCCAACCTACTCTGAGAGCAGTAACGACCAGGGAGACAACTTTGAGAACGTAGAGTTGACACAGTCTAGTCATAAGAAATCAGTAGCGGAGGCAAGCCAACCCGCAGCTGGTGATAATTCGCAACAAGAGAGTCTGAACAAGAAGGCTATTAGCATCGTCGAGCATGTTCGTGCTAAACTGACAGGTCGTGATTTCTCCGTGGAGACGCCAGTGGATGTAGCCAATCAGGTGGACTTATTAATCAAGCAGGCAACATCGCACGAGAATCTATGCCAGTGTTATATTGGTTGGTGCCCATTCTGGTGAAAAAAATAAATAAAACAGTGGTAAATAATTTTAAACTGTATAAACACAACGAGGTTTATCCTGTAAAACCAAAATATATTTGTAAAGTATAGATAAATGTTAATGAAACAGAGACAAAGTGTGTAAACATTAAAATCAAATGAATAGGTCAAGGACTGTTTCTAATTTTATTAATCCTAGAAAGCTCTAGGACAGTATTAAAGGTTAAAAATATGTTCTACATGTATTTACAATTTTTCCAGTTAACAACACTTGTTGGAAAGATTGAAATGGACACCTCCATAGTGATGTGTCAGTAAATCATTTACCCATCAATGTTTTGGGCATAAAATCATACCAAAGATTTGGATTCTCATAATAAGTTGTAACAAAGGTTGATGGTTTAACATGGGTGCCTGCTTGTGCGTGAAATAAGATATAAAGAGCCACCCAGAGGTAATTTTCCACCTGCTAAACTGACCTCCACTGCTAGGTGCAACTCGATTGATATGACCCAACCAAAGCGAAAAGAGGATAATTATTGTAATGAACTGGTGTTTTGATATATAATTCTTGGGCAATCACTATAGAAGTTTGAAATTTTTACACTGAAAAAGAGATGCAATATTGACGTAAATTTTTTAATTTTTATGACATGGTGTGAACAAAGTTCTGTGTAAAACAATATTGTTTAAATTTCTCGGATAATGGTACATATATGTTTCACATATTGTGGTGCTGTTGATAAACTGTATCTTTAGACAATATCTTACAGGAGTATCTTTTTGTCACTTCAATATGCATATTTGTTTTTATGATTGATGTCATTCACATATGTTGATATATGCAATCACATATTATGTTATTTATGTGATCACATTTTATGTTATTTATGTGATCATACATTATGTCGATTTATGTGATCAGAGTCCTACATTATGTGGATTGATGTCATTATGTATTGTGTCGATTTATGTGATCATAAATTGTTTTGATGCATGTGGATATGTGTGAATTATGTTGATACACATCATTTACAAGGGGTGTTCGTGGCAAAGTGGTTATGGTCGTTGACTTCAAACCACATGCCCCTCGTCGCTCTGGGTTTGAATCCTGACATGAACTGTGGCTCCTTTCATTTGAGGAAGCTATCTAGTTAGTTTACGGAATGTTGGTGCTACTCGGGTGCCCGTTCATGCCTGAAATAATGCACGGAAGGGCACCTGAGGTCTTCCTCCACCAGTAAACCAAGAAAGTCACCATATGTCCTATACTTTTTGGTGTGACAAAATCAACCCCCCCCCCCCCCCAAAAAAAAAAAAAAAGATGTGATCATTTATTATGTCGATTAATGTGATCACGTATAATGTTGATTCATGTGGTTATGTTGTTATATATATATGGTCATATTTTATGTTGACTTATATGATCATACATTATGTTGATTCATGTGATTATGTTGATATATATGGTCATGTTTTATGTTGATTAATGTGATCATTTATATTAAACATGTAAATGTTGATTTTGATTCATGTAAACATGTTGATTACTGATTTCAATCACAGTTACACAGATACACTACAAATACATTACATTTTACCTTTGTGAGTTATTTAGCTATAGTTTTTTTTGCAACCAAAAGAAAATTCAGACAAACAAAGAATACAACTGTTCCTTGGTTTTATTGTGATGCTGTAAGTCTAACCTTTAATCTTGTTTAATTTAGGCATCAAAATAACGAAGTATTTGATATAATCAAGTGGTGAAAATGTGTGCTCAGAATGGGGAAAAACTATTGTCATTTACCTTACCTATTTTCATTGATATACTTTGTAAGTTATTTTTTTCTTCTAATAGTGAATATGTATTGTTAAGAATATATTAAATGATTCTTTGGAATTAATATGTGTATTAATGATAAAAGGTTTTGTTCGTTTGTTGCATAATGAAAATAAAATAATAAAAAATGTATTTCAGAATTATTGTTCTTATTAGTTTACTTCATTTACCTGAAAACATCATCAAAGGGAAATATTGACAATTTCCAAAAACCTAGCTTAACACCATTTTCAGGTGTGTTACGGATTTAGCTCTGAGGAATTAAACTTCATGGTTTGGTTTAAACATATTTATTTAAGCTTGATTGCAAAACAAGTTCTTGCAACTTATATTAGTCACTTTTGAGTCCGCTTAAATGAAGAAACATGGTCGTGACCCGAAAAGGGCTCGAACCCATGATCCCTGGGTAGAGAGGCAGACACCTTAACCACTAGGCCACCGCTCCCCTTAAACTTAATGAACCTGTTATAACCTGGTGTTTACCCCTCACCGCTGTGAGTTCGACTAAGGCGCCCGCTCAGTCCTGAAATAATGCAAGTAGGATTTTTCTATTCTAGTAACGCTGAAAAGTCGTATCGGTGTGTTACTTGAAAACAAATAACACGTAATGCTCTCAAGGTTTCTTTATTTCAGAATTTTCATTTCTTATGATGATATTAAATCCGATTTATACTTATTTACTTCGCATACACATCACGAAACAAGGAAGGAAACAGTTTCTCATAAAACACCGTCCATATGTATTTTATCAACAGAGTAAGAAATGAGCAAAGGTTATTATATATTAATTTGTAACATTTAATAATGTAACCTAAGATCACGCTAACTTACTGAAGAAAACACGAAAATCATCATTAATGTCTCACCAGAGATTTCTCTTTCATAGCCTAATAATTAGATTTTCGTCTGCTCCATATCTTAAACCATACTAGGCTTTGTAAACACTCGTAACACTAAAACTTACGGAAGCTCAAAACGGCCTTAATGGACTTCCGCATGATTATCTAACTCAAAAACGGCCTCAATGGGCTTCCGTATCTAATTCAAAAACGGCCTCAATGCACTTCCTTATCTTACTCAAAAACGGTCTCAATGGGTTTCCTTATCAAACTAAAAAAACGGCCTCAATTGGTTTCCGTATCTAACTCAAAAAACGGCCTCAATGGGCTTCCTTATCTACCTCAAAAACGGCCTCAATGGGCTTCCTTATCTTACTCAAAAACGGCCTCAATGGGCTTCCTTATCTAATTAAAAACGGCCTCAATTGACTTCCTTATCTTACTTAAAAAAACGGCCTCAATTAGCTTCCTTATCTAACTCAAAAAACGGCCTCAATGGGCTTCCTTATCTAACTCAAAAACGGCCTCAATGGGCTTCCTTATCTAACTCAAAAACGGCCTCAATTGGCTTCCTTATCTTACTCAAAAACGGCCTCAATTGGCTTCCGTATCAAACTAAAAAAAACGGCCTCAATTGGCTTCCGTATCTAACTCAAAAACGGTCTCTATGGACTTTCTTATCTTACTCAAAAAAACGGCCTCAATTGGCTTCCGTATCTAACTAAAAAAAAACGGCCTCAATTGGCTTCCTTATCTAACTCAAAAACGGCGTAATGGGCTTCTGTATCTAACTCAAAACGGCCTCAATTGGCGTCCTTATCTAATTCAAAAACGGCCTCAATAGGCTTCCTTATCTAACTCAAAGCGGCCTAAATGGGCTTCCGTTTCTTATTCAAAGCGGCCTCAATGTGCTTCCGTATCTAACTCAAAACGGTCTCAATGGGTTCCTTATCTAACTCAAAGCGGCCTCAATGGGCTTCCGTTTCTTATTCAAAGCGGCCTCAATAGGCTTCCGTATCTAACTCAAAACGGCCTCATCTAACTCAAAGCGGCCTCAATGGGCTTCCGTATCTTATTCAAAACGGCCCAAATGAGCTTCCGTATCTAGCTCAAAGCGGTCTCAATGGGCTTTCGTATCTACCTCAAAAACGTCCCCAATGACCTTCTGTAGTGACTAGACTGTGTTGATTTCTGAACTCATTTATTTTATTAGAATAATAATTTCTGATCAGCACTTTTTGTTTTGAATTAGCGGAAAGTTTTTAATTAAGCTATCAGGGATAGAAACAGAAAATAATTATAACTAAATCTTGTATGATCCTCACATTATGGCACTCCTCAAGCACCGCCCGTCCTACTTTTTGGTACTATAATATAATCGTTTTCCCTTTTTAACCGAGTCGTAACTGGTATCCACATTTTCTGGTTGAACTTAAAGGGACTCCACTGAGGTTTTTTGACATGACGGGACTGTAAATAATTTTTTGAGATTATTACTCCATTTGATGTAGATCTTTACTTATAACTCATGTGCAGAATTTCATATCATTAGCTTGCTCCGTTTTTTCCAGAATAATTATTATAATAGTGAAAAATGACCCAAAATTGAAAAGCGTTTAAACGATTTTCACTCCAATCGGACTGAAAATAGCACAAACATATGATTTTCAATGTATTTCTTGTATATTTCCTTATTATATTTTATTTATATTTCTGTGTTTATCTATGTGAAAAATTAAAATTTTATGTTTTTAGGCTTATAAACCTCAGTGGAGTTCCTTTCAGCCTGAATGAGATTGATAATGATGTTTTGCTTTTAATCATTTCAATGCAGCCGGCAAGCATTGTTGGCCTTTGACAAACAACGACAATTGCATTCTGAAAATGACTTTATATAGTCAGCTTCTATTCTATGGATTGTTTTTATTTTCATTCACTAATAATATCAAAATTAAAAAAAGAATAATATGAAAGAATCATTCAATTTTGACGTTTATCATGAAAACCTAAACAACTGACATATCTGGTTAATTTAAATATAGCTAAAGTTAATATAACGTGCAGCCTTAGGAATTGTGAAAGAATAACACTTGAACAGGAGGTTTTTCAACACAGGAAAACAAGTTTTTCAAGAACCATCAAATTGAAAGAATAAAAATTGAATTGAAATAATGAATTGTTAAATCAGTACAAATGTATTTATAAATCTCAAAACAGGAAATTGTATTATAATTGTAATAAAGGAAAATATTATAATTATAATTATTCAAAAGGTAGAATTAAACGGCAACATTTGATCTCAATACAGGCAACTTACCTTGTAAGTGATCATTTTGCAGATGTTAAACGGTTGCATTTGATCTCGATACTAAAAAAAAGTTATTGTTCAAAAATGAATCGTGGCATTTGATCTCGATACAGAAATATTATTGTTCAAAGATGAATCATGGCATTTGATCTCAATCTTACCTTATAATTGTTCATATTGCAGATGTTAAATGGTGGCATTTGATCTCAATACAGAAATAATTATTGTTCAAAATTGAATATTTGCATTAGATAACAACTATAATTATTCAAATCTCATATATTAAATGGTGGCATTTGATCTCAATACAGGAAAATTTCATAATAATAGATTAAACGGCTTAAATTAAATGATTGTTTTGATTGCTTATTCTGTACCCATTATATGGAGGTTGTCTTTAAAACAGGTTTTTATGTAGTTGTGAATATTGTATAACTAGTAGGCTTTATTGGCACAGGAAAGGACCTTTTCTAACATACTTATCTGGCATAGAATATAAAACAAAACAATTCGTTAACATTTAAATTTTATTCCACATATTTCTTAACATCAATTTAAATTCATTTTCAATTTACACAAGTACAATCATTGATATCACATAAAACTAACATTGTATAGAGTGTAAACGAGATGGCTATTTTATGAAAGCTGTAAATTATGATAGAAAACATGAACAAAACTTAAATTTAAATAACTTTAGATAACTTTAAATAAGTGAACCTTTTCGCCACGAAATTTGTAAAAAAAACCAATCGTCCGGTTTTGAATTTGAAACTGTCCGTACTGTAGTTATTATAAAAAGTTTCTGTACAAGATTGTCTAATATGTGACGTCATATGACGTCACATCCAATTCAAGCCGTAGCAAATCTAGCAACAAATAATATTAATGTTAAAGCAGAAATAAATAAAATATGTAAACTCTACACCGTGTATCCCAGCAATTTAACTTTCGTACAAACTCGACAAATTCAGTCACATCCCTATATTTATATTGATAGCGTCCAGTTGCTGCGATTGTCGTAATAACTCTTATACACGGGAAATGGCGGAATATACCGACTTGTAACGATTTAGTGTGTGTACTTATTGCCTTTAATAATGGTTAAAAAGGTGTTTAAATATTTGAATTGTTCAAAGAAATTAATTGATTGTATGTATCAGCCCCATCATATGAATAAGTGTCGTTTACATGAATAAGTAAAAATTATACAAATAAGTGTCGTTCACATGAATAAGAATGAGTGTCGTTCACATGTATAAGTGTTGTTCTTAAATATCGTTTACATGAAAAGCAATGTTGCTATAAATAAGTGTGGTTCACATGAATAAGTAATATTTCTATAAATAAGTGTCGTTCACATGAATAAGTATAATTTCTATAAATATGTGTCCTTCACATGAATAAGTAATATTTCAATAAAGTACGTTCACATGAATAAGCAATATTTCTATAAATAAGTGTCGTTCACATGCATAAGTGAAATTTAAATGCAAAAGAATCGTTTATATGAATAATGTGCCGTTCATGTGAATTCATTTCTAGAAAATGAATGAAAATAAAGATTCAAACTCAAAATGCATTTATTATAAAGTACGTACTACTTATAACATAAGCAGTCAAATTTAAAATGCACTATGTATAAAAACTCCTTAATGTCCCAATAAAAATATAAAATATTAATGTAATATTGCACTCAACTTTATGTTATATACCAAATATCAGGTATTAACAATTTGCACATACTTGCTTATAAAATTGCTAATTGTACTTCATAGGCTATTTAGATTTCAATTTAATGAGAAAATGCCAATATTTCCTTACCATTACCGTTTCCTATTAACCAAATGACGTCATCTAGAACTGTTAAAAACAGTTCACAAGGCTTTTATGACATATGCTAAACAGAAATATTTATTAGAAATAATAAGAGCTATTTTGCAATGTTAAGCATGTGTTCTAACAATACGCCACACTCGATAAAATATCCAATTTGTAGCAAAATACTTGCGTGTTGAATGATCGTTAATTTATTTACAAAGTAATATTTTTGTAATATTCCGGCCTATGGAAATCGCTTAACGCACCATTAATATAAGACCGTATTCTTGTTCTTAAATCATCTATTATTAGATATAAAATGGTTATCATAACAAAAAAGCGAAAATCTTTTCTATTGGTCTAAACGCCGCCAAAACCTTTCAACTGATTGAGTAAACAATTGGCAGAAGATCTTTGCTTGAATTGGCATCTGATTTTTGCTTTTAGTTTGGAAAGAACTGACATCTTAGATGACCTTTATGAAATTAGATTTGACAGACGCTCTTCTTAGAAAACAGATCTCTTTTCGACTGATCCAGTGAAGAATATATTCAACAAATGAGCCGTGTCACGACAAAACCAACATAGTGGGTTTGCGACCAGCATGGACCTGACCAGCCTGCGCATCCGCGCATTCTGATCAGGATCCATGCTGTTCGATATCAGTTTCTTTAATTGTAATAGAGTTGGTAAGCGAACAGCATGGATCCTGATCAGACTGCGCGGATGCGCAGGCTGGTCTGGATCCATGCTGGTCGCAAACGCATTATGTTGGTTTTGTCGTGACGCGGCTCAAATCATTTCGTTTCAAAAATATCTTTGTTTTACAGATATATTAAATGACAGTTCATATTAATAAATAACTTTGATGTCAGAGGTCCAATAGAATGTAGTAGATCTTTTAAATGTATTGTTTTGTAGTTTCATACAGACAAAAATCTGACATAAGGAGTTAGAAAGCGGTAAGGAGTTAGAAAGCGGGTTTTTTTTAGAATTATATTAGTGCATTGAACATAGAGGTCCATCTAGTAATTGTTACACGTCAGTATCAGACGTATTATGTTCTTTTATGTCAGTTTAAAAGATGACGTCGATGTTATGACATTTAAAAATAATGACGTCATGTTTGTTAACATTTAGATTCTATTTTTTTGTTCAACATTTTCTCCAGAATAATGAAAACAACACTTGACCTTCAAGTATATCGTACTACATTGTATTACAACAAAGTCGCAACTTCTATTGTTGCTTCAAAATGCAATTGATATAAAAAAAGTAATTTTAAATAGTCAATATAAATGCGTCAATTGATAGTGTCATACTATGTACAGTTTTAAATAAAAATTTACCCGCGTTTCCATTTAAAATTAAAACACCCTGTAATCCCGTTACATTACGTTAATCCACTTTATTCCGATTGTTCCGGTAATGAGAACACTTTTTCGCGAAAGCTTTCTGTTTCTTTTGGCATCTTTTCCTTCGTTTACGGCGCTTTTTCCGTTGTTTTAGGCACCTTGCTGCTAAATTTTCTTGCCGCTTTTTACATTTTTTAAATCGAGACACATTCTTCGATTTACATTTTTTAGACGTTCTTTCCTGTTTAGTTTTACAGCGTTTGCTTTTAACACAAATCTTTTTAATTTCTTGTGGAAGTCTATCACATGTTTCCTGTCTCCTCTTCTCTTTTATTAATTCCGCAACTCTTTTAGGCCGTTTATCCTCTGCAAACAAAATCAAGCATTTAGAACATTTTGCTTACGAAAGGGAAAATGTGTGAGCTTGGAATTGGCCTATTATGGACACAATTTCTATAAGTATTTAAAATATTGATAAAAACTACAGAAATATATTTTGATACTCTTAAAAAATATTGGATGAAAGAAAAAAATGTAGATAAAATGGTTTAGCATGAACATGAATAATAATATTTTGTTCTGCAACACTTATTATCTGCTATATAAATATGTGTTATATCAGATCATCTATCTTGTATTTGCCAACAACATCCATGTATAATGTTTTCATGATTTGTCAGAATGTTTGATACCAAATACTATCAACATGATTATTAATTGCATTATGGACCGTATCATTATAGACCAATTCACTTTAAACCAAAATTCGTACAAATGTAGCTGTATTTAAATTAATTATTATTATTATTATTATTATTATTATTATTATTATTATTATTATTATTATTATACGTAATGACTGTTGCAACGATTTTTTTCTCCGATTTCGTTCTTATCTGACATCATTTAAAACATAAACCATTTGTAAATAAATAAAGATGTATTCACTTGGCCTAAGAAAAATTTGTAAAATAATTTGACCTACAATATTTGACCATCAGCTTGGAAATTATATAGTAAAAATTATGATGAAAACAAACATTATTAAACCTTAACCTGCTGGTAAATGGTAAAAAACAATGCCACACGTTTAGTGCCAGGCAGCCTGCACCGCCATGCAGTCTGACCAGGCTCTATACCGTTGGCCGACCAGGTTCAAATCTTCATCATCATATTCCCTAAACTGATAATGGACAGTTCAAAAATGAAAAAAATGTCGATTTAAGAAAGTCAGCAGGTTCAAGGTTTACTTATTTTCATCTCATCAATTGTTTTTGAATACAGTGTATAATTTTTTTACAATAATAATGAAAAAAAAAGCATATGATGAGCTTTTTATACACCAGATAAATTAGGGTAATTAAGATGAAAGAAATAAAGTTATATCTAATAAGCACACAGGATTTTCTCGTAATATTTGATACCTGTCTTATTTTTCTTAAAACAAAAAAATGATACATCTAACGGCAGTTATTTTAACATTAATTTCGTTCAGTTGTTTGCTTTACTTAAAAATACATTACTAGAATTGGAGAAGCTCGCTACATGCTACACGACTCGTTTAAAACACATTTGTGCTTGAACCCCACCCACAAAAACTAACACATCTGAGCGTTTCTATAAAATGATGAACGAGTATAAGATATTACGATTACATTGGAACAAATTGTCTGCTTATGTAAGAACATAGGTGCTTCTTGTTATAAGAACTTTAAATTCCATCTCTATAAAATTAATTTCAAAGTGAAGATTTGTTTTCAACGAAAGAGCTAAGAGAAAATTAAATATTTAGTTTGAGACACAATAATTTTTTATGAAAAAAGTATAATTATTGCTCATTTAATGACATAGACTATGAATAAACGGTTTAATCATTTGGTAACTTTTATGGCAATTAAATGAAAAAAAAAGCTCTAAAATATATCAAATGTTAATTTTGAAATTTAAGAGCATAACCTTGGGTCACTTGCTATGAAAAATAATCTCAAAATTGCAACTCATTCTTTTTTGCAACTGGGTAGTAAGATGATATAGGAAAAATAATTGCTGTTATATTTTACGTTAAATCGCAAAGAATTATCTGGATATATAGAATATGAATCATTTGATATATTTTTTTTTTCGTTTTGATTTACTGAAATTTAATTGTTTATATGAAGTCCTAAGGAAGTACACATTTGTGTCAATAGCAACTAACATATTCCTTTGTAATGGTACAAAATAATCTTTATATACAATATTGACCCTTACCACCCAAAATATCTTAAATAGACTTGTCCATCTTTCATTCTGGACAAAACCATTCATCATTTTAGGGAAAATTTTAAAATAAATATAGTCTAAATATCGAACAGTGCAGACCATGATCAGGCGGTACAATTGTGCCTGCCTATCTTGGTCTGCAATAGTCACGAGAGTGATTTAAGTTGTCGCCAATAGGTTAAAGGTTAAAACGCCCATGACTACAGCCTGACCAAGGACTATGATATTAATAGGAAAATAATTACTATTTTCACACTGCTTTCCACTGAAGCCCGATTTACAGTTACACTTGTTGGTGCCAATGCACAGTCCACCATGCTGGCATGGCTCGACACACCAACCTGAAATAAAAAGATAGATTTATTTCTTTACAATTGATCGTTTATTTTTATATTACAAGTCAAATTAGGGAAAGAGTTCGGTTTTCAAATCTACCTTGCAAGGTTGAATCCCGGGCTCGATACAAGTTTTCATTGCCAGAAAAACTTTATCAAAATGGCGCTCAAACAAAGGCACTAGGTTTGCCAAAAAATGCAACAAACAGAACTTTTGGTGAAACATGATTAAAAAAAAGGCGTGTTTTTTAATCAGTCGAGTCATTTTTATGATTTTACAAAAGAAATGAATCATTTTGAATTTAAGTATATGCCCATTTGATTATTATTTACTAATCTTGATGTAGGGAACTCGGAAAAAAATGAATGAAGCCACGTGTTTTGTAGCATTTCATTATCAATAATGAAAACATGGTTCCACGCATTAATCCACGCATTAATCGGTAACAAGCCGTGAAATTTGCCATATGCCATGGTACAATTGGTCAATTAACCGTGCCGGATAACCTACATAAACACCAGTCAGAAGTAAACAATTCTCCAACCTTGTCAGTGCACCTCATGAAGAAATAAATGAATTTGAGATATGACTTTCAAAATATATTCACTTTATAGAGAACTAGAGAGATATTTCACAATGTATCATTGCGTCATTATGACGTAACCTGCAAATCAATGACCGAAAGACTAAATCGAACCAAATGAATTGACGGGGAAGTTTTTGCTGTTCCGTAAAATACGATTGTTTTTGCAATTATCATAAAATACCAGTCAAAAGTAAGAATATAGATAAAGAAACTATTGCCACCGGATCTTTCTGAAACTCATTCGCATAAAGAAACAAGAAATGGAAGCAGTTCTTGCAGACGGACAATTACATGCTGACATTTTTATCCTATTTTGGCAAGTGTCATTCGACATTATCAAATATACATTCAAAAACAAATATATATTCACGCTTAAATCGTTTCAATATGTGTTCATACTGTAATATCAATATTAAATTATGACGCTACTGGTGCATTGTACTTTTTGATAACCCATGATTACCCAGAATACACCATAAACAGTCTAGGTCATTATGTAACTGACATTTCCTGTCAAAAAATGATAATATGCGATTTATTGGTGTTTTTTTGTAGTCAATTCCAATTTCATACGAGCAATCTGGCTTGACGACAAACATGAAAGATATATTTGTTCTCATAAACATATTGTTGAAAACTCTTTAGAATAACACGGAACAAACAGCAACAATAACGCTTTATTTCAAGACACCATTTCCTCAAGACAATGGGTTTGTTGTTTCAAAAGACCATCTCCGTTCAAATACGAAAAACTATTGTGAATTATATAAGTAGGTTTGGCATTCAAATGGTTTCGAATTTAAAAAATCATATACTAGTATCTAAGGTAATGGGTCCGGTCCGCAATAGATTGACTACTAGCAGATATTGGCTGCTAAAGTTCTATTCAATTGCGTTATGTTCGTAAATGTAAGGCAATATTCAGACTTTGTTTCAGATCATATAAACATTTATATAAACAGAATATATAAACAATCATATTAATTTACAGAAAATTAAGAGACGACAGTTGCGGAAACATTATGTTCACATGATTTTGGCTCAAATGTTAATGTGTTTATTCGAATCAAATTCGATGTAAGCAAATAATAGAAATGCATCATCCGAGAAGTAATGAATTTTATCAAAGTTCTGTTACTCTAAGAGTTTAGAGTTCAAAAAAAGGGAAGAAAAAAGTGCAGACAAACAGAAAGGTAACAGAAAGTTAAAACTGTTCAATGTAAAGCAGAGAAGTATGTTTACCTGCAAACGCAGGAAGAATTACTGTTAGCTAGTGTTTTGTTAACGTTATGGGATTGTCTTGATTTTAATTTGATTATATTTTGGATATATAATGCACAGTGTATGCTAGACACAGGTTATTTAGTTTTGTTATCCAAAGAGTTCACACAAAATACATCTGGTACAAACACACAAGAAAACATGTTATCTGTCAATTCTTAGTAAATATTTCGTAATATTGAAAGACGTAAAGTGACATTATGCCCATCCAAAAGTATATAGTGAGAACATAAGTTTACATTTTGCAATAATTATATTCAATTCACATGGATGATAAATAAATATCATAGCCAAAGGAAATTTCTCTAAATATCTATCGGAATTTACCTATAACGTTCAACTTATAAAAAAAGAATGGGGCCGTCTTTTTGTATCTTAGACAGAGTTATATTTTTTCCATAACATTTTCAAATATAGACTGTTTGTCAATTTTTTCAAATAGATTGTCAATTCAGCTCAACTTGACAATGAAAATGATAAGCATAATGTCACTTTAATTTTTTTTTCATAGTCTCTTTTGCCGCCGTTATAACATTTCTTTAATACTTTTACACCATATTGACCTTTTCTACAAAAAAGTTATAATCAACGGTATGAGATAATTACTCACTAAATTCACAAGCTTCGCCATAGAAACCACTTGTACACCAACAGACACCTGATTTTTGAGCATCCGAGGCTACACAGCGGCCTCCATTCTGGCATGGATTAATACACAAAGCTGAAAAATCATATTTCTTAAAGTTTACAATGCTTACAATAGTAAAAGTTAATCTTTAAAGTAAGGAATTTAGGATTGATCTTAACGAACATTATATTTTATCATTGAGCAATTTCACAGTGCATACAAAAGTGATAGTTTTGCTTTTATGAAAATAACCAAAACAAGTGCTGTTTTTAAGTTTTTAATAGACAAACTTGCGTACTTTATGGTAATGTAAAATGGGAACAATAGTTACATTTGTCTCTAAAGTTATTGTAAAGACTGCACTGTATTTATAGAAAAAAGTAATCATAAGAGCGCATAAAATCGACATTTTAGGTAAATAACGAAGATTGCACTGTTCATGTAAACAATAATGATTTAATTTAGTCCTTAGATTAAAATCAGTCTTTGAAAGTAATATTTGTTCGTTGATATGTAAAACTTCGGTGCATAGATTTGTTCTTATAAAAAGAATGGTACATTGTAAGCAATATCAATACATTGGCTCATATATTTTCTGTAAAATGTACCAGTGCTCGACGAGCAATAACAATACATTTGCTCGACAATTCCTTCATATTAACATGTTAACAATTCTTTGTTTTAGTAAGTACAGGACAATAAACAACACTTCAAAGACAAGAGCGAAGCTTTAGTGTGAGTAAACACCAAGTTAAATCGGAATGGGTGTTTTAATAAAAGTAGTAAAAAATAAAGAAGAACAGTATCAGAAATGGTATGGTTAAAATAATATTTGCTCTTACTAAAAGTAGAGAATCGTTAAAAGAATTTCATTTGCATAAGGTATGATACAAATGAAGGAAAATGATAGTGTATTAATGTTATAGCTTTGGTGACTGATTAAGGCCATGTCGTTTTCTCGCTCTTTTCGCTATGGAAACTGCAAAAACGCAAAAAATGCGGAAAAAAGGGGAAATGCTTCCAAATTTTTAAGCGCATCTTTGTGTTTTTACTTTTAAATGTGACAAGTATGTTAATTAAAAAAAAATAAAATTACAATGGTTAAACACGCCAAAGTTGCATTGTCGTCTCTTCATATTTTTGCATCTTTTTAACACTTTCGTTGCGAAAAAAACAACGAAAATACGACATGGCAGCATGCCTTTAGATTCATGCTAACTTTCAAGAAAATTTTGAAAATGTATTTAGAAGGAATATATTGTGAAGTAAAAGAAAGGAAAGGTTACACGTTGGAAACATCACTTACAATCTACTTGAATTACCAAATAAAAAAAGGTTAACATATGCCAAAATAGCCCTCACTGCGTTAATCATGTAGTAGAAATATGGTGATAAATACTGCAAAATCAGTCAATAATCGCACATACAGATATACAGATTTACTTGAATCTTTTAACTTTTCTTGAAATCTTTGTACATTTTTTTCTCAAGTTTGATTTTCTTGAAATACATTTGTATTTACGCTCATCTTGAGACATACAACTTTAAAATCAGCCACCAAACATAGACGAGACTCGTTTTTATAAAATAACCCATTCCTTTGATCTATAGCCATTGTAATAAATACATTATAGTTTGTATTTGTAATAAACGGGAAATTAATATTAATCGCTCAAGTTACATTAATACAGTCAAATTAGAGCAATAAAATCACATAATATTGAGGTTAAAATAAAAATACTTTTATTGATGATGTTATCAAATGTACAGATATTATTTTCTGATACTGCCAAAGCCATCTTGTTCAAATGTTTTGAAATTCTATTTTTTTTTTTAAGTTTATAGCATCCGATTTTTGAGCATCCGAGGCTACACAGCGGCCTCCATTCTGGCATGGATTAATACACAAAGCTGAAAAATCATATTTCTTAAAGTTTACAATGCTTACAATAGTAAAAGTTAATCTTTAAAGTAAGGAATTTAGGATTGATCTTAACGAACATTATATTTTATCATTGAGCAATTTCACAGTGCATACAAAAGTGATAGTTTTGCTTTTATGAAAATAACCAAAACAAGTGCTGTTTTTAAGTTTTTAATAGACAAACTTGCGTACTTTATGGTAATGTAAAATGGGAACAATAGTTACATTTGTCTCTAAAGTTATTGTAAAGACTGCACTGTATTTATAGAAAAAAGTAATCATAAGAGCGCATAAAATCGACATTTTAGGTAAATAACGAAGATTGCACTGTTCATGTAAACAATAATGTTTTCATTTAGTCCTTAGATTTAAATCAGTCTGTGGTAATAATATTAATCGTTGATATGTAAAACTTCGGTGCATAGAATTTGTTCTTTTAAAAAGAATGGTACATTGTAAGCAATATCAATACATTGGCTCGAATATATTCTGTAAAATGTACTAGTGCTCAATGACCAATAACATTTCATATGCCCGACAATTCCTTCATATTAACATGTTAACAATTCTTTGTTTTAGTATAAGTACAGGACGATAAACAACACTTCAAAGACAAGAGCGAAGCTTTAGTGTGAGTAAACACCAAGTTAAATCGGAATGGGTGTTTTAATAAAAGTAGTAAAACATAAAGAAGAACAGTATCAGAAATGGTATGGTTAAAATAATATTTGCTCTTACTAAAAGTAGAGAATCGTTGAAAGAATTTCATTTGCATAAGGTATGATACAAATGAAGGAAAATGATAGTGTATTAATGTTATAGCTTTGGTGACTGATTAAGGCCATGTCGTTTTCTCGCTCTTTTCGCTATGGAAACTGCAAAAACGCAAAAAATGCGGAAAAAAGGGGAAATGCTTCCAAATTTTTAAGCGCATCTTTGTGTTTTTACTTTTAAATGTGACAAGTATGTTAATTAAAAAAAAATAAAATTACAATGGTTAAACACGCCAAAGTTGCATTGTCGTCTCTTCATATTTTTGCATCTTTTTAACACTTTCGTTGCGAAAAAAACAACGAAAATACGACATGGCAGCATGCCTTTAGATTCATGCTAACTTTCAAGAAAATTTTGAAAATGTATTTAGAAGGAATATATTGTGAAGTAAAAGAAAGGAAAGGTTACACGTTGGAAACATCACTTACAATCTACTTGAATTACCAAATAAAAAAAGGTTAACATATGCCAAAATAGCCCTCACTGCGCTAATCATGTAGTAGAAATATGGTTATAAATACTGCAAAATCAGTCAAAAATCGCACATAGCATATACAGATTTATTTGAATCTTTTAACTTTTCTTGAAATCTTAGTACATTTTTTTCTCAAGTTTGATTTTCTTGAAATTCATTTGTATTTACGCTCATCTTGAGACATACAACTTTAAAATCAGCCACCAAACATAGACGAGACTCGTTTTTATAAAATAACCCATTCCTTTGATCTATAGCCATTGTAATAAATACATTATAGTTTGTATTTGTAATAAACGGGAAATTAATATTAATCGCTCAAGTTACATTAATACAGTCAAATTAGAGCAATAAAATCACATAATATTGAGGTTAAAATAAAAATACTTTTATTGATGATGTTATCAAATGTACAGATATTATTTTCTGATACTGCCAAAGCCATCTTGTTCAAATGTTTTGAAATTCTATTTTTTTTTTAAGTTTATAGCATTACAGAATAGGTATATACAGATAATAGAGTAATAAACTTCATATCAATTTTGATATTATATGCAGATAATTGGTTATACGCAGAAAATTTATTCAAAACATGCAAAAGCAAGTCACATGCAGTGTATTGCAGAAATATATCAAGAATAATCATCAAAAAGAAGAAATAAAAAAAAAGACTGTGTGGGATATATTTCATTTTGGTGTGACGAAATACCAATTTAGAGAAACTTCAATGGAACGGTAATAAATACAAGTTACAAAATGATTTCACTCAAACTGTATTTCTTACAATACAGAAAATGATGACAACATTTAATCGAAAAGTGTTACTTATTTTGTAATGGTATAAAGTTTTCTTATCATTACCTTTTAACCTTTTAAATGTTGTGTAAGATTTATTCAAAGTTTAAAATGTTTCATTTATGTAATTTGCTAATTCAAGTCTTTATAGAAAGAATAAAGTTCATAGCTTTTTGATAACTCAATATTTTATACAAAAGCATGTGACAACTATGGATAATCCATGTTATAAAAGAGCCTTTCATTTTGTAACATTTAATGCTTATTTAATTGTATACAAGAGACAATTGGTAAAATAATAATATTTTCCAAATCTAATAAAATATTATCTTATAGTTTGCAACAAAGTGGTTAACAGAATATAAATATGCCTTTAAACTTCGATTGTGGTATTGTTTCGTTACAAAACATTTTATAGTTCAATACAATGATGAAGATATATGTTTATGACAAATAAGATAAAGACCTATTCAACAAATGCCTACTTGTTCAAATATCATTACTTTATTTCAGACGCATTTGAGAATGTTTCTATTGATATATAGTCTGTTTGTCAAAATCTAGACATAACATTAAGTTGAATATGTATACTTTTAATACATTATTTTGAAAGGTACAAAAGACTATTAATATACGTACTTAATAAGTATAAATCATGACCCAGTAATGCATTGTTAAATTAATTCAATTACCTACATTGTACTTATATAAACTAAAACAAATACTTTCAGCATTAATGAAAAAATGTATATTCGACCAAAATGAATGATACATAAAAAAGAAAATAAGACTAAACATAAGGTGTTTCAGACATTTCAGCATTGTCTATTAAAATGAGAGTCAACACAACACATCTATATAAACAACTGCAATTTGGTTCCAGTTAACACGTTTATATACAGAAACACAAATATTGTTTGGGCTTTGGGTATAAGCAGGGTCTATCAAATAAATAGATTCTATTTGAAAGATCCTAGTATGAGTTAGCAAATCTATATAAAATGAATACAAATGTATTGGTTATGAGTTAACACTTCTATATAGATATATACAAACGTTGTTATAAGCTTTGGATATGAGTTAACGCATCTATATGAATGTACACAATCGTTGATTGAGCTTTTTGAATGAGTTAACACATCTATATAAACGAATACAGACAATGTTTGAGCATTGTGTTAACAAATCGATATAAAATGTATTCGACGTTGTTTGAGGATTGGGTATGAAGTTAACACATCTATATAAAATGAATTCAAACGTTCTTGAGCTTTGTGTATCAGTTAACACATCTTTATAAACTGTATACAAACGTTGTTTCAGGATTGTATGAGTTAAACACCTATATAAATGAATGCAAACGGTGTTTGAGCAATGGTTATGAGTTAACGTATCTATATAAATGCATACAAACGTTGTTTGATAATTTGGTATGAGTTAACACATCTATATAAATGTGCACATTGTTTGAGCATGAAGGTATTTGTTAAAACACGTTTATAAATGTATACAAACATTGTTTGAGTTTTGAGTATGAGTTAACACATCTACATATATATAAAATGTAAACAAACGTCGTTCAGGTTTGTGTATGAGTTAACACATCTATGTGAATGAATACAAGCGTTTTGTGAGCATTGTGTATGAGTTAACACATTTTTTATAAAATATATATAAACGTTGTTTAAGCATTTAGTTCGAGTGAAAACATTTATATAAAATTAATGCAAACGTTGTTTAAACATTGCCTATGAGTTAACACATCTATATAAATGTATACAAACTTTGTTTGAGTATTGGTTATGAGTTAACAGATCTATATAAATGTATACTAACGTTCTTTGGGGATTGGATATGAGTTAACACATCTATATAAATGTATACAAGCGTTGTTGAGGTTTGGGTATGAGTAAACACATCTATATAATTGTATACAAACTTTGTTTGAGGATATGGGTATGAGTTACCACATCTATATAAATGAATACAAACTTTGTTTGAGGATATGGGTATGTGTTAACACATCTATATAAATGAATACAAATGTTGTTTTGATAGCAAACCTGTGTCAGGCATATGGTGAACATGCATGCATTTGTGTTTTCGGTTACCTTTCTCGCAACGCTTCCCATAAAAGCCGTCTAAACAAAGACACATATCAGGGGATATACACGTGCCATTGTTTTCACATTTTGGATTGCACATATCTAAAATTATAGAAAACATAATACACATCATATGCAACATTTTTTAGGAAAAAGCACATATCTTACATAAATACAAGACCAATGCTATTTATGTTTTTGTTAAACTGCTCACATATCAAATAAAAGAAAACATCATTGCCATCAACTTTTGGAAAAGCGCATATCTTTGATATAATACTATGAATTTTTGATCTGCCAAATATTTTTTGGAACAAGGAACGAAAGGATAGCCTTGTTATCATATATTGCATTGCAATGGCTTTTCAAATAATAAGAAAATGTGTCCAAGAAACGTAATAAATGATTCTATATTTTTCAGTTATTATATAACAAACTGAGAGCGGATAAGTAAAAGAAAATCAAGAGTGTGGAGTGAATTCAGGTTGAAATATTTACAATAAATACAATAAGCAATTTCAACGCTAATTTGAAAAGCATTTTTTACACTTCAGGTTACAAACACCAATAAATATTATATCAAAGAAATGATTTCTTGCCATTTTTAAAAGAAATGTTTTATTTAGATACAGTACACATTAGCTGAAAAATGTTCAATTTGCTTTGCATGAAAAGCCAATACATAAAAATCTTAATTATCCTATAAGATTTGATTAGGCAAATAAATTCTATGTCAGTAAGTTACATATGCAAAGACCATCGTTTAGCTTCTCTTTTTTGTTTAAGGATTTCAGCTTCTTTTGTTATTTTTCTATATAAAATAATACCTTATGTACATCGCGTCTAATTATTTCAAATTTTCAAAACATTTATTCTGGCGAACTTTGTTTACATCTACTTCAAATGTTTTTCTATCTTATTCTATCTATATTTTAAAACCATTCGCACTCCTTTGTATGTTTTTATGTGCAAATAACCATGTAATACATTACCACCATTTTCTTTACCTTTATAAATTAAGTAATATATGAAAATTTGCACAATACGATTTCTTGGAAATGCAATATAATGGTTAATACATGAACACATTGTTTGCTAGACGAAACGTTAACTTGGACTTGCAGCTACCATTGAGAGGATGTATACGTTTGTTTCATATGAAGCTTCATGTTGCAATACAGATTGATTAAAACCTAACAAAGCTTTACGGTTAAAGAGAAAAAAATTAGTTTAAACATATTTTATTGCATTAAATACATGTTTACAAACATATCATACAAATAATGAGTATATATCAAAATGCAAATGGGTTGGGCAACAAGTTCTTACAACATTAGATTAAGCCCTTCCGAGAGAAAAAAATCATCTTGTAAGGGCAACATTGTTCGATTGCCGAATATAACATAGACAGGCTTTGGGTATAAGGCATTTGCAGAATTACCTATTTCACAGTATTGTCCATGATAGCCCTGCGGGCATTCACACTCTCCGATCTGATTACAACGGCCACCATTCTGACAGGGCATTTTACACAATGTTGTAGTTTCTAAAAAGTAAAATGAAACATTTCTTAAAATACTTAAGGCGTGTATACTGTAAACTTAACTTATTGCAAATGTTGATGTCAAAATCGTATGTCACATTGTAAATAAGTTTCGATACCAAAAGAAAAAAAAATCTAAATCGTCATTAGATCGTAACTAGAAAATTCAATTCCAATAGACACACATAATCCCAGTTTATTTTAATTTTACCTTTATGGTTATATTCTACAGTGCATCTTTATTTAACCGTAACAACATATGATAAAAAAGCAATCGCAAAGCAACCTCGCCATATAAAGTATAGAAGTTAAAAAAAAGTGTAACACTTTTGACATTTTTTTATAATGATAAAAGAAAATGATTCTCACCAAATTTAAAACATCGTTTTCGTAATCTAAGTTTAATAGGAGATCCCTTGATTGCCTTGTTGTTCTGGTCCATAATTCTTAAACCCAGTATAAGATGTGCCACACCCTCATCTTTGCCCGTACAAGGAATTGACATCTGGAATACTGTAAAAAGTAAAAATCCAGTAAATAATAAAGAATGATATAATATGGAAACAAGTCATCATTAATTGACATCTGGGATACCGCGAATAAAGTAAAAATAAAATTTTGATATACTGAAATGCTGTCCATAAAGTGAAACTTTTATCTGAAACAATTTCTTCATTATTTGACATTCAATTTGGTCAACTGTAAATAAATATAACTGCAATAATGATATAATATTGAAACAAGTCGTCCTTAATTGACATCTGGTTTTCCGCTATTAAAAATTAAAAAAAAATCAATTTTGATATAATATGGAATTAAATCATTCTTTCTCTTGCAAGGAATTGATATCTGTAATAATAGAATAAAAATTACAAACAAACATTACACACAATATTTTTGGTTGTCAAATGGCTTATGATATTGCCCTGTAAAGATATTTAAATCTTAAAAAATATCTGTACTGTAAATGCAAGATAGAGATTTTTCATTTCTTATGAGGATCTTTAAATAATTTAAATTATAAGTATTTATTTATGTATTGACATATTACAATATTCGTGCAAAAAGGCATGTTTTTTTTAAAAAAAAAATGTTTTTTTGTTGCTTTTACCTATTATAACACACAAAGATTACATGAAGTTCATAAGCAACCACACCAAGATAAACTGGCTCTAGCTGGAAAAGGATTCGCTAAAGAACATCCAAAAGGGCAACATTCAAAATTTGTTGACTCAGTTGCAGACAATACGAAAACATATATACCGCATCCACTTTCACACTTATCAAAACCGAAGTTTATTAACTCTGTTCCTACGAACCAAAATCTAGACTCCTATATCAGATACCTTCCCCCCTTTAATGCAGTTAATTTATTGTTTTCAGATTTGCATTTTATTTTTTATGTCAATAAATTATTTCAAGTGCAGCATCTTGCAGTATGCCGCTGAAGATATTATGAGTTATTCACTATTCAGTTACTTGATTTATTTCTTAACGCATTTAGAGGGCTTTCGTATTACACCACAAAACTATTCCACTTGGAATTTGAATTAAGATTTATTGAGTTAACATGTTCTCAGTAATGGCTCATAGGCCTTTAAATTTATAACACTTATGTTTCATTGCCGGTAGATATGGTATATTGGAATATATTTTCAAACATAATAATGTTCCAGTCTTCAGAGATTTTGTAACAGGTGTGCTGAATATACAGTATTTATACATTTATTTAAATTGCCGATTATTTTCATATAAATACTAATTGATAAGTTTTATAGCTTGGGATGAATATCTTATAATGGAACAAACAATTTGAATGATTTAGTGCAGTAAAATATTACGCCGAGAAAGAAAATTTGATTTTTTTTTCAAGATTTTTATTTTAAATCTTGTTAGAACTAACTCGGTAAAAATGCCTAAACGATAGCAGTGAGTTATTTAACATGTTGTCAAAATCAACATGATTAAATGTTGTTATTATAGCATTTAGTCTTTAAAAATGTTGTTAACATCAACAATGCTATTAAAATTACCATGCACTTTTCAAACAACATTTCAATTTTGTAGAAACAAAATCAAAGTACATACAGAACTGAAGGAAGGTGATTACTGACTATGCTTGACAATATGGTTTATTCCGGTGGTAGGGGTATACAAACAAAATACACACATTTTCTGGCAAACAAAGGTCTCGTGCGCGTTTAGGAATACTATTTTAACGTTAATAGAAGTATCAATATGCAACACCAAAATGATATATATATTATTTCTATGAAACAACAAAACTGATGGTATATTAAAAATGATTATTTTGTTCATATTTCTGTGGGTTTTTTTCAGAATCACTTCAAGGCTATGAACTTATATTGTTATGCGCATGGATTTTGATTGTTTTAGGTCCAAGTGAAAGGGCAGACATAAACAGGACGATTCGCCGCCTTTAAAAAAATTATCCGTGTTTGCTATTATTTTTTCTTAATGACACAAAGGTGTATTTTCTAAGTGCCATGTAAACATTGTTGTGTTTGGTGGTTGAAATCTAGGAATGATCAAATCGGACATGCAACTTTAGCGACTAATTCTATTTTATACAATTGCCTTTATCACAAATTCAATTTTTCTTTATAGCTACTGTCTTTAAAGACTCTATGACGTTGTTCACCTTCGTACCATATTGTGCGTTTGAGATATTGTTATCAAATAAAGTTTTAATATAAACAGCCACAGGTATCACCTATTGCAAAAGGTGCATGTAAAGATATCGGGAACTTAATATAAGATTTTTTTCTGTCCCGTCACTTTAAAACATCTGCAGTTATTATTAATATTCACATTATATAATTCATATGTATATTACATTCCGTTTAAGATTTATATTACTGAATTATATTTATGATTTGATCAATTTTCCAACTTATTTCTTCCTCGACTTATTCTTGACGAAACGTTTGGCAATATCAACTGACTTTGATAGATTTATACTTGAGAAGATTCAAGTATTTGCCAATATGCATCCCTTGATTATTTCTTAGCTCGTCTAGACTTGATGTTTATAATTAGCCCGTGCTTATAATCACTAACTCCGGCGACTGAAAGCAGAAGGTCGAATATATATCTTAATTTATTGCTTTGCTAGGCCAGTCTGGCTCCAGTCAATACTTCTGTTGTTATCGTGAGATTTTAAGCAGAATGGCGTAAGTCTATTATAATTTATCAACATTTACATTTTTTCTGTCTGCATCGTGCAATTTCCGTGTTTCTGTTTGAGTATTAGTGCGTTTGTTGTTTTGTTTCATAGTCTGTGCAAATGATAAGATAAACTAATAACAGATACTTTTGTTTAAAGGCTAAATGAAAAATCCACTCTTGAATTAGACGGTTTTGTTTTTGTAATAACTAGTTCGCGTCATCAGCTTGGTGAACTACTAGAAACTCTACAAAACAACGCAATTTCATTTCATTTAATGCAATGGACCAAGAATGAAGAGATGAAAATGAAACCAATGTTACGCGCTCTAAGTTTTGTTTCAACAGCAAGAGGTTTTTCACCGCTTGACCAAAGGTCACCTGCTCATTTTTTATTGATTGCTTAATGAAGGTTATTTAAATTCGGGTAGTAAACTGTTCTTAAACATATACCTGTTTTTAAGCAATACAGGTTTAAAAAAATGTTGTGTTTTTTACAATACGCAATACGGGTTATAGAATAGTACATATAGACTATCTTTCATCATTAATAAAAAACGAAAAAAAAAAAACAACAAAAAACACGCGCAAGTATAAATAAATAAAAAAATTCAAAAGTCCCTTCGCTTGACTCGTTAAAGATAAAGCTACCTCATTTTTATTTGTATACATCTAATTTTATAATAATATTGCAATATAAGCAAATACTATGGTAAATCAATATAAATATTATACTATTACATAAACTGGATTTGCTAAAATCATTTTGGTTTTACAACCATTGATAAAAGCAGTTATAGAATATACATACATGGACCAAGTAACTACGGTATACATGTTCATGTGGCTAATGACTTGATGAATTACTAAATTCTGTACCCGGGTTAGAGTGTATTATGTCTTTGCTTTATAATGCATCTGGAATGTTAGAATTAAAATTTCCCACATAATCTAGATAATCTTTCAAAAGAATCTATCCTAAGATAAAAAAGGGGTTCAAATCCAGGTTTCAGTTCTTCTAGCAGAGGTAGTGCACTTAATAAATATCTTTTCTTACATAATGCATGAGAGATAAAAGTTGACGAAATTAATTAGATTCTAAATCCACTCATGGAGTAATTTGAAACAGACATAATTGAACTTTCTCAATCAAGACCTTAAATTATCGAATTTGAAATATTTTTCTTTACAACATTTTGCAAAGGAGGGGATTTAAGGAATATCCCAGCCTTTAAGATATGCACTCACTACGGGTTATCAGGTGCATTTAAAAATTAACAGTTTTACAAGCCGATTAAAATCGAATTCGCGTTCCAAAACACTAGATTTATAAAGAGTTCCGTTTTAAGAAGTAAATAAGCTGAACTTAGCCAAGTAATCTAATTTAGTCCAAATAATTTCGTTCTTTGTTCAAGAATGGATTTACAAATATTTTAATACCATCTGGATAGCATTTATCATGAAAAGTTACTCTGCGACATTTATTTACCTTTTTCTCATGATCTTTCATTGTAACAGAGGATTTTACGGATAAATACGCCTTTCAATTCGCCGCCTCTTTGATGTTAGAAAATAAAGCCGCGCTGCAGATTGATCATCATGGTTTATTGCTTTTTTATTAAACATTAATTTCTCTAAAAAGTCTTTCTGATAATGAAAGCGATATTCAGCAGTAAATTACGATTTAATTGATAAGTATATAAATCAACATCGTTTCCACATAAATAGTTTGAAAACCAACTACATCTGCGAGGATGCTAAACTGAATAAAACCAAACTTATCTGATTTCGCTTCCAAATGCTTCAATTGTCGCTTACACCGCAGATAGATATTGATTATTTTTTCAAAGCGCTTAAAAGATTTTTCTGATAGCGTTAGAGTTATGCAAGTTGTTCAAGGAACACTCCCCAAAGAAAAAAAAAATTATTTCAAGAATTGAAAAAAATATATTCGAATGACAGACAAATCCACCAAATGCACTGAAATCTTTCTTTGTGATTCAACGGCTTTACCTAAGATAACAACATTTTTTTATCATTACTTGAACCTACGTGCAATATTCAGACAAACTGTTAATAAAATTCAAACATCTGAAAGATCACGGTTTACATGCATATAGTGATGTTTTGATTATCATAGGTATTTCATCGTTTCATTTAAATTGTTTGGGTGTTGTTAAGCAAGAGGTCAAGATTCTTTTCCATAACCGTGTCTTAAGCACAAAAGAGTGTGAGAGGAAAACTTTGAAAATCTGTTGCATATGCTAAACATAATCTACTTTTTCTAATGATGGGTGGGGATCAAAGACCACGTGTCAAAACATCTGATTATCGCTTAAACTCCGGATTTGACACTTATATACCTGTTAAATAGCCTGGAAAGCTTTTCCTGCTTTACTGTGAGAATTCTAATTCTACGTGTATGGTCTACCTTCCAAAAAGATAACCTTGTAATTTTTTCCCATTCCCTTTTAGCAAATTATCGTTGAGAAAACGAGTTAACCCTTGTTACTCTAATCTTAGTTATCTTTCAGCTATGGCATTCTCGAAACTTGAGGAATAGTTGAAAAGAAATTACCATAAAATTATGACAGGTATTCATAAAATGTACAATTCGAACGATGTAAAAAAATTCAATTTTTCAAAATAGATTTTCATGAATTTTCCCTAAATATTATTTTCCCAGGAAAAAGCATTTATTTGACATGATATTTTCAAGAACTGATACGAGAAGCTGAACCGAGTGTCTGAGATTGTAAAGTGAATTGATAATATTCAGGATTGTATAGATTTGGCAATAAGTGTTGGAGTGGAAAAAACTAACTAAAGAAGATACTGTGCTTTTCTGAAGTAGGGAAAGATAAACCTTCCCATTCAGACTAATTTTTTCACCTTGAAGAATATGTACATATCGTCTGGGTGAAATATTATATGCGATACTTAAGGATTTAGTTCGACGGTTTCTAAAGAAACAAACATTTTGCAGCATTTAGATAAGGTAATGGTAAATTTAGTAGAACGTCGCAATTTAATGCGTGTACCCTGCTTGGTGATTTCATTTTATGCAATGGGACCCATTGCTGCATTCTGATACAATCAAGACACATATCTACATGTAACCACTGGCAAATCTAAATACCTATTTTTGTTATTGAAAACAGAATACTTTACAATTTATAAATTAAAAGTACATTTCATGTGCGCAGTGTTTCCTAAAAATAAAGTAATCATTTAGAGTACAATTGAAAATGTTCAGTACAGTATGTCATGTTGATTCACGCCTTTACTTTTCTATAAAATAAAATTATTGAATGACTTTTTACCTTTTGGTCCTTTTGGTATGATACCGGATGCAGGAATGCTCAGAAGTGGGTTGTACAAAATCGTCTTGTTCTTCGACTTGAGATTATCAAACCAATATGTATACTGAAAGAGAAAAAAAATATCATTCATTATGCTCAATGGCTTTTTTTAAATGTGTTTGTTTGGTTTTAACGCCGATTTTAAAACATTGTCTTATCTCGGTGGTCAGCCCATTTAACCTGCTTTCCTGGATATAGTTTAATAGTTTTTGTCTCATCAATAACCAATAAATGCTTCGCCTGTGACCAACTGACTGCTTATCCCACAATTAACTGAAATTCATCGCCATGGTAAAACAAAGTGCCACAAAAAGAATCCAAAAGAAATAAAAGAAAGGGCTACATCTTAAAATAGACCAATTGAAATAGATTCGTATCGCTAAAAATTGATGTAAAGAATTTGATTTAAAAAATCGGTACAACATGTTGTGGGAAAATATTACAAATATGCGAAGAAAAGCCACCAACTTAGAAAACTAATCATATAAAAAAAGATTTAAGATCCAGATCATTCAACATTAAAGAAAGAAAAAGCATTCGGGAGCAAAAACGAAATCATGTATGAAATACTGGTATCTACGTCTTATCGAAGCAAGTATGATATTTAGTAAAGTAATGTTACAATCCCTGTACAGTACACGCGTTGTATCTCTCCGCCAAGTGAATCAACTTTTTTTACAAGAACGATTTGACACATAGGTCTTTAAAACTACAACAAAAACACTCTCAACTAATTAAAGTAATCAGTTAACAGATAGAAATAGCATTGAAATGCTACTCATTCTGTATTTTAAATTGCATAGTTTACGTTTGTACAAATGCTTATTCATTGCAATGTAACCATATGCAATCTGGGTGGGAAAATCAGCATGCGACCGTGACATTTTGTGGATAAACTGTTGTATTTACGATCTCCTATACATGCATTTACAATCTCTGATATATATTCACAATCTGATATATTCACAGATCAGTGAGAAATACTTGTAATGACAAGAGAAACAGGTTATAGTTACCTATTCGATGTGCTTCTTTGACCATGTTTATTCAAAGACATATTGTCTACACGTCAATAACTTTGGTTAAAACAGTGACTCACAAGTTCAATTAGATTAAAATATAAATAATATTCACATAAATTTGTGCTTGTGTGCAAGTATATACAGAATTAGCAACCAAACGTATAGTGTATGGTCAAAAGTGACGCTAGTTTGTGATTATATAATATTCAAACATAATTCACTTCTTAATCATGATTCCATGTTATAAATGACAATAAACAGAAAACATTAATAACAATAAAATTTGTAAAATTCTCAGTCAATTTGGTTGAACTCTTATTACATAAAACCAACCGCATTAGTTACTCACAATTTATAGCTTATTTATTACCGCAACAAATCACAGTCAATAAATTAAACGCTATTTTACATACAATATGAACGATTGCCTAATCACCAAAGGGAAATAGCTAAGTTATTAATTATTATTATGATAATAAATACAGCAATCATCTCGATGACTTGCTGCTTATACTTTATTTATTGTCATGACGACTTCACCAAAAACCGCGAATTATTACTTTACTTGCTTTACGAGTATTTCCATGTTGGTCTTCCGTATGTAAATTGATGAGTAGGATATGATATAATAAAGCTTCTAGATTAGATCTTATTCTAAAACTTTATCCTTTTTTCTTCAATTTTTAGCTATATTTATGTTCATTCTGAGACAGTGAAAAAAATGTTTAAATAAAATATCTTTTTCCTTTCAACCGGAATCAAATTATATATATCCTATTGTATTAACTGTAGTACTGATAACAGATATAAGAGCTCCTTGGAAAGTATAAACTACTTCATTTATGCCCAGCCGGATATATGAGCTCTTACTGTTTAAAGTCAAGAAGGAGCAATAACTGGTAAATTCTAAAAGTTGAAAAATGACATCTCTTAAAAATTTCATTAATTCTGCAACAATTCCAAATATTTCGTAACAGTTAAATCATTATTATTGTAGAATTGCTCAATTAGAAACAGATCTTGTTGCGGTTGATTTGTACAAGGAAGAAAAAAAGATTTCTCAATCGCCTATCAAAATACAAGATAAAGTTGTAGTTAAGCCTAATTCCTATCGGCTTTTTCGGTAATTCTTTGTGGTTCCTCTAATTACTAAGACAAAGGGTTATAGAGCACATGATGATAATATTACATGAATCATCTTCCAGATTCGTTTTTGCTTTTTATTGCCTATTTTATTACCAAACCAGTTATTGAGGCAAATTATTAGCGGGGTTATTATGTGTCTCTGGCATTGCAAAGAAGTCTGTCCATTCGTCTCTATGTTTTTATATATAGAATTCTCCGGAAAATTGTCTTTTGCACGTGCGAATGATTCGAATTTCGGTCATTCCATAAATGCGTGGGTGTAGGCAGCTTGCAATTTTTACGGCGCAAATCGATCAAATTAATAACAGGTGATTTTTTTCTGTAAACAAAACATACACTCATAAATATATTTAGAAGTTAATTTTGATAAGCCGTACGTCACTACGTCATGCTTATTGCAGACGAATCTCTCTAAAATTTGCCAGGCGCCATTTTTTTCATCCTCACTTCCAAAGCCAATATGTGTCACTATAACAGAAGTTCTCCTGTCATCATGTCATTAAGCATTAAATATTTTCTAAAATTTTGGGAGGAAAATGGTCATTGTATACTTAAATACTATATGGATAGTTGATGCCATTTTATTGTAAAAAGTAGATGAACCTCTGAAAGTTGATAGAAAATGATAAAAATATCATTATGTGTATAATTAAGGTATGGCATTTTTAAGAGAAAAAAATGCTTGTCCTTTCCTAAAGCTATGTGTAATATTGCTTTTGAATATATTCATATGGAAGGACAAATACATTGTAATTATAAAAACTGTATATCAACCATTTCCACGTTAAATATATTAGATTAACTCGTGTTTCTTTTAATCCGGAAATATTATTCATAATTTAAACGAAAATATGTATTAGCTAAATGGAGTACAGTACAGACAATGATCAGTCGACAGTGGACTTACAGCTGATCCTGGTCTGCATTTTTTGCTTGACGAGAACATATTGCCGCCCACAGTCTCATGGCTAAATAAATAGTAAACTCTCTAGTCAGAAATGAAATTCCTTTATTTATTTACCACCCAAAAAACTTGTTGCTTTCATAATCAAATGTATCACGCTATCCAAGAGTATTGCAATGAATAAAGAACAAGAAATGAGAAATTGAAGGATAAAAATGAAAACGTAATATCTAACTCAAGAAATATCTCGGTTCTTTTCAGAAATGACTGAAAGATAGTGCTTTTTTTGAAGAAAAAAAAACAACAAATCTTGGCAAACTTGTTTATAGGTTGGTCAGTGAGTCAGATACATATTCAGACTATGTTAATATAAATAATATCTGACATGACATATAATTTCCGTAGAGGAAACAAGAAAATAACAACAGAAATAGGACTTGGACCGATATAGACCAGCGAAAAAAATGAATAGGAAACAATAAGGCTACGCAAGTTTGATTGTTCAAGAGCATGGTACAAACCAATATTAATTTTATATTTCATCTGTCTGGACTTTATTTTAGATTGTGTGAAGCTGTAATTTCCGAAAATTTCATATTCCTTAAAAATTCAAGAGAAACGACAAAAATTTAAAAAAGATCAAATAACAACAATCCTCTCTGAAAAATAATATTAAAAATACTGGTATTTTAGAATGTTTCACGATGATTTCGTACATGCGCTTACAACTTTATCAGGAATGAACAAGCAACCTTTTTCTAATTTTTATTCATATATAACTTTCGGTTGAGTTTTGTTCTTCGATTAAAAAAAGTGAATATTGTAATTTCTTTTCTTTCATATACATGAATAGTCGAAAATATGTATTTTAAAGGGTTTCTTATTTGTCCACGCCCCCTCCCTAGCACCGGCTTAAGTAGAAACGCCACAGATATTAATAAAAAGTGTCATCGAACTCTTAACGTTTGTTTTTATATTTGTATACATTTAGTTAAACGTTTTTTTGTTTATTTTTTTTTTCTATAATTCTGGTTAAATGATATTTTATTTAATAAACTAATTGTAGTTACGATAAGAAATGATTGGTATGTCATCAATGAATTTTATCAATTTTGGCTTTCCCGAGATTTTACATCATTTTACTCTTACTTTTACATAAAGTGATTGACTTCTATAAAGATGTTATGCTTTATTGTGATGCATGTCATTTGCAGAATAATTGTTTCTATTGTTAAAGGAACAATACCATAGTAACTAAATTGAAAGAATAATGTTTGTAAATTTTCGTTTCAGCGCAAAACCATTGCTAAACCAGATAAAAATAGCAACTGAGTATTTTGTTATGTCATTCAATAGACCATAAGATTAAAGTGAATACTAAAAAAAACAATAAAAAAATAAATAAATAAATAAAATAGATAAAAAAAATGCTGATGCAACTTTTTCGAAATTGATAATTAATTATAGCGTAAGTGTATCTTATGTCCCTTCAAATGAAGTTACTTATACAAGGAAGGGCCCACGAAAATGTTGTTAGAACTTTTGGCCCAACCCTTTTTGCATGTACATCTGATCATTACAGTATGTTTGTAAAATTGTGAACTTGTATATTGTGTGTATATCTATACAATACAATATTATTAAACTTAAAGAAGAAAGTACTAAATGTGCAAAGGGCACTATTTTGTTGGTTTACATTTTCATCTCATCGTACGATCAAATGCTTTCCTTGGAAGCTATAATTCTTATACTGCATCCTTTTTCTAAGTATCCAAAACAGATACAAAAAATACAGATTGAATATGCTATTATCGTATCAAAATAGAAGCAAAAATAGTGGAATAGGCAATAAATTATTTATAAGCATTCTAGACTAGCTATTCAAATACTCATATCAATAAATTTGTAGTATAACAGATGTAATGTTCAGAAAGATAATTAATAATTGAGAAATAGAATTGAGAAATAACGAAGAAGTAAAAGCTGTAATAG